TATATGGTAGTTTACGTGTCAGCTAGTGTTGTGGGGTAACTGTGAACAATTGTACATCGTTTAAGTGAATAAACCCTTTGAGCTCTTTGTTACCTATATATATAATAGCTCATCAAAGATTGAAATTAATGAGGCATTGATATTCATAAGGCATTCAAAATTGAGGTAAGGTCTGCAATTACTAGTTATTATTCCCCTCATTGAGAACCAATATGCTGTTAGACTGTGGTGCAAGTCTGAGAGAAGTAAGAAACGATCCTCTTTATAATTTGTTTTATCACGCACACAGTGGTTTATGTTACAAGGAAGTTAGTATGAATTAGTTCAGTAAGGTAAAATTCTAGGTTGCGTCCTATAAAACCTTTCCGCGAACCGGTAAGTTCTTAGTGGTAAGTACTATTAATAGAGGTATGTACAGCTTGTCGCTGTGATACAGCATGCACCAGACGCTATTTAGCATATATCTTATTAATATTCAGATGATGAGATAGCTGGGAGCAATTAAGCAAATCGTCGTAATTTTGAGATACAAAGTAAAGTTGTGCAGCTTTAGAAATAATGAATTCGAACGGTCTGTAAATCAACGTCCACACATTGCACATTAGTTTGGTCATACAGGTCTTATTGAAAGGGAAATTAGGTGACTTTACTTTTGGATTACGTGTTCGTTTCTGGTCAGCTGGCCTAGAAACCGTCGCGGGGGGCTTTGGTCATCTGTGTGCACCAAATACCGTAATCCTGCACTGTATTTAGAGGATGAGAGAATGGTTCAGAATTTGGATTTAATCGTGTTAAATCAAGCTTGTTTCAAGTTCTAAACAAGTTTCTTCGCTCAAAGATAAATCTTTCTCGATTGAAGCTAACTTACTATAACATGTTGTCAAAAATTTCCACCATTTGTAATTAATCGGAATACTGTGCGGGTGGTCACTAGTCGGCTGTGTGGGCGTTCATTTGCAACAGAGTTCACACCAAGCTCCTTGTCAGTATCCTCATCAATATCTGTAAAATTTAAAGTTTGTAGATTAACTCAGCTGTGCCCAGGGCGCTATAGCTCTATAGGACACAAATAGTGCATATATGTGAGCAAATGCTTTGTCAAACGCAAGGAATTGTAATGGAATATAAATGTAACTTTCCAAATTGTCCGTGATAATTAGACTAAGTTTGGTGCTGCCTGTGCCGTGGTACTTGTAGTGCCGTTCAATTGTATTGCACTGTGCGCCCTTAAATCCCCAAAACATAGAGACCACTTTTCGGGGGCCTCCGAAACCAAGTAATGCTCTAAAGCTCTTTCTGTGTATTCTGATCGTTACAATTAGTATAACCCGATACTGCAGCAAATTTTAATTTAAGTTCAGTATCCAGAAATACCCTGCAATGCTATCGGATCAAGATCAACCATGCACATGGCCATGGAGTGATTATACCTTTTAACAATTCTCTCAACCTGTTCCTGTAACCGATGCACTTTCTTGTTCAATGAAACTGGCACTAAACTCCTCAAAGACTTACACAATTTAATACTTACAGAGCCCAGCTTCTTTAAATGTTTCTCGGGGCTTTGATGTTTGTTTCCAACATCTCAACTCGTCCGTACGCGCTCAGTTATTCTGGCTGCACGATTCTTAATAAGGAGCTAATAAATGAGATCAACTACCAAGGTAATATTTTTAAATTGAAGCCAATATCAGAGTCTGGAACTAAAACAGGGGGGGGGGGGGGGGGGCCAAGTGGATATTTGTAGATATTTGGATAATGTCATCCACTTTTTTCGTGAATTATCCATTACAATAATCTACAAATATCTACATTTATCTACAAAAAATGTATATCTCAAATATGTGCCCAGAAATTCTACTGAATTTTTGGAAATAAATGTATAAATTTGTAGAATTTGTAGAATTTTCGTGAATTATCCATTGACAATAATCTACAAATATCTACATTTATCTACAAAAAATGTAATCTCAAATATGTGCCCAGAAATTCTACTGAAATTTTGGAGATAAATGGGGATAAATGTATAAATTTGTAGAATGTCATCCACTTTTTTCGTGGATTATCCACTCTACATTAATCTACAAATATCTATCCCCCTAAAACACTCTAATGATATCTGCCCTACCCCTCCCTCGGCCGCTATTGAACTATGAAATTTAGCGCCATATTTCATGACCAACTTAAGTGTTGCATTGCAATAACTTGAAAGTTTCTAGAAATACCTATCTTATCTGTTTACAACAGCTGCGGCTCTCTAGAAAGTTCCAAACAAGAAAATGTTTCGTCTCAACAACATGGTCCAATTAAGTGAGTGGAGCGTGTGCGGCTCTAGAAATTACCACACAATTTGCACTGTGCGTACTACACATCACGTAGTATTATTATTATTAACGTATTGTCCAGATCTACCATACAACTACACGACGTTGCTGTATTTGTAGGGTATTATATTCGCTCTCTCTCTCTATCTCCCTTTCTGTATCATGCTAGAGAGAGAGAGAGAGAGGGAGAGAGGGAGAGAGAGAGAAAGTACAATGTACAATGTGCTCCCAACTAGCTGATAGTATTAGTAGTGTACAGTGTGATGTACAAGTAACAACTAGTTCTACACGCACCCTGCCCTGTTGAATGTGTGTTAGTTGTGTGGCAGTAGACAAGCCAGGAAATACACAACTCTTAGCACTTCCCTTACTGTCTGTTTGGGAGCCCACTTAACAGCCCGCTGTTCTGTGAGCTGCCTCCCTGCTGTCAGGCCCCCCTGGATCCATTCTCCAGAACAGAGTTCTCAGACTGCTGTAAATTTCAATATTTGTCAGATTCTTCTGATTTACGTCATCAACACTCCTAAAAGCCCGAAAGTCGAAAGTTAATTGAATCGAAACAATAACATCATATTTTCCAGTCCGATGAGTAATTTAAATAAGAAAAGGCTGCAAAGTTTTTAACCAGGCCGTGCTGAATTTTGAGCTAGAGTAAGTAAGCTGATACAGGGTGGCTGTTACGTGGTTTCTGAAATCTAATACTCTCCTTGGGAAGCCAATCAGGCGATTAGATCTCAACAGCCTTTGTACTTTTATATTATATATATAGCGGACTACAGTGTGATCTGTGGTCTTTAGAGTACTAAAATATAATCTCCTCCTTCTCGTCGTCCTGCTCCTCCGCATACTACATCATAACGTCGAGGAGGAGAACAGAGCTCACACAAATCTTATATTGAGTATTTTACACGGCTCGGAACTTTGTGTCGAGTACTCTGGCTGTATGATAACAGTGGCGGTACTTGTGTGATATACTCGGTTATTTATTTCCTTGTATGTTACAAGTCCTGTAAAAGTGTGATGATAGCCGCTTTTAGGGGGTTAAAATCTGGTAGTAGCCCTCTCTGCATGTTTAGTTCAGGACATCACATTCAGAGTATGTATTATACTTCCACAAGAAGAAAAAATGTTGAGAGCTACACAGCTAAAACAAAGCTCTTTAATTTGAAGACTTCCTTCTATGGGATAATAACAGAGCCAATATATTTCATATTATTGGCATTCGTTCCTTCTTGAAAGATATGTATATAAAGAAATACCGTGGCTTGTGGAATAAGATAACCTAAATTGCATCCAGCGATACCACGTGTCATACAAACGGTGGTGGGTGTTGCTTATCTGTCCCCTGAAACCGGATCTGGGTCTAGATAACATTTCATAAGAGTCTGCGGAACACATCAGAGCTTTGGAGTCGAACATCTTGCCTAATAAGCTGTTTAAAAGTACAAGGGTTAGAGTCCAACTACTATTTAAATATAAGTGTAAAGCTTTCTTGTAGCTTGCCTACTTTAGGATAAGAAATACGTACCACTGCCACGATCTCTTTGTGGTTTTAAAGGCGTGGTTAAAACGATTAAAACTAATATTTATCGATGCTCGAAAAGGTCTAAGAATTCCTCTAAAGATATGATTCTGAAGAACCTTGAATTTTCACTGCCAGAACTCCGGCATTCTGTTCTTCACGTTGAAACTTCAATCTCTGACTCATGCTTGCTAATAAATTGTACACACGTACTCTCTCGTAATACAATAAATCTGACTCATATAACCACAGCACTCAGTGCAGCAGTGAGAATAGATTGTTAAAATTGAGGTTGCAACATACTTACTTTACAAATAGCAATGGTTTAAATGTGTTATTCTGATAACGTTATCACTGAAATGGAAGTTTTAAAGTTATGATGCTTTTTTAAAACGTTCATTAAGTCACAAAAAAGCGTACACATTATGCCGCATTGGGACTCTATGAGGTTGCTGCTGAGTGTCACGAGTCTTAATCAGACTTTACTTAACGTAAATATAATATATATAAGGTTATTGGTAGTACTGTAAGTGTACATTGTAAACCGGAAGATAAAGTATAAGAGAGGGTAGCTGAGCAATAAGCGTGCCTGCACCGAGGGGAGGGGGCGGAAGTTCGTTATTATCATAACATCAGGTACGGAGACCTGGAGTGTTCTGCACGTTATACCACTGGGACCCCCTTCATCAAACTGATCAGTAAACTTTTAGTAGATAAGTACTGATGTGTTGAAGTGAAGGGCTCCTGTGATCAGTTCAACTTTTAAACCGCCCGCTAAAACCGGGGTTAGCACCCTCACAAGTGTTAGTTTGGGTCGCAGTACGCCATACTACACATATACTATGTAGCGAAGTTGCACTGTTGCCGCTTCTGCACCTCCCGCCACCGACCATATGTACGTGACGTTACACCCGCCCGAACAATTAGGTTATCCGAGAAAAGAAAATATGTTCTGAAATTCACACGTCTCACCTGGCACAACTGGCTTTGCCAGCCTTTAAATATCAACCTGAATGTTTAGAAGTGGAAAAGTTAATTGTCTTACGACCACTGTCTGTTGCTTATAAGTTATAACATGTAAATATTATTATCGTACCTAGATCTGTAGTGTACACTGATATGAATTAACTGTTAACTAACTGCCGCTCTTTCAGGTGGAACCAAAACAGCAACTACCCTGTCAGCACAAGTTCGAAGATCGGCCCCCCTCGCACACGCGCCCCATCTCGCACCGCACCCCCTCCTCCTCGGAGCCCCCCATCGACGGACATGCGTTCTCCACGATGGAGAAGCTGCGCGTGAGTGTCGGAGAGGAACTGTTGCACGAGACCAGTGTGATGCTGTCTAGGTACGACGACGAAAAGACCGACAGTAGCTCCGATGAGGACGAAAACAATCTCGATAACGTCAGGTTAGATATTATCATGGGCATTCGTTTTATACTTTATTGCCTCATATTTACCTGGTTCTTATTCGGCGGAATGTAGGTCTAGCATTGTAGATATTAACACCTGTTGCAGATCTGTAACTTTCTTACTTGTGGAGTTATTAAGGATAAATAACTGCTTAGTGCTTAGTCAAATAAATGCCACACCCAAATGCCGAAATCACACTCTTTTTGGGCTTTAACTTCTGAACTCAAGATCCGATCTTCCAATTCACGCTTTCTTGGTCACATTTTCTAGATCTTGTCAAAGGCTTTTCCATGTAAGCATTTCCAATGGTATCCGTTAGAAAGGGAATTTATATAAGCCCATAAGTGGGATAAGTAGCAACTTTGGGCTATTTAAACGGCCCCTAAACCGCGTATCTAGTATCTCAATCTCTCGTATCTATGATATACGAGAGAGATATGCACCTGATTCTCCGATACTAATTACAGAGGACTTTCACATATATAAATTCTTGGTTTGAACAGAGAACAGCCCGATTAATTGCCAGGCTTGAACATCAAATAGCAGCGTATCTGATGAGTCATGAGATATACCACTAAAATTTGATGAGTTACTGGATACACCTTTAAAATTTGATGAGAATAGCAGCTCTGTGCTTCATACTGATACAAATAGCGGACACTTCTAAGTTATTTAACATATTATTTAACAACAGTGATACCAAACATATCTCGGCACATGCTACCTGAAAAGAAACCCCAGATACAGCAGAACTTGCAATACCTGATTCTCCTTTCACTTCCCTCTCCGAATATCATACATATTTGATACTTTCTACGCCTACACAGTGGCCCCATGGTGTTCCCTCTCTTTCTATTACATTACACACTACCAACCAACTTCACACAATATTACCTCACCCTCCCTGGCGTTCCACAGTAAAATACCACACATTACCCAGCCATAGCAACCACCAAATATATTGGGCTCTACACACATTCTCTTATCATCTGCCTGTCAATAGTAAGCATTGGTAATGGGTATAGCTGGTACATATTATAATATATATTATTATTATCATGATTATAGTATGTCTTGAGAATGTATTCGGATATTTGGATGGTAATTTTAACCGTTTCGGAGGAGCACATATTGTAAAGTGACTGTGTTACTGTAAGATGCTGCTGACTTGTGATAATATGTAGGGTCGTGTTGAGCAGGTGTCGGACCACATCTCATCATTGGTGTGGCTAATTTTATTACAAGTTCTGGGCTCATTTTATTACTCCCACCGTCTCTTACTCCCATTTTCTCTCCAGGCTCATTCGTTAAGCCTGGGTCTCGTACATCTCATTGCATAAATACAAAACTCTGTACGCGATCTGGTCTAATTAGCAAATTGCAGTACATTTGGGTGGTTGCAATTATCAGGCAGTTAGTGTTGTCATACTATGCATGATGCATAAATGGGGATGTATATTTATATCATATTACAAAGAGAGAATGAAGTACTAGCACAATGATCATATATACGTTTAGACAATAGTATGACACGATGATGAGTATAATGATACCAGATCTATGTACAGCCATCAATAGTATAGTAAACAATATACAGTTTGTCATTGGCCGGTCTGCCTCAAACTCTTCTTTCTTTTCAGCGACAAGTCGGTTGATCGAACGGAGTTGACAGCGATTGAGCAGCGGTGGGAGCGGGAACGGGCGCAGATCGCTGCGCAGTGGACCTGGATACGGGGACAATATGAGGACCTGCAGCACAGGATGCGGCGCGAGAGTGACTTGTTGAGCGTTTATCGGGAGAAGAAGGAGAAAGTGGTCCTCCTACCAAACGATCACTACATGAAGGATCACATTCCGGACAAGTTTGCGCACCACCCCGCCATGGTACCCCCTCTCAACGGATATCATAACCACCCCTCTCTCATGATGAAAAACAACTTTAAATTCGACATGTCCCGCACTGGCCAGGAGATGTACCTCAAATCAAACCAGCACAAACGTATGAACAAAACTTCTAAGATAGACGGTAACACATGCGCCCGGACCCGTCCCCTCGCCTGCATGGTGCGACGCAATGTCTTCACCGCCAAGGAGCACACCCGTAGTATCGTGCAGAAAAATGTGCCGCTGCGCTGCAGTGTGCTAGGCAAGCATTGCAACAAAAAGTCGCGATCCTACCCGGCAGATGATCTAAAACACGACACTTCCTACCACCCTGTTCTATCTAGACGATCAGGTTTGTAGCATCTGCATACTTTTGTTTTTCAAGTTTAAATTTGACTGTACCGCCAATTTTAGTATTTAACCAATATAGGAATTTAAATTCCTATCTTTTACCACTGAGGAATTTTCAAGTTTAAAGCATCCACTCCCAATCAATTTTCCGGCGCTTTGTTTCAACATGGAAGTTGGAACGCGTCACAATTGTCTCTTTTGTCTTCTGTTTTTTAGACTTACGTCACAGATATCGGCGGATATCTTCCCTGATATTTCATGGCACCGTATGATATTAATCCTCGCATGCATTTAAAAAATAAGAAGTATTAGATTTGTCAGTTACTTGAAAAATATGTGAACTGAAGACATTTCTCCCTCACAACTATAACATGTCGCCTTCACTTACATTCTACAACAATATCGGAACACACGACATTCCGATATTGTTTTAGAATGTCGTGTAGTCCTGCACTTTATACACTATACGAACAATGGCCGTATTGCAATATTGATTTCGTGCCAAATAAATAGTATCGTAAGCTTAAGCAGGAACCTCCTTCCGCTGCAAGTTACAGCCACAGTGTATTGTGTTCTTTAGTACATGTCATGCACTGAGCTAATCTTGATAAGATGTGTTACAGCATGAGGTGGTCTCACGTCATGCTGAAACAAACCACTGTCACCTTATAACTTCCCAGCAAAGGCTACGGTCCTCATTAGTTACATAGGGTTGGAACTCACTGCTTGCTTACCAACCATGAATAACATAGACTGTGTGCATAATTTATGCACATACGGGAAGTCCACATCGAAGTGTTTGCCGCGTGGTGCTAGTATCTAAAGAGCTTTTCTTTGTCCAATTTACATTGAAAGGACCCTCTGCGCCTGCAGTATGTTACGCGCGCTAAAAAGCCGCGCCGTCATTCTGGCAGTAGAACATACTGCCAGCATCCACAAGATTCTGCCGACTAGCATGTTATGTGAGGATGCAAAGACAAAACAAGTAAATACGAAGGCTGAGAAGTTTAAAGTTTTCGAAAGGACGAATTATTTTATTGACAAAAAGTGGAAATATATACATGCAAAATCGTAACTAGTAACTACCATTACTTTTCAGAAACTCACCTGAATGTTCATCTAACTCCCCTTCTGTCTGGCGTTGATTTCTTCCCTTCAGCCAACAGGTAAAAAATCCCGCGAGACCCGCTTCTATCTTAACTTCACATTTACGAGCGATATACTCTTTCAATTTTTGGATTTCATCTATTGTAATGCGCAAATTAATTGCAGGAAGTTGCATCCCCCTCCCGAACCTCGATGTGAAACTCCAAAAGAAAAAGTAAAACCAGTCGTTGAGGATATTTTGCAGATCAATGTTGTATCAAATGATGTTAAAAGTGGTCCCCCGCCTACCCCTTTAACTCCTTCTGCCTCTACTACTAACCACGCAACTCCTCTGACTCCCAATCTCGCTATAATTACATCTGAATGTAAGTTAAATTGAGAAGATAATGGAAAACTGATAATTATGTAAGCCACGGTTATATAATTTCATTCCCACTTTCATTCAGTTAGCTAATGATATGACCACTGACCATCTGTTCGCACACACTCGTACATTGTGAAATTTAGTCGATCATGGTAGTTATGTGTTATTATCACGTACATTTGACTTTATAAAGGAGTACAACTGCAGCTTTAGAAACTCGTTTCCCCTAAATTCTTATCTCCCTTAGCGTCGGTTGGAAGTATCCCAGAACCGCACACGCCACTAACAAAGAAACGAAGTATGCCTGGTGCCACCGTCGAGCACATGATTAAGAAGTACAGAACATCTAACTCACAACCTGGGTCCCGCGCATCCTCTCCCACACACTCGGACAAGCGCAAGAAACTCAACCAGTTCGATATCCACAACATCGAGGTAGGTTTCTTGGAAATTGCATGGTTCTGTCGGTGATTTACTGTCAGCAATTTAAGTGGTTTGCAACCCTCAAATCCGCTATTACGACATTATTTCAATCTGTGATTGATTACCTGTTTAAACTTTGCTGTTAACCTTGAACGATTCGTAATCTTCAGGTCGACTTCAGTGTTGTTGCTCCAGCCAGGATTGAACGACCACGCTACAAGGAAATCGAGATCCCCAAGTTTCGCATTATTACAGAGGATATGTTGAACGAATTGGCGAAGTCTGAAAACCAAGACGAACTCGAAGAGGATTCACAACAAGTTTTCGAACGTCTTCATTCTCGCTGTGAGAGACTGGAAAAGGTGCGGTTTATCAACATGCAGATAAACGCAACAGGAGGCATGCGTGGAGCTAACACCGAGCTCATGTCGCCCGCTCTGCTTTTGTCAGATGACGGCTTCCCGTCAAACCTATCGCTACCGTCTCCCTCAAATAAACCATCACCCCACCCTACGTCAGACAAACGGACAATCGCTCTCCTGGATCACCCTGATAAGAGAGCACCAGCTCAGGCCGAGCGGTCCAGGGTGCCTTCGGCCCAACGAAAGAACAATGGAAACAACGTCACGTATCTTGAGGAGGAAATCCGTCGGACACGTGCCAGCAAACACACGTCGGATTATCCGACTGCGGTTTCGTAGAGTTTTATAACCAACATTTTAGCTATTTTAACGTTAAACCTATCGAAATTAAATGATTAGCATCTGGAATGCCAGTTTGAAGGTGGGGCTATGTCTTAAAGTTGTTTGGAAATATTTGGTGGTTCTGTGGTCACTGTTCTCCATTTTATAACAAGCCGGCTCGGTTTTTCATCCTAATCTATGTGCTGTAGAGTTTCCATCAGTTTCTGTTGCCATCAGCTCGAGTATGTCACGTCATTTCGACGATCATACGATATCATTTCTCAAAATGGGCTAGTATCTATAACTTTGATATCCTTATGCATAGTGAACGGTCAATAAATCTAGATTACTACCTAATTCGTCGTCGTCTCGCCATTTATCCTTTCTAGGAAATACGGAATATTGGTTTTGTTGGTCAAACAGACTTTATTCCTTCGGCATTTTAAATTGGGTAATAAGGGGTCGGACAGCTGTAGGGTTCGGGTCACGGGTGCGGGTGGTGATAGGGTTATGGCCTGGACTAGAATTAATTGTGTGCGGTAAGTAAAAGTTAACATTTCAAATCAAGGCATAAAACTCTATTTGTGAAATATGACCCGTCTGTGTGATAGATAACATAGAGTGCATGATTTACCAAATTAACAATTTATTCTCCGCGAGTGGTCATAGAAATAAAATTGCCGCATTACGTACTGTCTAGGTAGGTCACCGCTCCCTCAACAGAACTGGGACAAAATGTAACGCTTTAAACAGTCTTGGGAGACCATGTCCTTCAGATTATGAAAAGTTTGGGGAATGGGACCATGTTAAGTAGCCATAGAAATGGGTCGTTGTAGTTCCCTGTAGTTAATGTTCATTGTTGCAATTGTTAGGAATATCTCCATCTAAAATATTGTGTGAAGTTCGGTTTAATACCTTTCGAAATGTTTTGTTACTGTTAGAATTTTGCTATGGCAACGAGAATGCAATTACTGTTTGTTATTCAGTGCTAAGTTATGTATTTAAATAGCAAGATGTTGGTTTTACTTTGCAATTAGATGACAAATTTGTCCAGTAATCTGTCCGGACAAGTTTCGGATCGGGACCGGACTTGGCTGACTTAATAAACGAGAGGGTTTAGCATCGCCATATCCAATATCCCTGCACGCATTCGTTGCTACACCATACACGTTGTATCAGTATACCAGATACCTCTTATCTTACCTCTTATTTTCGGCCTGCTTCGCGCGTGAAAACAGAAAAGGGGTTTACATAACAACGTGTATCAACGCATTAGCGAACTAAATATCTTCACTTCTAAATCACACTACAGCAGGGTGTCATAATTATTGGCGCGCAGACAATTTTGCTTAAAATTTTAGCTTACGCAAGCTTTTAGAAACGATCATTACTTGACTTCTGAGGGTCAGTTCACTATGGAGTCTTAATCATTCGAGAGATAATCCTTCATACTACACACTACAGTTCAGTCTAAAAACAAAGTCCGAAAGAAGTTAAATTTCGTCGATAATTACGACGAAAGAGAAAAATTTGGATTATTGGACTTGAAGCCTTCGGCTGCTTCCCCTGAATTCCGGGATGAGTCCGCCTGACTATATTTTATTGCGTCAGTAAGAAGAGAAAGAGAGCTTTTATAAAATCTATAGTTTTCTATATGTTTCGCTATCGCCTGAAGAGCTGTGCACTTTAGTCTAAAGGATAATTTCAGAAAAAATTCACCAATAAAAAATTACACATAAATCCAGAGTTGAAAAATACGTGAGATATTTTTTAAATACGCCGTATTTTGCGTATTTTTGCTTAGAAATAAAATACGTCAAAAATACGTTAAAATACGTTTTTCTTGAAATTTCATTCAAAGATTAAAGTTATGTCATTCGTTTGCATTTTTTCAGACACATTTCTATTTAACTTCAACGCTTTAATGCTTTGGTATAGCACGTGCCCAGTACTCTGAAGTCATATGCGAGGTGAAAAACGACAGAGCTACGCGAGTTTTGATAAAATCGTAAATTTATATAAAGCAATAGTACTTATTACTTTATTGGAGCTATCAGTATCAATGGTACAATAACACTTATTACGTATTTTATTCAACGAAAATAAAATACGCCGTATTTAACGTATTTTTGATATTTTATAAAATACGTATTTTTCAACTCTGCATAAATCCCTTACTCCTTCGTAAATCTAACCAAGTATGGAATCGACCCTTTAAACAACGGCCTAGATTATGGGTTTTGAGGTACATCAACACAAAATTCTGAATTTAAGAAAAAATTCAGACGATTGTCTACAGACTAGTTTTTGAATTTTGTAATTTCGATATTCAGAAGTAAAGTTATGACCCGTCGAAAAATATTGATTTCATCATAAAATTTCAAACACGCCAATAATTCTGACACCCTGCTGTATATAACGAGAAATTAGACCAACGGTCATACATAATATCAGTGATCGAGACAGTTTTTCGCCAGCGGAGCATTTTAACTTTGTGTCTTGATTGACGACGTCAATCCTTCGCAGCTTTACCTGGGGATCCCAGGCTATTTGATGTTTAATTATGTTCATAAACAAATGAATAGAGATTCGGCGGAGTGACAGGCTGGGCGCGGCCCAGTAAATTTTGGGTCGATCAAAAGTTTGCAACTTTAACTTTGCGGATTCCTGTCGTCTGATTGGCTGAATTGTGTCACGTGCTGGCTGCTTGAAGATTTAACGGGTGATACTCGTAAAATATCTGTTCCATATATAGACCGTCGACGAGTCCAACTCGGCGCGCGTCCTGGTAGGTTGTAAATCTACAAAATGTGCCACGCGGGCAAATTACTTAATGTCGCACGCGAGGCCAATACAAGCCATTTGTTTAAATTAAACCACCTCTAGTAACACGGCCAGCCAGTAAGGTATTCTGGGTTCCAAGACGCGCGCCGAGTTGGACTCGTCGACGGTCTATCATCTATATTTGAAACAAATATTTTTACGAGTATTTTTATGAGTATCAATTCATGGCGCCGAGCTGCCATGAATTGAGATCGTCAATTAAGTAAATTGATTGTAGAGTGATTTTTGAGCACGTTCGTTCAATAACAAATAAACATTGCGCTATTTTTAATTAACGATGTCAATTTATCGCAGTTCGGCGAGGCACAGTACACAGTAGTGCATTTCGCCGATCTAGCGATGTTGCTGTGAGCTGTGATGTGTGAAAATGGAAAATAAACATGCCAATAAAAGCTGCGGCGGAATTTGACAAGCTGAGCGCCGCCCAGTAGTATAGAAAAAACGACCCCTAATATAATTTTGCATTGTGGCAATGCCCATTCTCCGAGCATCGTGGTGCTGAGAGACATTTAATTGGCAATCCAACTTGACAAATGTTACTCGTCTAAATTTCTTCGAAGTAGCGCGCGACGCTTTCTTCTCGATGGCACGTGCTACGAAGTGGCGCTCGCCGGGCCAGACAATTAACAATGGTCAACAATCCAACACGTCCGGTAATTCCAAATTGTACCTCCGCAATTTCAAATTTAATTGACCATGTCCAATGTCAATTCATCGCAGCTCGGCGCGGCACAGTAGCTGGTACATCATACATGGTAGCGCATCTCGCCGATCTAGCTGTGAGAAGCCTCATTGAGTGCGCGGCGCAGCACAGTAACGCATCACGCTACAACTCCGCAATTAACGGTGATATAATACTGATACATGAAAGTTAATAATCAACCAAAACGCGCGCCGAGTCCAACCCGACACTTGTTTTGATACTATACTAATATGTTATTAATCTACAATGCACAAATAATAATGCGAGTCGAAGGGATACAAAACTGGAAACTTTTTAAAAGACCGAATGTTAGCGGTGAAACTGAAAGACTGAAGATGAAAAACAAATTGTAGGTTTATAGCCTATCAAGACGCGCGCCGAGTTGGACTCGTTTAATAATTGGAACAAATAATAATATTTTACGAGTATTACCCGCGTTAAAAGATAAAGCTTTCACTTAATAGTAATACCAAATATTTATTGCCCAGGTAATATTGGTTTCTGGTGTTGGGTTTGCTTCTCTCATTGCTCATGTCTCAAAAGTAACTTATTTTACTTTTGTACTTTATTGCCACACGCATTTTCACTTTTCTTTCATGTTTCACACAACAAACAACAACAACATTTATTTTATTTGTGATATAGCTCACCAGTTTTCCCAATGCGCGGCGCGCGCGCTCTTTTCGAGCTTCTCGCATATATGATATACTACGAGAGAGTTACTGGGCGGCGCTTAGCCTGTCACTCCGACGAATCTCTATTCGGCATTCATTTGTTTATGAACATTTACTTTTAGCCTGGGGTTCCCAGGTAAACGTGAGAGGAGCAAACAATAGACTAGCAAGCTAGTTAAAACTTTACTTTCAGCAATACCTGTGACCTGAGCACTGAGGACCTCTTTGCTCTTCATGTCGGCTCTAAGTCTAACTAATTCGCTCGCCCAAAAATTTCACATGACTTTGGTTTTTATGGTTTTGCAGCCGTACAAAACGGTTTTACATAAACCCTAATCCCAACCCTAACCCTAACCATAACCCCGAAGCTATCCATAACCCTTACCACAACCCTAACCCTAACCCGAGCCCTAAACAATCGAATTCATGTTTTACTAGCCTGTCACGTGACCAAAACGGTTTTTTTGCCCATAACTCTCCAGGGAAGCATTTTTACCCTACGTCATGGGGGGTGATTCGGAATCAGCGTCCAAAAATAAACCGAATCAGATCAATTTCATACTCAAAGGGCCTTTTCACAAGAATTTTCTTAAAATTTGGGCGAGCGATTTAATAGGAGCGCTTCATGTCTCACCTCGCGATCCTCATTTCATTTAATGAAATTTGACCAAAACCCATAATCATGGGTAGAGTGTACCGCTGCCAGTGTCTCTCTTTTCCAAACAAAAGGAAATGATATTAATTTGAGGAACCGTCCGCTAATGCAAAATGATACCGAGAATGAAATCGGTCGCTCGCTTTTCCCATTCATTCACGGCTTACGAATTGTAATAAAATTTATTAAATGGGAAAAGCGAGCGACCGATTTCATTCTCGGTATCATTTTGCATTAGCGGACGGTTCCTCAAATTAATATCATTTCCTTTTGTTTGGAAAAGAGAGACACTGGCAGCGGTACACTCTACCCATGATTATGGGTTTTGGTCAAATATCATCTCTTTTTGATTATAATGTCAGGATAATTTACACAGTCGAAACTTCATTAACATAATTATAAATAAGGAGATAATTTCAACGATTTCGATATTCTGCCTTTGAAAAATTTTCCTTGTGTTTAGGTAGGTATATCTGTCGATAACCGACTGAATATGGCACTTTTTACTCATTTAGGTTGGCATTAAATTCATATATAATGCCATTTAAATATCGTGGAAAGCAGAATATATTCGAAATCACGAATGAGCAAAATTCTCACCTTTCGCACGTGCAAACTTTGAGCGGACGTTGCGTGCGCATACAATATTGAATCACCGTAAATTTTTGCATAGTGGTATTTAATATATAGTTTGATAAGCATGCAAAGTTTCAGAAGATTTCAAAAAGAACTTGGATCACAACGGGACTCCAAAGTTGATAAAAATCGTGAAAATAACAATTTTTAGTGATTTTAGCTATTTTAAATCAATTTGGGCGTGTCCCCACGTGTGCAACTTTTCGATTTTCAACTTTAAAACTAGCCTATAACACAATTTAGACCTTTAAGAAGCAAAATTGAGCTCCACAACCCAAGGGATGGCCCAACACCAGAGAATACTAATTCACAACTTTTGTGTTTTTATAAAATTATTCTTCAAAAAAGCACTAACTTCAATAGCAAATATCTTTATGAAGGAGCAAGGTAGGAAACTTTTCCGGTAGATTTTCGGAATGCTTGAACAATTATCTAAGATGAAAATGTCCTCAGATTTTGAATAAAATTACTTCTTAATGGTGTAAAATCGATTTGAAAAGTTGTTACTTTGTCAAAAATTAAGTTTTAAAAACACTTAATTTGATGACGTCATCAAGTGATGATGATGACGTTAAATTATTTTTCAATACAATGTAAACTAAAGCTTAAACGATTATCTTTAAAACCTGTGGTTCGAGATGACTGTATCGTTTATACTTTTGGATCTACGGACACTTAAATGTAGGCTACAATTGACTGCCAAAAGCGTCTATACATACATATATACATATATACATATATATACTTCACGACAATCTGTTGTAAAACAGAGGTTCCAGAAAACCCACTTGCCGATACTGCTGAAACATGAAATTTTGTTTACAATCGATTTGGACAAGGTCTAGACGCCCTGCAAAGTTTCAGATCTCTTACTCAATTTTAACATGGTTTTTAAGGCACCTGAATATGGCGATTTTGGGTTTTTTACCTAATTTCGTATAACATGCTGGCGCGTATTTTGCGCAAATTTCTTAAAAACCTTCATATAACTATTTCTTATTCCTGTCATCTTTAACATTGAATTAGAATGTTTTGAGCTTAAATATACCTGCTGAACTACTTTCGATGAGTCTTAATGCCTGGAAAACAAAAAAGGGGATATAATAGTATAGGGGGTAAATAGTATTGTGAATATAAGGGCGACGGTAATGCTTGCCAGCATTGTGATACCGTGGCGAAAGCCACGATGTGGCCGTGCACTTGTATTGGGCAGTGTGTAGGACATGGACTTGGAGACCTCAGGCTTTTGTGTCCACAATCATAAACACATATGACAGAATGACAGACTTAGTGCCACCCAGTAACCCTCAGCCTCAATGCTCAAGGGATCGTTTATATTAAAGTCACTATTGTGACGGTACACTAGAACTAGACAGAAACAAAATGTGAAGGGCCTGAACGGAACCCCTCGGTTTCAGTTCCTTGTTTAACACTGCCGTACAGCAAGGACATCCACCGGGTTCTCCAAGGATGGGCACATAGCTCACTCCACACTATGGTCTGTCAAATGTTGCTTATATACCAAGGATCTACACTCTACAGGCAATATTTCCTTGTCGGCAAGTACAAAGTACACATGTTGCTATTGTTGGTTTAATGCCATCAAATTCCACCTGCAAGTTGGTGCTCTTAGTAATAGTACAGAAACTATCGTGTGAAATATCTTCAGCGTCATCATATTGACCCGTTCCTCTGCTGTCTAATTCTAATACATGACGGTAACCCATTCTTCTGACCTTCGCTTATTTAATGCGATAGAGGCGAAACAGATGGGTGCATAGGACATTGCCGCATCAGGTCTATCATATTGTAAGAAGTAGTTCTTACTAATACTATACACTACAACTCCGATCTTAGCCCCAATTCATTTCACCATGACAAACGTCGGAGCCAAGTCAGTCACGCGGGCTTAACGCTACACTCAAATTTGTTATTGGAGCTTATACTCCAGAGAACCCTAGAAGATACCTATATTAATATAATGTTACTGGAGTTAGTGGATTTTGTGGAGTTAGTGGATTTAAGGATTTTCATACTATATAAAGCAGTGCATTTCACTTTAAGAAGTGTCCAGTCTTGTTTGAACGGAATTCATAATGTTTTATGATACGATTTGTACGCGTACCATATTATCATTAACTGGCCTTGTGCTGTATTACTTTAAGTTTACTGACGTTAGCAGTTAGCTTCTCAGATTACGTTGTGTCGGGAACAGAGTCTGACTCTGAGTAGTAAATGATTCCCGAAATAGCTTGACCATTAAAATTAAAAGGAAAAGTTAAGCTACGGCTCGGTTTCAAGTCGTAGGCGAGACTGGTAGTGGTAGGGGTGGTAGAGTTTATTATAGTTGACAAATCCAGCACTGTACAACCACTTACTTCAAAACTGAGATTCCATTTTCATCTTTCAGAAAAAAAAAAAGTTTCATTAAGTAACTGTTAGTATAGGTGATAGGACAACTATTCTCTTCCACACGAAATTAGCAGCTTTCATCAAAGTTTTTGCTTATTATCAGGAGATGTACTATTAGTAAAATTCAGATTTTTGATCCATGAAAACTGAAAAGGTTCTGGACGACTTTCTGCACAAAATTTTGGCCATGATAAATCAATACAATTGTTACCAGTATCTGTACATAGTGAATTAATAATAGCTTGACAAATAATTTTATACATTTCAAAAAGACCGTTACAGTTTCGCTGACAAATTTGCAAAGCTTGATATCATAATCAAATGTTTCAAAAGTGATCTTCAAAAATTAATTAATAACTAGCCATTCAACTACGAGAATGAACAGATAACAGCAAATCTACAATCGCATTTAGCGATGGGAAAGCACCTTCAACATGAAATAATTGCAACTTAGGTCATTGATCAACATTTAAATCACTAATTTGTCAAACTAGATCACATTCACAAGCTCTTTCATTAAAGGATATCAATATATGAGCGAACTGTGATAAAAAAACCATAATTCGTTTTAGTTGTAAAACAACTGAATCAAACAATCTTTTCCGAATTCTTTCCGCCAGCCAAATGATCGAGTATTAATTATGTATTACTTAACAAAACTTAAATCATGCTAGAAAATACAAAGGAGCCTCTTGAAGTTCCATAATAAACATTCCCGAAGTCGTTAAACTCATGACTCAGGGTCACCTTTTACAAAATGAATCAGCTCTTTCATCTTATCACATGAGTCAGAAGATAGAAAATCATATCGTTCCTAAGATAAATATCACCAGTGGTGGCGGCACGTTCGTTTTGACAGGCGAGTTTGAAAGCTCCGAATCGATTAGAAATATAAACAAACGTGCATCGCCCCGTTTCCAGTTGCAACATTTAGTGTCCCATACCAGGCCCGCTGATGGACAATTCAAGACATTAATCGACAGTAAAACGTGTACAAAATAGTTTACCCGCTATTGACAATCCACCTTTAAATCGTCTCAAGTAAATTATTGCAAGCTAATATTTAATCTTATCACAATCCTCATGCGGATAAAATCTATTTCTACCCACTCAAAGGATCGTCCCTACAGTTAATAGCCTGTAAAATCCGTTCCCTCATAACCGCCTCGCTACTGTACTGCGGTAGTTTTATCATGAACATGCATGTTTCGCTCCTGATCAGCCTGTCGTCTCGGCCCTCAGCCGGAGCTATCTTCATTGGATAGGGGGGAACGTGCGACGCTTCCGGGCCACTCTCCTAGGGGGGCAAAGTGGTGATTTGATTTGAAACTTTCATCAAATGATGAACGACAAAAGCATTCAAATGTATTGGAATCGTGGCGTGGAGTATGTTTAGGCTGCTAAAATGCTCAAGTGGTTGGGTTGTTAAAAGACATGAAAGTATTTTCGGCATTGAAGAGGTTTATAAAGCCGAACACCAGCGCTTCCAATACCAGTGCGCAAAACAATCAATTAAACTTAAAATGATAAGGAGAAGTAAAAACAAATATTTTAGCAGGCGCTTTAAAAGTACCTGACAAGGACAGGAGAAAGGTATTCTCTCCTGGTTACACGCGAACTTTATCAGTTTCCGGAGGTCCTCCTGCGACAGACTTTCTACCACGTTCCAGAAATACTCAATGTGTTTGTCACTCTGTGATATACCCACTTGGTAGATGGTGTGAAGTTTTATAAACCCAATGTCGATATTCTGCTGCCCACAAATTCTGAGCTGCAGATCGTCAGGTCCCATTAGTCGGAGCGGCTCGAGTGGTACGACAGCTTCCAGTCCGCACTGTATCAAGGGGATCATGTTCTCAGCGGAGAGCTCACAGTTTCTCAACTCCCTGGTACACTCTATGAACTGAGACAGGTTAGACCACGTGATTCTGGGACTACCAGCTCGTAGCTCAACATCTCTACCGTCTAGGGAAGAATAGCTGAACTTGTAGGGGCATCCCGGACAGCACTCCTCATTCGAAAAGTGGGTAGGACACATCTTTGAAACTAGCTCCTTGAATTCTGCTTCCGACGTTATGGAATTCAGTCCTTTCAAGAAATTGTAAGTAATAATGTCAGACTGTCGAAGATCAGTATCGAAGTCAATTTGTTCGCCCAATATTCTTGTCCAGAACGGTCTCAAACAGTCCACAGCGAACGGAACATCACTTCTCATTGCCACTCCGAGAAGATTCCCAAAGAAGAGAAGAAGAGCTTCGTCGTGGTAATCAATGTTCTTGGGAGCAAGGAGGAACTTGCCTTTGTTCTCACCAGCACTGGCGGACGGACACTCGATCAGGACAGGTAGACTAGAGCTCTGAAGCTCCTGAGCTACTAACCAGATAAAGTACCTGAAACTACCACTGGTTCCCGCTACGTTCTCTCCAGTCAGTTTCACATTGAAGGGGAATATGGGATCTCCTCCGGCCGCTAACTTGACACAAAGTTCAGTAGAGGGGGTGCGACTGAGCTGCTGTTTAGCCAACATTATGATAGTGTTGCCGATCTCCCTTTCCGTCTGATAAACGAACGTCAGAGGATCGAATATGATCTCCGGGGGTACACTGTCCCCTGATCTTCTGTCCGTGCTGTTTATCACAAAGTTAAGGTACCCCAGTTTCACGTCGTAGAACAGAAAGTTCCTGCCTCGGAGGAGCACGGAGCCGATGGAGTGAGGAGCCAGGTCGACAGTACTGAGGGATACAGCAGGGAGGAGATGTTTGGAGACAGATGTGTTGATGACTTGTAAGAAGGCAAACCTCAGTCTTAAGTACTCTATAGGTACATTAAACAAGGCCACCAACTCAGGGTCAGATCTATCTGATATCGTCATCAGGATCTCCTGGGGGAATATCCTGTTGGAGGAAACACCCCGGCTCCTGCACAGCCTGTTAACATATCTTACAATGGTCTTGTCAACCTCGGGGTGACAACACTTGTTGAGCTTGTTGAGGTAATCAGAGTCCACAGGATACAACAAGTTGTACTGGAGATCGTGTCCAGTAGCCAGGATACACCTCAAGAGGAGAACAGGACGGCTGGTGGCCAGGTCTGTGGCCCAGGTCAGGAACCCAGAGTTGGAGAGGTACAGTTCCTCTGATTCTGGGTTTGCTTTCTCGCCGTGTTCTTTGTAGATGGAGTTGATGGTGGAGAGCAGATCGTCCTCGTAGTGGGACGTGAAGGGACACAACATGTTCTCTTCTGATGTGTTGCTGTACGCAGCCTAGTGGGGGGAAGATGTTTATTACCTTGGGTTATCTTTTATCAGTCAATATCATTGACCCGTTGAAAGTTAGTAATTTAATCGACTTAAATCGGATATTAAAGTCGAGCCGAGATTTTAAGTTGAATGATAGTTTAATAAATGATAAACAGTCTGAGTCACAGGATCTAAATAGCTAACCTTGCTGAGGGGAGATTTGCCGGGACACGAGGAGAAGACATTAGCTAGCAGAGCTTCAGTAGCTGAGTTCAGATCACCTTCATGGGTGAGGAGTTTGTGAGTAGCATAAAGTTCCACAGCACTGGAGATCAGGGCAGAGTTGTCCGAACTGAAACACGTGATTGTTTTAAGGGGAGGGAACTGGCAAGATGATTCACTGTCCAATGTTAGGTGACCTTGAAAACAGCACGCTTATCAGGCATTGCGATCTATGGGTGCTTTATTGAGCCCAAAAAACATCTGGACACTTTATTTGATTATTTGGTAATAATGTGTTGTCCTTCAGTTAACATATAAGTACTATACCAGCCGAATAGCCTATGATGTATGATGCACTTTTAAATTGTTTCGACATTTGTTATTACGTTCAAGATCCTTACACAAAAGATGTGCAAAACATCTTCTTCTCTGTTATAAATGAAAACACAGACCAAATGCAAAACGCAATAGTTTCACGGTTGTCTGGAAGATCGATAAAAATTAGGTTAGCGAATTGCTAAGAAAAAAGGAAGTAAATTGTAGTTTGCCTATCCATTTGCTATTATATTATACGGTTTCTATAATAATAATTTTATGTACGCGATACCTGATCAGAATTGGTTATTAACGTAGCGTATAAAGTTTGTTAGTAATAATTTATCCTTTTTATCGTCTTATGTTTGTATCAGCAAATTTTCTAATCCTTAGACCTGCTCCTATCACCTGATTACATTCAAAATATTATGTACGATAAGCATTGTAAAATTTACTGTACTAATCTTTAGGTTCAAGTTCACTAAGATTGATAGATGAGCGAGGAGGATAGCGGTAATCACTCTGAAACCTCTGGTCCATTCATAGCTTACTTCTTGAAAAAGCTTGGCTGTGACATTGACCTATACGATGAAGATCCAATTCTATCCCCGGTTGACATAGATAGGTATCGGAGTACAATAGCAAGCGGCCTGTATGTGTTCTACATGAAATCAAGCACAGGCATAGGTGCAGATTTCGTTTTGAGGTGAACTTTTAAGTTCCCGAGAAATTTTCTTAAGTTTGCTTTTTTTTCCTCCTCGGGCACATTCCTAACCTACGGGCCAGGTAAACCTAAACTACATATTGACCGTTATGTACGTCGGTATCTGTTGAGGAGCCAAATCATCTGAAAAGCCCTAAACCTAAAATTTTGCGAAATATGGTGTTTTAGGCTAAATTAAAAGTTTAATGAATTTACAAAAATGTATGGTTTGGCATAATCATTGCCTACAATCCTGACCTGAGTAATTTACCCCTTTGAGACTTTATTTTGGGTTGAAAATTGAGTTTATCGAGAGGAAGTGAAAAATCTCTGGTTCAAATTTGGATTTGAAGCCATGTTTAAATTTCTGTTGAAGTCAATTTTTTGCGCAAAAAGCGTTCGATTTTAGGGGAAAAAATGTATGTTTGCTTTTTATGGTGCCGACGGCACCTGAAATCGACGAAATCTGCAGGGGTGAGCACAGGATCGTCAAAACGTTACCCAATATACGTGGGCGTTACTGGTAGATCATTCTACCAGCGATTTTATGAGCATGCCACTAAAGATACAGGTCAGATAATGAAGGTACTGGATGGAAAATTTCCTAAAAATGTGGAAGGCTTTGAGCTCTATATCTGGACCTTGAAGACCACTTTCATTATCGCGAAATACCTGGAATCCGTTCTTTTAGAGGTCTGGGACTTCCCTCTCAACAAAAGTGAGAATGGAACGGAGAGAATCGACTTGGACACCTCCACTCAGCGTCCTCCAGAGGACGACAAAGCTGATTTTAATATTTCCTGGCAGAACTATTTTAAAGAAATCAAATCGATTAATACTGATTATGAAGATTAAATGGTGTTAGTTATGCCGCAAAAAAATGTTAATTAATGATGGATTTGGAATGAATTTATAACAACTCACTTTCACTGTTTAGATTTTAGAATGGTGTTTCTTTGAGTATACCTTATCACTATCAACGGCTACCGGACAACTGAACCCAATTTGGACTTTTCCTAGACAGGGTAGCTTGGGAAATTAATTATAAACCCAATCAGACTACCTAATTTACTTTGAAACGACAACTGAACCCAATCGTCACTAGAAATCTCTAACAGTTTAACAGGTTTCCAAATACCGTTCTAGTTTAGCTGCTGCCTGGTTTCTAGCGCTATAATTTCGGTCTGTTGAGGTTGGTGCTTCGGAGTTGTTGGCAGATCCGGACTTATCTGCTCGTGATCGTTGGAAAATTCTCGCGAGGGATTCTAGTTTAGGTAGTACCACGTTGATTTCGGATGGGCATGTAGTCGTAGATAAGCTCCTAAGTTGAGCTCCTCTTTGTCCGCTGATGTACTTGCTGAAGACAACCATGATTCGATACTGTGACCACCATCTCTCTTCCTTATGTATTGATCCGATCTGTATAACAAGCGTACTAATAGATGACAAGGCCTTGCAAGGTCTCAGGTGCCTTTCGATCGCGAGATCTGATCTAACAAGCTTAAGTGTTCACGAAGCGTGCCGAAAAGGATACGATCCACTGCTCCTCAAGCATCGAGATCCGACCCAGGGCTCGAGATCTGAACCATGGCAGGCCCTCCCAAAGCATCAGGAGTCACGAGATCTGAGTCAAGTAACCTGAGCCAAGTATCCAGCGTGCTAATGGTGAGTTCCATCAGCTTTGGAAGACATGAAACAGTGGAACTATAAGAACGCCCGTCAAGATCCGTATCTACAAGGTTAACTTTCAAAGCTAGACGGACACGTTGTCAGAATGCCATAGACACAGTTTCCCAATTTTTCACTGGATTAGAAACCAAACTATGGGAAGAGACTGAGAGGACGACTCCGTAAAGGCTGGATGGCCTGTGTTCTCGAGGATGCGGCTGACAGGTGTCGATAACATCAGCAGAGACGCAGTAAAACAGTTAGCTCTAAAACGAGTGGAACACCGTAGAAGAGATGTGTGTGATATGATGCAGGCCACTCCAACGACTAGGAGGAGACCTCTTCAATCTTCATGTAGCATGTATGTATTAATATTTTACCGGGGTAAGCACAGGGCTCCAATGCTCTAAATTACAGTGGTCATAATCTATCCTATAGTGATAATGACCACAGTCCCCTGCGAAGAAGGAGATCCTGAAAATCCGATCGTTGGGTTCAGTTGTCGTATTTCCTTGGGTTCAGTTGTCGTATTTCCAATTTGGATGCAGTTGTGATATGACCTGGGTTCAGTTGTCGTTTTGGGATTTAAGCTGATTGGTCACCCAATTAAGCTGATTGGGTGCCTGTTAACTGCGTGGGAACTAGGTTCAATTGGGTTCAGTTGTCTGCCACCCCTATCAACCAAAAATAAATTAGGGTCGAACCAATTAGGGCCAATGAGGTACATAGTAACAAGGATAGTAAAATCAACAAAGAATGGTTGAAACTCCGACTTTAAATAGTCGATCTTCGGCAACTCAGATTTGACGAGGAGCGTTTTAAAACAAGACGTTTGCACGAGTGAGAGTACTATTACTACTACTAGGCCGGAACTAAGTCCAATCTACGCCAGATAACCCCCTCCATATATCCCTGTCCCACATCAGGGTTCATAGTTCCTCTTAAAATTTGTTCCAACTTCCTTCAGTAACATAAACAAATACCTTTGTCTCGGTCGGCCTTGCTGTGCTCTACCATGCAAAGGTTTCCATAAGATCACTGAATCACTGGCCAAAAGGTGCTGTATTACGTCCCTCAAAACATCTGGAAACTTCATCAGACCATCCAGTTACTTCTATTGTTTATAATTGCTGTAATTAACAACAAAAATAATTACCATGCCATAAATTGAGGTGCACTGCCAAAGTATTTTGACAGATGCTCCAATGTCCAGAAATTTACAAAAGGAGTTAAAATTTTACAGCGACTAGTCCCATATTCCCCCTCGACTATAAATAAAGAACACATCTAAATTCAATACAAATTTTACAGTTGTCAACAAGTTTGGAGTTTATCAGAGCTATAAAATGCAGTTTTGTTGGCTAGTTGTTCTGATCGCTTTGGCAGGAGCTGACATTACAATATTGAACGGAGAAGAAGAGAACGGTCCGGCACCCTGTGCTAAAGTATGCTCTGGAACTACTGGTACATACATATTAACGTCTTTTGGCCTATTTTCAACTCCTAAACCTTTAAAATAACTTTGATTTATATTCACTTTGTTATCACAACTCAACCCTTATCAGTCTTATAAACTTAACCTGTTCCTCTAACTGATATTAATATGGCTTCATGCCATACCATTACACACCAATTAAAGCACCCACCAAGTTCCGACTAATGAAGCTGTATATTTCCAGGGAGAACGACTACTCAGTGGGTTAAAACACCATTTGATCTGGGAGGAATGTACACGGATGTAGATATCTCCAGGTGTGGGTTCGTCAGAATCCCCTCTGTGACTACATCTCTGGAGGGAATCGGAGATCAATGGAGAGTAGTCGGGATAACTTCTGTATACAGCACTACCCTGACAGATTTCAGGGTTTTTGTTATGCCTCAACATGGCCACATAGATGAACAGCATGCTCGACAGGGACAGTGGAATGTGGATTGGATTGCAGTTGGTTTCATATGCTAATTAGATACAACTTTTGTTTTGACCGATGGTTTGAATTTTGTAAATTGACCAACCGATCCAGTAGTTTATCTCGATGTAAATAACATTTTAGGCCTGTAAATACAAGTGTTGTACCCAAAAAAAGTCACTAATTTTACGGTTGTCTTTGATTTTGGAGTCTTTAGGAGCTATAAAATGCAGTATTTTTGTCTAGTTGTTCTGTTCACTTTGACAGGAGCTGACATTACAATATTGAACGGATAAGAACAGAACGGTCCGGCACCCTGTGCTAAAGTATGCTCTGGAACTACTGGTATGTCACGAATTTTGGATATCTTTTTCTGACATTTTATCTCATGACGCGACGTGTTTGAGAGGGATAGTGGTGGTTGGTAAGTTTATAGTCAACCAGTAACCACGAATAACATAACTGGTAACTGGTAGGCCACCTTGACATAAGAAGACTTAAATACCACTTATGTCATGTTACTGCGTTGTGCTGCAAAAGGTTCATGGATGCTTATGATTACATCCCTAAAAGTCAGAACATCTGGACACTTCATCAGTTCATCCAGTTACTTCTATTGTTTATTGCTGTAACCAACAACACAAATATTTACCAGACCATAAACTGAGGTGCACTGTCACACTATTTTGACAGATGTTCTTATGTCTAGAAATTTACAAAACGAGTTAAAAGTTTACAGCGACTAGTCCCAACTATAAATAACGAACAGTAACCAAAATTCAATAATAATTTTACGCTTGTCTACGAGTTAGGAGTTTATCAGAGCTAGAAAATGGAGTTTTGTTGGCTAGTTGTTCTGTTCGCTTTGGCTGGAGCTGAAATTACAATATTGAACGGAGAAGAAGAGAACGGTCCGGCACCCTGTGCTAAAGTATGCTCTGGAACTACTGGTAGGTCACCACTCAAATTTTGGGCCAGTTTCTGAAATCCTACGAGATTTATGTTCACAAATTTTAAACTTACCATAACTCAACCCTTATCAGTTTTTCAGAAATTTAGATTCTCATCAAATATTAGTTCAAGCAAACGTTGCTAAATAAGATAGCTAGGTATTCTCACGACAGTAGGATCAACATCCACTCCGATTCCTAAAGTAATAACCCCCAGGGAGGAGAGCTACGAACTGGATTAATACCCCGTATGAGCTGGACGGTATGTATACGGACGTAGATATCTCAGGATGTGGATTCAGCAGAACCCCCTCCATAACCACCTCTCTTGAGGGTACAGGGAATCATTGGAAAACTGTGGGGATAACTTCTATATACAACACATCCCTCTCCGGATTTAGAGTGTTTGTAATTACTCAGAGTAAGGACCAGGATGCTAACTTTGCTCGACAAAAACAGTGGAATGTGGATTGGATTGCAGTTGGTTTCATATGCTAATTCAATGAAACTTTGTGTAAAATTTTGCAAATCGAAAAAACCAATCTTGCAGTTTATCTCGATTTAAATAACCAAAAAGCAAACCGTGACAATAATTGTAGTAAAGTGTGGGTGTTTGAGAGGTAATACCTGCAGAGTAAGTCAGGACCGAGAGTAACGACACAGTACGCTCTATTGTTATCTGCGTTACTTCCGCTCACATCACCCTTCAGGAACTTGTTCTCCTGCAGTACTTCTACCACCTGGTTGGAAACAGGGTTAGAATAGAGACCAGAGTTGACTTGTCACAGTTACTAAATCCAATCTACCTGGAATACCAGGCATATTTAATGTAAATACATACCACGCATATCCTAACCCATTTCTTTGAAACGGAGGTAAATTTAGCGCGTAGTTACTAAAATGTCAGACAAATTCGCACCAATAACCTAAATAGCCTTTCAATTTCAAATCTCAAACTATTAAATTAAATTGAATAATTTGAGATTTCCTTTACATTTTATATTTATCCATGTGCGTGCCCCACGGGGATGAATTTCTTATTACCATTGATATTATATATATTTTTTGAGTAAACATTGGCTGGTACCACGGGCCAGTCCCCAACAAAAAAAAAACAAAAAAAAATTTAAATAGCCTTTGAGCACAAACCTCCTTGATCTTCTCAAAACAGTTGAGTTGAAGAACAGCAACTCCTTTACAGAGCTGTTCGTCTTTAGAGGAGGGTGGTAGAGGGAAATGGTGAGAGGGTACGAATATCTCCCCTTCAACTACCCCACCGTAGGGGCAACACAGCCTGTTTATTGTTGTCTCTACTCGCTCTGTCACCATTTGATAGTCAGTTTTAATATATTTCGCCATGCGCCAGCGGCCAGATCATTCATCATACCACATCAAATCTCTTTTTTACCGGCCAACGCTGGCAATCCATGTAGCGTGGCTACTGGTTAAATTATTCTAAATTTGACAAATAAAGAAATATTACATTGCGTTGACAGAAAATAGCTAGGCATGTGCCGTAAATTTACCTCTGCTGTAGAAGGTAGGTAGCCCACATATCACGATGAGCCGCGCAGTAGGAGTGCACGTGGCGAGAGATTCTCTCAGCTGGCATAGCGACTGTTTTACACCTTCATTCCCACGGGGGTGTTTATCAACTAGGTTACGGAGGATGAGATTGCACGTGAGCGCCATCTCAAACCAGGGTTGGACTTGTCCTGGTTCAGAGTCTGGGTCTGGTGGTGACTTGGTGCTGTCTCTCCCTGGAAGGGTGGTTGTATCAATAGCTATCTGCATCATGGGATATTACTTTATACTAAATCATTCTTTTCAAGGAACACAAACTTCTTAAAATGTTCATCAATGAAATTCGGTGTGTCTTGATTTGTATTTGTTTATAAAAAGTAAAACAGAAGTATCTTGGGTAATAACACTGGAAAACTCTGTTTCAATAAATGTTCCACGACAAACAAATGGTCTCTGGTCCTCACCACGTTGTTTAACCCGGAGTTTTCTCCGCTTAGTCAACCCGGCCCTGTCTCCGCCGGATTTAGATCTCTTAACCAGAGGAGAACTCTTAGTTTCCTCCGCCTCCTTGCTCTCCTCATCGGCTCCTTGCTCCGATTTAGGGGATGTCAGCGGTTCAGCGACAATCTCTCGCAGGGCAAATACCAACTCCACTAGTCCTGGAGAAGAGACAGTGTTTGGTTTAGAATTTGTTTCTTTAACATTTTAAATCGAGCTACTTATCTAAATAGCGGTTTAAGACATGAATCTTGAGAATATTGATATGCAAGAATATTGTGAGTTTTGTGACTAACCACTACTATGCATGTTTATGAAAGTATAATGCTAGAAACACCACAGATTTAAACAGATCATTCGTCACTTTATCCTCAGTTATCATTGTATAATGTTATTATTAACCCTGGAAGTAGGTAGAAACTCTGAGGTCCTTGAGAGAACTGACTTCTTTCTTCTTACTGACTCCATTAGCTTTAAGCTCGTGGGAGAAGAGTGAGAGTAGTTCAGATAGGAAGGGTTTGAGTTTAGTGTTAGGGAACACAAGAGCAGGAGTGTTGGTAGGGATGAGACGGATCAGTTCTGCAAGACAATGGAACAGCAACTCCTGGAATAGTGGGACCATACATTTATAAACTTTAAGATGTTCCTGTGAGGTAATTTAAAGAACGTGTAAAAGTGTAAAGGCGAGAAACGCTGAGTTCATGAATTATTGAACGGGGCATTGGATGTTGTATAATATAGAGCGTTTAATACCACACTGTACCTTGATGGGAGGCACAAGATCGACACGTAACAGCACTTTGCACATTGCTTCAGCACAGTACAGTAGGATAGATGTAGGACACTGGTCTGTGTTGGCCACTTCTATCAGAGTCTCAATGTAGGACATAGCTAGACAGAACTCTGCAGGGACGCTGTGTAGGTGGACCTGAGCAAATTGTAGTTAGTAATTAAAATATAAGCAGGAGATTATAACTTAATGATAATCAATTATAATTAACATAATATTAATTGGATAAGTAATTGAATTTAATTGACAATTGCCACAATACATAATATTGTTTACAGAATGAGAGTTGTCTAGTGAACTAACCTGTACTGGTGGAGAAGGAGTACTGGAAATAGTTCTGACATGGACCCTATCAAAGGGTATCATAACAGTAGGGAACCTGGCGATACTCTGAACTGAGACGGCAGCTGGTTCTTGGTAGGCGGTACTGTATGTGGTACTGTTATAGGGGTAGTGTACCACTTCTTGTCGGAGCGGCTGACCGTCCCTAGCTAAACCTTGTATACCGTTATGTGCAAACACTCTGCAGAAAAATGGGGGATGAGTTACAGGTTGGATTATGTGGTCAGGTCGTGATTATAAAATTAATTTCCTTTCTTCAATCGTTCTAACCACGTATACGACTTTATGCAGGTTTTAGTTTAACACGTACGTTGTGCTGTAATTTGATATCGTAGAAGAGAAATGACGCAGTAAGTGTTGAAATGACAAATTAACCTGATCCATGGACACTTGGGGTAGTTGTCACTGCTCTTCTCATCAAGAGACGTTATCCTGCAGGAAACGTATATGTACGCCGCGTTAGTGAAATTAACGTCGTAGCTCGCCTTCATGTCTGTTAATCTGACTGTATCCATCGTAAACTTGTTCGGAGAATCCTATGAGTAGAAAATGTTAGGTTTCGTTTAATTTTAGCTGTAAAATTTCAAACACAAGGAAATATTTTTAAAGCTAGGTACTGTACTGTTCTAAACGTATAAACGATTGAACAATTCAAAATAGCAACTTAGTTCTGACGCCTCAATTAAGGAGGACGTCAGCGTTCCCGTTGCAAACACCAAATGTCGTCCTTTCTATCCACACGGGCTGTTTACTGCTTGGGTGGACGCTAAGGTACGTACAGGTCTTAAAACAAAAAATTGAAAAAGATATGAGAATATATATATTATACTCCATGACGCATACACGAAGACACTACCATAGTAACTAAAACATCAACGCCAAGATGTAAAATAATATCACCATACTATACACTCTATACGCTGTAAACGCTGTTATTCACTCATCACTGTCAATAGCAAGGTGATGCTTACGTTAAGAACTTTGCAGAATCTGGCAGTAAGCGACATCAAGGAGCACTCCTCGGTCACAGAATTACTGATCATCTTATGTAAAGCGTCCTTTAGTCTACTGCTATTGCTGTAGAAAAGTCTGGAAGGAATGAGACTGTTGTAATCGAGGACTTGTCGAGACCCTCTGGAGCATGACTCGGTTAGAGGCGGGACGGTGCCGTTTGGTTGAGGACCTCTGAGGAGCTCTTTGGAAAGCATATTAACGTATTCCGTGTTAGGGGGCTCGAGATTGTCTGAGGTCTGAAAGAGAAGAATCAGTGGTTAAAGTCAAATTATTTTAAAAATACATGAACATTTAATGACTTTAATCTTGTGAAGTCACCAATAATGAACAAAAAGGCACAAAATAGGAAACGTGACAACAAATTGCTGACAAACAAGACTCACAAATCCAGAGAGAGGAAGGCTGATGGAGGAGGAACTACAAGACTCCTGATCGTCAGTTGGGGAGGTGGTGTGACTGGTGGCCCGGGAGCTCAGCTGTCGAGGCAGTCTAAAGAAAGGTCGCGGGTTCTCCACCAGAGCCAGCAGAGCCGACCGACAGTACAGGTTTGCTAGAATGTTCTCGTGGTACAACATTTGCCTGATGGAGGTGCGTTTTGTAACAATTGTAGTGAAGTGTTTACTATAATTTTCACTACAATTCGTTAATTTATCTGCCAAATATGTGGATTACAGTATAAGAGTAGAAAAATGTTTTGAAAGACAGGTGATTTCAAGAGTGTAAAGTCAGCACAAATTTATTAATTGTTATCTGTCCCTACTGTTCGATAAGATTGAGTTTACAAAGTCTAGGATCGCATTTATCAGGTCCAGTAAAGTCGGATGAACTGTCAGTCACACTAATGGATCCATTGGACACTTGTCTGGAAACATTGGAACTCGAAGAAGTTGTTCGAGTATCGAGATTGAAGAAATTATACATCGAGGAGGACGAGCTCGACGAGCTGGCCCTTCTGGACTCTTCTTCCCCGGACTCCAGAATCATCAAATTTTCTGGAGGGTATTCGGAACTTGGGATCAGATTTGGGGTTGGATCGAGGAGTCCTGCTAGAAAGTGAACTGAAGGTGACCCCTCATCCAGCAACAAGCGAGTGTTCCTATTCCTGGTTCTCATGCCCCTCCCCCGGCCACCTGCACCTCGAGGGGGAGGGCCCAGGGTGGGTGTTGTCGTGGGTGTTGTCGTGGTTGTTGTTGTGGTTGTTAAGGGACTGTATTTATTTCTTGTAGTCGGTATGTTAAATCTGGAGTTTGTTTGTCGTTGTCGTCTCTTGTTCCTGCTACTAAAAATTCATCATCAGATTTCCGAATGTCAAATACGTGTTCGTAGTCAGATAAATGTAAAATACCTTATCACATGAAATTTAAACCTCACTTATATCGTCCGATAGTAAATTTATGCCAATTTTATTTGCACTATTTTTCCCATTTTCTTATAGAAGGAAGTGCGATTTGATGTCTATTTTTAACATAGAATTTGGACCAGTATGTGGATTGGTGAAAAGCAGTAGAACGAATCCAAGTCCAAAGAAATATTGGAGGATTTGAAAGGATTGCTCGAAAGATTACACTAGTCAGGAAGTGATGATCAACTGGAAGCGGAAGGCACTGACATAGTGATGTTAGAAGATGAGTGATCGATTTAATAAGACCTATCATCGCTATGTTTCATTTTCAACTTGAATTCAGTTAAAATGTGTTATACAGTGGATATGTTTAAAATTGGTTTAAAGACATGCTTATTCATTTTGTCAAAATATGATTCGGAGAAGCTTTATTCTTATAAAACTGGTAGTTTTTTTCTTGGTCTTACAGCTTCATTGAATCTTATTATTTAATTGTGTTCTTTATATATAGTAAATTACATTCATCGTATCGTATGATGCAAAATATACGGCCGTAAATCTAAGTATGCGAACTTTATAAGCACATTAAATATGCGTCACTTAATGTTTGCTCAATTAATTTGTGTGATTTTGACGAAACTCGCACAATTAAGTGTCGCAAAAATTTCATGTAATAAAGTATGTTGATTCATAGTCGAATTATAATTTAATTTGGCGGCAATAAAAAAGGACTTCTCTACGAACAGTATTGAGAGTTTTATAAGTGTTCCACAGGTTGCAGTTACCAACCTGTGCACGCAGTTACCAACCTGTGCACGCAGTTACCAACCTGTGCACGACGCAGTCCTTGACGTCCACATTGCACGTGCTAGCAGCGCTCATCTGATGGTGTATGGGTCGCTCCAACACAGCTAGAGGGTACCAGTACCTTACCAGAATACCTTCCTGTCTCAGGTAGGTCTCCACTTGCACCAACTCGTTAGACTGAGGGGTAATGAGGGGTTAGAGCTGGAGGGCCTTCAGGGGCAGGGGAAATTGAGGGGTTAAAGTAGATAATCATATCATACCGGTGTGGTGTATGATTTGATTTTTTTTGTGTCAGAATATGTATCGTTAACAATCCACAGTTAATAATATAATCACTGTCGACTCAACATCAGCTAACGCTCATCATAACTGTTATAAACAATCCACAGCAATAATAAAGGCCCTCTGAAGCTATATCCTAAATCTCACAATGAAATTTAATATTGAACGCTGGAAGATACCTATACTATCATCATTAGCGATCAGTGCTCTATACATATCCCGAGAATATAATCTACGGTAGTACGGTATCCACGTAAACTTATTAGTATATGAATCATGTTGAAAGTTATACCGGAAATAGAAATGATGTAAATGTTTTTCATAATTTGATTGAAAGTTAAAGCCTCGTTAAATTATGATGCTAGTACAGCGAACTTTTTGTGGATCATTTATAAACTTATTTGAACTAATTTTAAAACTCTAAGACTTGTACTTGACAAAAGAATAAAAATGAGGTGATATAGCGAGATTATCTGAAGTTGTAACTTGTATGAGGCGATGTAACAGATATGACCGGTTAAGGGCTGAGTTTTGCACAAACATGAGACCACAGTCCACATAATCAATCAATTTGATTAGAAAGTTTTGATAAATGTTTGGCAAAGGATTTTACAGAATGTCATCATCATCATCAGTTTCTTTTGCTCTTTAGTATCTTGAGGATACTACGATTACTAAATAACAACACAAAACTCTGTGACGGGCTACAAGTAAAATTTGTGCACTAAAGTAAATTGTATCAAAGGCCATAAAAATTTTATTTCCACCTAACTTTTGATGATATTCCTAATACTTGTCCATAATGCCTGAACCGATGTAGATGATAGAAGTGCATAACTTTGATATTTCCATACTAAGTCTCGCTTGAACGACTTTATTGTTCGTCTTCGTTGGGTATATTTTAATGTCGGAGCGTGTAATAATTGTTAGAATTTATTTATTTATCATTATGACAAGTTATATCATAATTACAAGCTACAGTCTACACTCACATAATCAACAGCAAGGACGATGCCATGAAGACCGTACGTGTAGTGCATTCCTCTGACACTAAACTTGTTGCCCTCGTTAGGATCCGGTTTAATTACCACCGTCATCCCTGTCCTTATCCGATCTGAAAGTAACATTCGTTAAATATATTGACACGTTTTTCTGCTACACGGAGTTAATCCATCGTTAATAAAAGCTGTTTCATAATTCCTGTGTGGACTTTGAAATTAGAAGGAGCAATTTCATTGTTTCTTGTCATAACAATCACAGAACTGTTGGTAGATTTAAAACACGTTGTTACTTGTCATTGTATTTTATCACAGACCACTGACCTATAGTAAATTTAGCGAGGTCCTCCTTGATATCATCTAGAGTAGGCAGGACCAGATCCTTGGGTCTCCCACCGTTATCTTCATACAGGAAGTCTACGGTTTGACAAGCGATCTCAGTCATACCCAAGAGCAGGGCTCCTTTGATCTGTTCCAGACCTGATCGTCTCTCTTGTTCGTTCCGGAACCTTCTTCTGATTACAGGAAACACCTGTGAAATGATTTACAAATAAATGAGATAAAGACTAATGAGTCTGTTTAGTATTTAGAGTAGAAGAAGAAGAAGAAGTGAAAAGAGAAGAGGCGACAAGAGTGGCCCTGAGAAGCTGCACTTACATGAATAATTTGAATACGTACCACAATCATATCCCTAAATATATGATCTGCGGTGGGTAGTTGGTCATGGTAAATTTCAAATCAAATGATCCACACAGAAAGTCAGTAATGTTGTGCATCTGTGAGGCGACACAGCGAATTAGACGGCGACACGACAAGTATGAAAACAGACACTACTGTACACTTCACCAAGTTTTCGTATTTGACATCTGATCCAACTCGTATATGGTATTTAAGCGTGTAACGACAAGTACACTAAACGTTAAAGTTAGATCCCGTTTATATCAACGACTCCTTTACCATTTGCATATAATGTTTAACTTTCCACTTCTTTTGAGACGCTGTAACATGAACTTTCTTTTCTCTCCACTGAACGTTTATTCTTAATGTAATCGGAAATTTAATATGAAGATCTGAATATAGAGTTAGCAACCATACTACAGAATTAGGATTAGGTTCGAAATATTAACTCTGAAGAGATTAGATCATTCTGAAAGCCAATATCACGGTGCATTTCGCCCAATCAGAATTGGTTTTGTTAATTCTTATAACATCTGTTTACCCGGCGTGTGTGAGGTCAGAAACAGTTCCAACAGTTAAATTTGTGATCATGTGCTCACTACTCTAAGTTTCACATTTCTGTTTTGTTTTAATTGCTAATTGCTTCCTCTTACTCCTAAATTCAAATCTTCGTGGTAGGTTTATTCTTCAACGTTTGTTGGCAACGTGGCCCCAACTCAAACTAAGAATATGATTTGAGTAGGAGAGTCCACGGAGCTAAGTGTTTCTAGATTTGTGTGTTTCAGTTAGTGATCCGTAATTGGGAAATGAGCCAACTCAGTTTTGACTTTTGAGTGTAGCTACGCTGTTGCATTACATGTTTTTAAATGTGCATTGCATGAGATCACGGAGCTGCTGTAAATCGTGAAGTGTAAACTTACACTTCCTCTTGGTAATTACCGGTTTAAACCTTGTTCGATATAGCTAATAGCCAATCACATTCTGTTGAATCGTGTCGTGTTTTTAAATCTGGTAGTAATCTAGCATTTCAAGGGATGATCTTATAGCTTAGCTCAAGCTACCTCCCATTCAGGGAAACTGGATAGTAACGACATAAATGTCTCTTTAATGTTGATGTCTCTTTATTTGCATGTTGAATTTTGTTAGGTTTGCATGCTGCATTAATAAATGTCCACATGTACATTTGACATTAAGAATATCCAATCCACATAGAACAAATGGTGCCTGTTATACATTAGGTATATTGTAAATTAGGCATTTCCCTCATTATCAGGACGATCTTTCTTATTATAAGAGACATGGTTCTACACACACAGGTGTTATTTTTACTGTTTGAAGTTCCTTTTGTTTGTTTTCTCCTAATACAAAGAATTCCTAATATAAAAAATTCCACTTCAAATGAAGATGAGAGTTCCTTTTGTTTGTTTTCTCCTAATACAAAGAATTCCTAATATAAAAAATTCCACTTCAAATGAAGATGAGAGTTCCTTTTGTTTGTTTTCTCCTAATACAAAGAATTCCTAATATAAAAAATTCCACTTCAAATGAAGATGAGAGTTCCTTTTGTTTATTTTCTCCTAATACAAAGAATTCCTAATATAAAAAATTCCACTTCAAATGAAGACGGATACATATTACATCAGTTAAGGAGCCTTATTTGTGGTACATACATTATCAGCTTGTTTCTGAAGTTTTGCTGGGCAACTATAATAGCTTTTAACAAGTTTAATGAGTTTAATGGAGGTCTTTGCACATAACCAATTTAATGGCCACCACTTCTGTTTGTTGTACAATACACCACACAATACCACAGTTACGTCAGTATTACATTGCCTGATCTCATTACCACAATGATTGATTAAATAACAACCGTTATAGAGAAACACGAGCAGGCAGAGCTGATACCCTGGTGTACACAGCAGAGAGAACACCACAATATATACCAGTACACTGCAGCAAGACACGCCACACTAAAACCTGTTACCACTTCCTCTAAAATACTATCAAAACAGATACTCCTCTGTACTCCTCTGTATATGTCCTTTCACATAGCGAACATTCTAGAACTGTGTGTAAACATTCTTCAGCACAAAGACTCTCCAATGATCTCGCCAGTTACAAGTGAGTGCGTTGCATTAAGTTTTCATCTTTTATATCTCCAGTTGGCGGATATTCTACCCAGATGTGATGTAACCCGGTTTTTTTAAAGAATGAATTTTGTTGCTACATATCTCTTAACGCATTCTTCCTGGCAGTGGTATTAAATATCTAGTCTAACAATCTCCCACCTCCCCAGACCGACGTCTTCCTTCACCCACCCTGCTACAGATGCTGCTGGTAACCTTCATCTACCTCACCATCATAACCCTGGCTCTTCACTACGAAATATACGTGTTACTCGTGGGCACTACACCAGCTCTCGCATACTTGTGGTGTAACGTGGTTTGCACACGAGGCATTGCCTGGGACTCTTGGAGCTTATCTGAATTCGTGTGGAAATAATGGTCTGTTTGATGAAGTTCTCTAGAGTTTTTATTATTTGGATTTGTAGATTGGTTAAAAAGCTAGGCAGTTTTTGAGCTTTTTTTCACGTTCATTTGTATTTATTCTGTTTATGCTATTTTTTTTCAAATAAAAATATTTTTTCTGGTGCAAATATGTTTTTCAAATAAAAAAAAGGTTTTCAAGTTTATGTTGGTTTTGTTAACTTTAGTGTTGCTAAGTTTGAAATTTGTATTACAATAAAAGAATTATCTAATGAAAGTTTGAAAAACGTTCACGTTTTTTACACAAATACACTTGTTTCAATGAGAACCAGCACATAGGGCACATATACTCGGACATAACTTGATTTGGAGGGTGCTTCCCAGTATTTTCAGTGAAATATTTGATAAGTTAAGAATTCCAATAATACTGACGAGACATCTAAAAAGCGCCCTACAAGCTACACCTCAATACAGTCTCTACACATTTCCTTGTTCCATAATGTAACCAGTATTGTACACGAAATAAAGCACAGACCCTCCAGCTTGTTACCATGTTGCTAGTGTTGTTAATCTCAGTGTTGTTAGTTAGTGTTGTTAGTGGGAGCAGTTCCTCCTTCAAGGACAAGACTAATAAGGACCTACATTGTCGCCTGGGGAACAAGGAGAAGCTGAAGGAGCTGTCCATTACTCCAGGCAAACACATCTACAATGACGCGGCAGGTAGAGAATATAGGGGCCCAGCATATTGTACAATGTACATTGTACATGTATTATTAACAGTAAAACAGTGCAACCAGCTAAACGTACAGATTGTAAATATAGGACCTATAAATATTGTTTGTTATTTGTTAACTAATTCATCGAAGAGTGCAAAGAAATTTCTCCCATCCTCAGTCCAATGTGTCGAGGCTTTTAACCTCACATTTCATGATTCATCAGGTGACACATACGTTTACAACGGAGCTAGCATTGAAGTAAGGTGCGTCAATCCTAAAGAAACATTCACTAACGGAGTCGTCAAAATAGTTGGTGCGTTATGCTTCCCTGCTCTTTCAAATGTAAATTATAGGTGCCTTTTGAGAGCAAAACACAAATTCCTCCAATCAATATCATTCTAAAACCAAATCTCCCTCTGTCAACAATCTGCCTTCCCCAGGAGATAGAAACGACTACAAGCTGTATAAATACACGATAGTACAATGTATGTACAGCACAGTCATAGTACCGGACATGTTCAGTGTGGAGAAGTTCTGTGCTCTTGGATGTCCGGATCCGGATCTCAGTGCTACCCACTATAAGATAGATCCGGAGAAGAATGGAGAAGATGAGGAGGACAAGGCTCCGTTTGATGAACGTAATAATAACCTGGTTTAGTTTGGATATCAACTCTTGTTCTTAATTTTACACTTTTAAATTCCCCCAATATTGTACATTTGAATTTTGTAGGTGTTCACTGTTCAGTGCATATCAAAACCCCGTGAAGATTTGTATTTTCTTATTTGTTAGAAGTTAACTGAACGGGGGTTTGAACTTATCAATATAAGGTTTAGTAATAATCACTAAACCTCTGACAGGGGATATTATTACTAACAATAATTATACATAATTAATTATTAGTAATAATATCCTCTGTCAGAAGAGTACACAGTGACGTGTAGGAATGGTTACGTGAGAGCGTACAAAGATGACGGAGACAACACTTTCACCTGTAAAAACAGCAAGTTTGACAAAACACAAGCTCAGCTGGTAACCTGTGCTCCAGGCTGTAAGGATCTGGCTAACGACATTCTACCTTACAGGTTACACAATAAATGTGCTTCAAGTTCCTATTTACGATTCAGTTTCATTGTTTTGTAGGAGCCTGGAGTAAAATTAAAAATCTTATTTTGTTTAAAAGCTTGTCCTACAACTTCCATCTTCCAGGAGAGCACTAGCGATAGTACCCTACAAAAGTGGAAGTAAGATCTCCACGCCACTAAACATGGTGTGGCCGGGTGCCCCCTACCCTCACGGAGCTAAACTCTACTTCGACTGCTACGGAGGCAGTGCCAACAGTGTTTCTTCAAGTGGGCCCTTGTATTGCTATACGACCGAGGATGGAGAAGGTTTAAAGATCATGTACCATTTATTTAAGTTATTTGAAAATTTAAACAGTTTTCTGTATAATTGATGTGCTCATTGTACTCAGTGTATGGCGTATGCAGTCACGAATTAAATTGTGATTTCCATTTCAGCGTGTGACAGTTGTACGGAAGAACTCGGATGGTGGAATAAAAAAGTACCAGAGTGCAAATGGAAAAGTGCAGATTTATAATCTCATCCTGATTTCTTTATTAATTACAATAGGAAAATGAAAAATGCTATTTAAGACTTGACAAAAGATATTCAACAGACTTTTTACAGTGGACTTAATGGTTCTTAATATTATCGGACTCACAGACTAACAGTGCTGGTTAAGCACGACCATCAGCCTTTATATCCCCTTTACTTCAAAATTTTTTTCATTTAGACTCTTCAAAAGTCGTTCGGCAGGTTTATTTCTAGTTCAAAATATTCCAATTCAATTTTAACCATGGATAAAACGGGCTAAAAAAAACGCGTTGTACTACAGAGCTACAGCTAGGGGTACTTTAAGTTTATAAAATATGATAGGAGGGGAGTATAACGGGTGGTACCAGTTCCATATTTTTATTTGAAATAAAACATCGCCGATGAGTTGCGAACGTGAACGTTTTTATATTAAACTCTACTAGACAGCGCCAGCTTCTCACTTGTCTATGAACTTTATAAAACAATGGACAGTCTGAGGTCCCCGTGTGAGTTAGATTCAAGCCGGATCAAGTTTGATCAATATAATACTTTTTTTTTTCTTCTTTTTTTTTAAAGAGAGGCTGGGCCTGGTTGGCCCACGAGAGGATAGCATATGGATGCTTTGCCTACCTCTGGGGTATGGCAGTCCTGTGGGAGGATGCCAGTGGAATCAAGATGTGTAATCACGGATGATGGTAAGTTTTGTGGGGTGTGTTATAGATAAACGCTTAAGTGGTGGTTGAGTGTGGAAGAGAGGGGCGAAACAAGACGGCGTTAAAGTAGTCGCTATGTTACACCTGTCTGGTCCAACTCCTCCGGCACCACTAAGCGTTTAGTGTGGTTTGTAAAGTTGACAATGGTGGAGATGTGTTGGTTGTCGAATATGTCATTGACAGAGAGGTAGTAGTCCCGGAAATATTGACCTCTTATTTGGGCAATAGCCGGGCACTGTCCGAGAAAGTGTGAGACAGTCTCCTCTCCGTCGCCGCATTTAGGACAAGCACTTGTGTCTGATTTGTGAATGGTGTGTAGGTGTTTGTTGAGGCCACAATGTCCCGTGATGAGGTGCACTGCAGTTCTGTAATTTTGTCTGTTGTTACTGAGTGTAGTGTTGAGATTTTTGATGATGTTGATGTTTTTATGTCCAAGTGTCAGTTTAGTGTGTCTGGGACCATTAGTAATCCATGATTCTTGATTAAGTTTTGTGACTTTGTCGTTGATCAGGCGTTTGATGTAAGATTGTGGAATTGGGCAATTCAAAGTGGATTCACTGGTTGTGCCATTTTTGGCCAGCTCGTCTGCTTTTTCATTACCCCACAATCCGATGTGTGCTGCTATCCATCTGATCTCTAAGGTGTTAGTGGATCCGAGTGTATTGAGGGTGTCGTAGCAGTCTCTAGTAGTTCTACTCCTCGTTGAAGGTGAGGATATAGCTTGAATAGAGGAGAGACTGTCTGACCATATGATGATATGTGTGTTTGTGTAAGTTGATAGATATTTACAATATAATACTTACATTAACAGTAAACACAACATGAAATTTCGTTCTAAGTCTGTTTTATTGTCCCAAACTGGTCGAAGTTTCATTGTCATCTGGATTGTGGATCGGAACAGCAAAGAGAAAGATTTGGCAACATCAAAACATGTCACTTTATATTTTGTTGCTGGTCTGCAACGAGTTGTGGACTCTCTTCATTATCGTTATTTCTCATTACTCAATCTAATCTCTTAAACTGTTAACGATGAAGTGCTTCAGCGTAGTATTCTTCACGGTACTTCTCACCGCGGTGACTGGAGGATCTAAGATAAAGAACCTCAAAAATGATATTGCAACTCTAGAAGGCGCTTTTTCCTCAGTCCTTGAAGAAACAGAGTCGGCGATCGCAAACATGACAGCCCGAATAGACAAAATGGAGGCAGAACGAGTGAAACTGGATCAAGCACACGCCTGGCAAGCTCTCCACATGGCAGCAGCTGCTGCTTGCAGAGGAAGCACAGCTACTGGAGGCAGCGGACCTTGGGGAAACGCTGTCATCGCTAAAGAAAACACGAGAAGTTGTACCGCTGTCTGCGGAGATACCGTGTTCAACCTGTGTGACGCTGACATCTCCGTCAGTGGTTACATTGGAAAAGCTCAGTCCTACTCACAGAGACTGGGACACTTCTTCAACTACGGGTGTGGAACTCCTGGGAACACGAACGAGAAGTTTGACGAGGTGAAAGCGGGAGGAGATGACGTGTTCAAAAATATCGACACCGGTAATTGGTACTACCGCTTTTGTTGCTGCAGGAAAGCTTAATGGCAATGAAATGTTAGCGCCGATAGATTGAACACTAGTTAATCAGATCATAGATGGTAGCCTTTTGATCGCTTCATTTTTGTGAAATAGTAGACATTTTTTGACAACAAATTGTTATACAAATTTTCATTATACCGATACATTTGTTTTATTTCTCGTAATATAATGTAGACAAGAATGGAAAAACAACAAATTATACAAATGAGTCTAGCTAGTCACGATCCAAAGGAGATCACAATAAAAGGGTAATCATACAGCATACTCCAGCAGGGACTGACCTTGGCTTCCCATGCTCGTACCAAGAGAGCATAATGGTCTTGTCTCTGTTCCTCCACCTCTTCTTCTAGCACTGCCTCCTCGTCATCCACTATACTCCCTGTAACGGATATATATATATATATATAGGGGGGGATCATGTTATTTTTTGTCCGTTTTTGTCCGTTAATTTTTGTCCGTTTTGAAAATATAGCTGCCAAACGGACAAAAACGGACAAAAACGGACAAAAATTGTAACTTTTGATTTAAATTTTCTCCACAATTTGTAACAGGCTATCTGCAGAAATGGGTAGCCCGGTTAATGACCAAGGTCCTTCCTCAAACTTTTAATCTTCAATTAGGCACAAAGAATAGTCTACACATTTTTTAATAACATAAAAAGGGATGAAAAGTTTTATTACTGGAGAGTAAAACTTTGTTAAACACAAAGATTCTTGAGCACATTTTGAGTCAGACTCAAATGCGCTTAAAAACATTTTAGTATATAACAATAAATTATGTTAACAATAACACCAACAATAATTATAAATTGAACAAATTATTGAGAGATGAAAGAGAGGAAAAGGAGGAGGGGGGACTGAGGAGGGGGACTGAGGAGGGAGAGGAGGGGGGCTGAGGAGGAGTGAGACTGAGAAGGAGAACTGAGGAGGAGGAATGAATAGGAGGAGGAGGAGAAGAAGGACTCAAGAGGAAGAGGACCCAAGAGGAGGAGGACCCAGGAGGAGGACCCAGGAAAAGGCCCCATGAGGAGGACTGGGGAGGAGGAGGACCGATGAGGACTGATGAGGACTGATAAAGAGGACTAAGGACGAGGAGGAGGAGGAGGAGGAGAAGGACTGAGGAGTGAGGAGGAGGACTGATGAGGAGAAGGAGGTGTATGAGGAGGATGAGGAGAAAGGAGATGAAGGATGAGGATAAGGAGGACTGAGGAGGAGGACTGGTGAAGAGGACTGATGAGGAGGAGGACTGAGAAGGGGAGGACTTAGGAGGACTGAGGAGGGGAGGACTTAGGAGGAAGAGGAGGATTGAGGAGGAGGAGGACTGAGGAGTAGAAGGAGGAAGAAGACTGAGGAGGATCAGGAGGACCCAGGAGGAGGAAGAGGAGGAGGACTGAGGAGGAGAAGGAGGACCCAGGAGGAGGAACCAGGAAGAAGAGGAGGACTGAGAAGGAGGACTGAGAAGGAGAAGGAGGACTGATGAGGAGGATGAGGATGAGGAGGAGGGTGACTGGGGAAAGGATTGAGGAGGAGGAGGAAGACTGAGGAGGAGGAAGAGGAGAAGGACTGAGGAGGAGAAGGACTGAGGAGAAGGAAGAGGAGGACTGAGGAGGAGGACCCAGGAGGATGAGGACACAGGAAAAGGCCCCAGAAGGAGGAGGAGGACTGAGGAGGACTGAGGAGGAGGACTGGTGAGGAAAAAGAGGAGGACCCAGGAGGAGAAGGAGGAGGAGGAGGATAACTGAGGAGGAGGAGAAGGACTGAGGAGGAGAAGAGGGATCCAGGAGGAGAACCCAGGAGGAGGAGGAGGAGGACTGAGGAGGAGGACTAAGGAGAAGGAGGACTGAGGAGGAGGATGAGGAGGAGGGTGACTGGGGAAAGGACTGAGAAGGACTGAGGAGGAGAATGCGGACTGAGGAGGAGGAACCAGGAAAAGGAGGAGGAGGAGGAGGAGAAGGACTGAGGAGTGAGGAGGAGGACTGATGAGGAGGATGAGGATGAGGAGGAGGGTGACTGGGGGAGGACTAAGGAATATGAGGAAGACTGAGGAGGAGGAGGAAGAGGAGAAGGACTGAGGAGGAGAAGGACTGAGGAGGAGAAGGACTGAGGAGGAGAAGCAGGAGGAGGAGGACCCAGGAGGATGAGGACCCAGGAGGAGGACCCAGGAAACGGCCCCAGGAGGAGGAGGAGGAGGACTGGGGAGAAGGAGGACTGTTGAGGACGAGGAGGAGTAAAAGAAGGACTGAGGAGGGGAGGAGGAAGAGGACTGAGGATGATCAGGAAGACCCAGGAGGAGGAGGACCCAGGAGGAGAGGAGGAGGAGGACTGAGGAGGATGACTGAGGAGGAGGAGGACTGAGGAGGAGGAGGAGGACTGAGAAGGAGGAGGACTGAGGAGGAGGAGGACTGAGGAGGAGAAGCAGGAGGAGGAGGACCCAGGAGGATGAGGACCCAGGAGGAGGACCCAGGAAACGGCCCCAGGAGGAGGAGGAGGAGGACTGGGGAGAAGGAGGACTGTTGAGGACGAGGAGGAGTAAAAGAAGGACTGAGGAGGGGAGGAGGAAGAGGACTGAGGAGGATCAGGAAGACCCAGGAGGAGAAGGACCCAGGAGGAGGACCCAGGAGGAGGAGGAGGAGGACTGAAGAGGATGACTGAGGAGGAGGACTGAGGAGGAGGAGGAGGACTGAGAAGGAGGAGGACTGAGGAGGAGGAGGACTGAGGAGGAGGAGGACTGAGGAGGAGGAGGAGGAGTGAATAGGAGGAGGGGGACTGGGCAGGACTGAGGAGGAGGAGGACTGAGGAAAAGGATGAGGAGGACTGAGAAGGAGGACTGAGCTGAGGAGGAGGACTGAGGACTGAGGAGGAAGAGGAGGAGGATGAAGAGGAGGTGGACCCAAGAGGAGGAGGTCCCAGGAGGAGGACCCAGGAGGAGGACTCAGGAGGAGGAGGAGGATGACTGAGGAAGACTGAGGAGGAGGAGGAGGAGGAGGAGGAGGAAGCTTATAAATATTATTTCCATTTTTGTTATTTTTTGTCCGTTTTTGTCCCCCCAGGAGGAGGAGGAGGAGAAGGATGACTGAGGAGGAGGACTGAGGAGGACTGAGAAGGAGGAGGACTGAGGAGTACTGAGGAGGATCGCTGAGGAGGATCGCTGAGGAGGATGGCTGAGGAGGATGGCTGAGGAGGATGACTGAGGAGGATGACTGAGAGGGAGGAGGAGGAGAACTGAGGAGGAGGAGGAGAAAGAGGACCCAGGAGAAGGACTCAGGAGAAAGAGGAGGAGGAGGACTAAGAAGGAGGAATGAGGAGGACTCAGAAGGAGGAATGAGAAGGAGGAGAACTGAGGAGGAGGAGGAGGAGGACTGAATAGGAGGAGGAGGGGGACTGGGGGAGGACTGAGGAGGAGGAGGACTGACGTGAAGGATGAGGAGGAGGACTAAGGAGAAGGACTGAGGACTGAGGAGGAAGAGGAGGAGGATGAAGAGGAGGAGGAGGACCCAGGAGGACGAGGACTGAGGAGGATGATGAGGACTGCAGAGGAGGAGGACTGAGGAGGACTGAGGAGGACTGAGGAGGACTGAGGAGGACTGAGGAGGATGGCTGAGGAGGATGACTGAGAGGGAGGGGGAGGAGGAGGAGGAGGACTCAGGAAGAGGACTCAGGAGGAGGACTCAGGAGCAGGACTCAGGAGCAGGACTCAGGAGGACTGAGAAGGAGGAGGACTGAAGAGAACTGAGGAGGATGAGGAGGAGGACTGAATAGAAGGAGGAGGAGGGCGACTGGGGGAGGACTGAGGAGGAGGACTGAAGAGGACTGAGGAGAAGGATGAGGAGGAGGACTGAGGAGAAGGACTGAGGACTGAGGAGGAAGAGGAGGAGGATGAAGAGGAGGAGGAGGAGGACTGAGGAGGAGGACCCAGGAGGAGGACTCAGGAGGAGGAGGACTGAGGAGGAGGACTGAGGAGGATGACTGAGGAGGTGGAGGAGGAGGAGGAGGAGGAGGAGGAGGAGGAGGAGGAGGAGGAGGAGGAGGAGGAGGAGGAGGAGGAGGAGGAGGAAGCATCTAAATGTTATTTCAATTTTTGTTATTTTTTGTCCGTTTTTGTCCGCTTTATTTTTTGTCCGTTTTGAAAATATAGCTGCCAAACGGACAAAAAACATGATCCCCCCCCCCCATATATATCACACATGACACACCTCACAGCTTGTATCACAAGAGCGGAGAATCCACTGATGTATGTATGTATGATTATGTCAATTTACAGGTGAGTTAAGTTACATTTAGGTGGTGACCGGAGACAAACCTTTGGTATTAGGACCAGTCTCTACCAGGGCAGTGTAACCAGCAGGAAGTTTACACTTGGAGCTGGAACTGGTGTTGTACTCTGCAGATTTGTGTGTTCTTTTAATATATTGTTTCAACTTTACATCGACAAATTCCGTGTGTTATTTATGTAAATGAGTATTTAAGTATTTCTATATTCCATTTCTATTGGAAACTATAAACGAAGGAGTTAGCGAGAAGTACCGAAAGAATAATTCTGATGTAAAATTTACCTGGCATGGGTAGCTGTTGTGGGGCGTCATGAACTGGGATCTTAGCGGCACTCCCAGCTCGTGATGACGTCACACCTCCACCAACACTTTCGCTTTCACTTTCAGTCTCACTGAAAGCACCAATGGGGAGGATCTCGCTGAGCCGTTCCTCACTAGCAGCAGGGCTCACAGCCGGTGTTCCTTCGTTGGGGGTCTCGCAAGGTGTGTATTTAAAGGGCTGGGTTCCGAAATTAGCTCTTACTCTAACGCCCTGAGTTGATGATTGTTAGTTATATAATAATCCGCTATTTTCTAAAAATTGCCCCAAAATACGTCCAACAACTCGTTTGATTAGCGTTGTTTTAATTTTTTAATCCATCAAATCTTCGTTGAATAACCGCTAATCTTGGGGTAACCTACCTTTCTGTGGACATGTATGACAGGGAAGAGACCAGCAGGAACGTCTTGCTGCTCCCCTTGTAGGACAGCACCGTTTAGGGTGAAGTAAACACGACCAACAGCTGGGTTTGCAGCTGTCCAGCCGATACCTGGGAGGAGGAGGAGGGGTTAACATGTGGTGCGGGGGCAAATGAGGCACGTTCAAAACCGAAACATATAATGCGCAATAATTGCACGTGCATAATAATCATATTATAATAATATTTACTATATTATATTATTATAATATTATAATTCAATAGTGACGGTAGGAATGACTCTGATGTACGGCACGATATAAAGACATCAGACTATCACTGGCTAGTGATAAAATATGATATAATTATATGCATAGGTCACTTTTGCTTAATTTGCCGACGAATACTTGATGGTTTGAGCTGCATAATCATTAATCATGTGTGAATCACAGTTTTTGGCAAAATTCTAACAATATTTGCCGTTCAGAATTCAGATCAGCAATTTCAAAACTGGCGTGATGAACATTTACCAACAGGCAACAAATCTGATTGTTTTGTTCTTATTGGCTTCTAGGATTAGGAGGGGACCAATTTTATGATTATTGAAGTAGTAGCAAGGTATTCTGTCAACAGTTCGTAATTATGTCATTATGATGGCCCAAAAGTAACTACCCACACGCAACTCTTTAATAACTCACGTAATTGGTGTCAGAATTGCTTAAAAATTTCAGAAAATATAGATATGGGTCAAACTTAGATTTCCTGAAATTTTCGTGAAATTTTATCAATTACAGAGGGTGTGGCACACCACTCACCACTCCCTTCCACACAACTAAACCGAGATATGACCTTTTTATTTATTTTAAAGATCTGGCGGATACATGATCTCGGCACTTAATCTGAGATTTCTTCTCTCAATAATAATAATAATAATGTCATAAACACATGTCATAAATTTATCAAGGTATGCTTTTTTGTCACCAAACATGATACGAACACACTTTTTCTGGGCTACAAATAGTGGTTGAAGTTTATTATTACATGCACCTAGCCTCCCCAAACGGTAATGCCATAAGATAGGTGACTTTCAAACAGTGTGTGGTACAGGTCCTTAAATTATGGATAGATGATGGAATTTTATCCTTAATCATGTACAGCCTCCCAGAACAGGACGAGAGTTTTCTAACTAGTTTGTCTCTATGACTAAAGGGATTGAACTAACTAAGGGGTATACATGTGTTGGAGTTTTTCTCTTATTTTTCTTCTCTTGCTCTGCATGCCCTGATTCTTGTATAAACATGATGTTTGTTATATTGTATATTCTTGTATTGATTGTGGTATTTTGTGGGTCAGATTCAGCAATACCCAATGGGTACTTGCTGAATCACTGTTTTATACACTCTGTAGCCAGTCCCTGTGTTCCGTCCCTTGCCCTGCAAGCCCTGTTTCTTGATTATACAGCATTTATTTATCGTGTATTACATTGTAGTATTACATTATATGTAATAAACATTTGTAGTAGTGTAGGATTGTTTGAATTTCTTTTTGCTAGGTTTTATAATATTTATTTGTATATTTTGTAATTGTTTCTCCCGGTTTCCTTCCCTTGCGTAGCAAGCCCTGTCTCTTGTAAAAACAACCTCGAAAGATTTGTAGATACACATAGTCTCTACACCTTTACCCTCTGGTCCCTAGGGTCAGCTGATCCCGGGCCAGAGGGAAACTACCGACTGCCAAGGTTTGACGCCTAGGCAGTCGAGACCTCTTATTGAGACCCTTTATAATAATAATAAATTAATGTTATTTTTATACAGCACCAAAAGGTTAAATAATTTAAATTTAACCCTTATGCACAGCTGTAAATGACACTTAAATTAACGAGAGTGTGCATCTTTGCCTTAGACGGAGGTGGAACAAGAAACTGTTCAGAAAACAGGCGATAAAAACTGTAAAATACAACGTGACTAAATAAGGCAGATGCACCTAACAAGCAGATATCCAAGAAGGGTTAGCAGGTTTTCTAACAGAGGACTAGAGGAAAGGATAATGACTACAAGAAATTGCAGTATGAAACTCAACAGCCTAACAAATTTAAAAATCAGGTTTATAAAAATGAAATTCCCTGATATATTAAAAATTCTATAAAAACTCAATAAAAATTCCTTAAAAAATCCATAGAAATTCTATAGACTCCAAATATACAAACAATCTGAAGTTTCCAATATACAATAAAAATTGATTGAAAAAGTTTACTGCAGAACAGTAACTGATGATAAAGATTATATCTGAAAATCCAATACAGTCATACCAAACAATGATCTGATTGGTTAGAACCTGCTCATAGGAGTCTAGGACAGCAACCGAAGCGCTATAACGTGACTTTCTTTGATTTTAAGGAAAATCACTACCAGTATTCACTTTAAGTGATCAGATCGTCATCCCCCAACATGCTCGGTACCGCCTAATGAGGCTCATTATTGCCCGCTACTGAATAGCTCCCGATAAGATCACTGATCGGGTGACGAAATCATTGATTAAGTGCCGAGATCACGTATCCTAAACAAGGAAAAAAGAAAATCGCGATTATTTAGACCAAAAATGCCAAACTAGGCAAAATTGCGGCGAAAATCTCGAAAATCGCAGCGAAAGATAATTTATTTGCAGAGCAAAGTTAGATGTCATATATTCGTTAACTAGCTCGTTAGTCTAGTTAGATTTGCTATTAATTTTAATTGAAAGTTTTTGTTATCTTTAAATTAACTATATATCTAAATATCAAATTAATAAAATATGTAATGAAAAAAATATGTTTTATACATTGTGTTTATAATTACATTGCTATTATATTTATATTTTAGGCTGTAAACTTTTTAGTCCAATGGAATAAACCTAGCATGTCTTGGTTGCAGCGTCGCTTCACTTATAGGTGCATATAGGGCCCGATGTAATTGCTATGACCAGTTTACTGGTCAACTGGTGTTTTGGTGTCCCTAATTTTGTTTACACTCGATCACTTGTCAAGGCATGGAAGGTTATTCGGCGAATTTTTTTTGAAATAAAATGCCGTTTTTGTCCTTTAATTTTTGTCCGTTTGGTACCTATATTTTCAAAACGGACAAAAATTAACGGACAAAAACGGACAAAAATTGTAACTTTTTATTTAAATTTTCTCCACAATTTGTAACAGGCTATCTGCAGAAATGGGTAGCCCGGTTAATGACCATGGTCCTTTCTCAAATTGTTAATCCTCAATTAGGTACTAAGAATAGTCTACACATTTTTTGGAGGAGGAGGAAGACTGAGGAGGAGAAGGAGGACTTATGAAGAGGAGGAGGATGACTGAGGAGGAGGACTGATGAGGAGGACCCAGGAGGAGGAGGACTGAGGAGGATGACTAATATAAGGAGGAAGAGGTACCAAACGGACAAAAACGGACAAAAAACATGATCCCCCTACTTTACCATACTACACGTAATCAAACAAATAAACCCAGTTTACAATGAGATACCATCACGTGATCGAATCACGTGTTTTGATAACAAAGCTAGAAACTAAGGGGTAAGGAGAAACACTGCTTTTCATGTGTTTTATAGATTGACCATGAGTTCATTTTCACAAATTGTACTACTAGTTTTAACTATAATTCTATAGATTATCTTATTGTGGGGACCGAGGGCTCATCATCCGAGTATAAGGCAGAAACTCCTGAATTAGGGGTAGACACTAGACTGGTTCGTAGGGTAATGACTTGCTAGTTGGTTTGTACTGTGTGTATAACATAGTAGGTCTGTGCGGCTTCTAGTGATAATACCACTGGGAGACTTTGGGTCAGGAAACTGATCCGGCCCCCAAGAGGGGTCAGATCACGTCACCAATTAGTGACGTATAATCTATAATAAGTCATGTGATCCATGGATTGAATATAATTGACATAGAAATGAGCTAGATCTGGGGTAGAGTGGTGTGTCACACCCTCTGTGATTGATGAAAGTTATTACGAAAATTTCAGGAAATCTAAGTTTGGCCCATATCTATATTCTCTGAAATTTTAAAGCAATTCTGATGCCAATTACGTGAGTTATTTTTAAGGGTTGCGTGTGGGTAGTCACTTTTGGGTCACCCTGTATAATACATATGGCAGATGGACATGGTAACACCGTGCAGCACATTGTGATCTTAACCTTAACAGCTGTGAGTTCAACAGTGAGTTTATTGCCAACTCACCCAGTAGCTAGTTCCCTAGCCGTGATGCCATACACCTTAATAAGTATCCAAGCCACACACAAACGTTTTGGCTTCCACCTTTAATCACATAATCGTCCATAGAACAATGGGCGAAACAATACAGTAGTTTGAGGACTGTAAAAATTAGCACAACAATGAGACCAATCTCGTGAACACTACTCTCCCATTTTATACTCCTACTCTCTTCGCCCGTTCTCTTGTTTGCTTCCAGTTCAACAGAGAAAAATCCAGAAATATTTTACGATTACCACTCGTAGGCTGAAAGCGATCCCTGCCAAACTAACCTAAAGTACCTAAAGTAAGTAAGTGAACCGAGTAAGTCAGTAAGCTAGTTATCCGAGCCAAGAGTCTGAACTGGATAGCCTGGATAACGTTTATGAACACAAATTTTCAGACTCACCCAAATGAAGCCAAGAATCAAGAGTGTAAACCTTAGCATATACTAAGTTTTTATAAATGACCCCTTACAGCTCTAAAACAGTTAACAGGATAACAGATTTCACCCTTCTACGCGTTGCCTCAAATCCAAATTTCAGGAAGTTTTTTAAGATAATATGGGTAACCTTCCTTAGTATCCAATATAAAAGATGTCTCCAATGAATATTATATATACATGTTGGATAACTCACAGCCATCAGTGCTAGTCACCATCCCCCCAGCCTGACATGAGTCTGCTTATAATTTCAACTATGTAGATTTAATTATAAGCGTAACTGTTCCTCACAACGAACTGCGCGAACGTGCATAATAATTATAATACCTTCCGGGAATTATATCCACTAAAACTCGGGGACACCGAGGGCTGATAATTTGCTCATTTTTCCCGCAAGAGAAGCGAGGGTATTATCAGCCCAGACTCAGACTGGCTGGCGGCAAGTTTCAAAACAAATAACACTGGCGTTCTATATATTAGACACTATATTGTATGATGCGCACGTATCGGATTACACCCCTTCTGCAATCGGAACCGGAACGTATTATAAAATATAATACCTCCGCAACTTCGTGCCCGCAAATTCCCTCCAGCAAGCTGTCGGGAATTATAGCGCGCAGCACTCAGTGGCGGAGGTATTATAGTATTATATTATACTAATATTATTTATTACATTATTATTATCAATTATTAATCAACTATATACAGCAAACACAAGATAATAGGAAATAAATCATAAAATCGAGTAGCCGAGTAGTCTCGACTCACCCATAGCTTCTCCATAAACGTCTATCATGAGCTTTGTACACTAAATCGCTGAAATTACTTAAACTAAATCTTTTATTTACAATCACAATAATATTCTTCGTCATAATGTCTTTTAATAATAAATCAAATAAATTTGAACGAGGTCTGCCCCTCTTTCCTTTGTAGTCAAGACATCGTAAACATACAAATCTAAAAGATAAGAAAGCGGGAGTGTCATCACCGCTTCTGAGAACGTGCCCAAGCATCTTCCATCGTGCTTTCTTGATCCTTTCAGTAAGGGGACTTTATTACATTATATTATCATAAAATCATAATTCAGTAGTGACGGTAGGAATGACTCTGATGTACGGCACGATATAAAGACACCAGACTATCACTGGCTAGTGATAAAATATGATATAATTATATACATAGGTCACGTTTGCTTAATTTGCTGACGAATACTTGATGGTCTGAGCTGCATAATAATGTGTGATTATGTTTAACACAGTTTTTGGCAGAATTCTAACAATATTCGCCGTTCAGAATTCAGATCGGCAATTCCAAAACTGGCGAGATCATGAACATTGACCAACAAATCTGACTGTTTTGTTCTAATGGCTTCTAGGATTAGGAGGGATACAATTTTATGATTATTGAAGTAGCAGCAAGGTATTCTGTCAACAGTTCATTATTACGATGATAGTTATAAATAATAATGAGTATTTTAATTGATACTACTTCCTTTTTTGGCCTTACCTTCCAGCCTTCTGGATCGCTTCTAGGGATACATAATACATATGGCAGATGGACATGGTAACACCATAAGATAATATGGGTAACCTTCCTTAGTGACCCATCCAATATAAAAGATGTCTCCAATGAATATATACATGTTGGATAACAGCCATCTAGTCACCATCCCAGCCTGACATGAGTCTGCTTATAGTTCAACTATGTAGATTTAATTATAAGCGTAACTGTTTCTCACAACGAACTGCGCATGTAAACAAAAGGTAGCGACACCGTGGTTAGCCTCTCTGAATTAGCATTTTGAACCAATTTAGCACTAGTTTCCAGTCTGGAGGTAAAACCACAGCTACAAGTGGGTAACAGTGCACACATCACCTCAACCATACGCCATCCCCACCGTAATCAAGATGAGACACCCCCCCCCCCCCCCCCCGTAATCAAGACCCAACCTTAACCCCCCTCCTATATTACGTAATCAAGATTAGACACACCCCCCCCCCCCCCCCATTTATTTATTAAAAGCTATCACAACGGATTGATGAATGAAATAATCGCAAAGCACTTACTAAACGAAAATTGGTTTAAAAAACGAAAATTTTGATTACATAATTAACGAAAATTGTCCAATTGGTATTTCGAAAATCGGTAAAAAATTAAAAATTTGATTACGTAATCAACGACCCCTAATCGCTGTGGCTAGCTCGTTCAACATAAAGAATAATATTAACAAACTATTCCTCCAAAATATGTATTGTTTTTAACTATAGGGACTATACTTATGCTACTGTCATCTTTTACCGTTTACCAACTTAACGTAAAGACTGATGGCTAACATTAATACAGTAAATTTGATATTATTTATACTTTTCATTTATCAGTCCAACAGAACCAGGTCTTTTTAAATATCTAATTATAAGTACGACTACTTTTTCGAGTTTAAAACATTTTCGCAAGGATGGTTCACATATTACTTAGGCCATTTTTGGCCTATATATACCCTCTCCCCCTCCTTAAGGCCACTTTAAACACAACTATTGTGTGAAATGCAAAGCTTTACCATGCCCCATCCTCTTTAGCTGCTTTAGGCTTGCTTACGTAATACTATGTGAATGATCCCTAAATATGCTATGGCAACGAAAAGAGCACCAGTAAAACTTTTAGAACCACATAGGACGTTGTGGCCCTACATAATTACTTAAGTGTTGCTGAACTATAGAAGTATTATAGAGTATAGCCATTAGTCCAGAGCATTCACAACTTAAGCTGTGAAAATTCGCTATAGATATTCGATATCAGTGAAGCGGTTTCTAATATGTGAGGCTGTTATATTTTCGTTTGAGTATTTATATTAGCCGTAGTAGTTGATTAGTTTCTGGAGCGGCAATTTATTTTCATACTAATCAAAATTGTTATTTAACATTTCGTTGTTGTGTTTAGTACTAGTAGGAAGCACTCAATTATGAGTGCCGAAACGTCGATTTCAGAGATTACTTGTATTCGCCCAAAAACTAACATGCTCTTACAATACCATTAGCTGTTCAAATTACAAAGGAAAGACAGTAGGAGAGAGAGCTTCGGTCTGTGCGACATTTTGTTAGCCTTACCAGCATTTCTTGCACAATGTTGATGTTCCTGATTTTAGTGGTGTCCTTGGACTCTGCTTATTCTCAAGGTTAGTTTGTCTTATGAACCGGTAAATTTAGTTACCTTTGGTGTTAAAACTACTGAGTGCTGAGTGCATCAATTGATAGCTTCCTTGAGTGATCGTAAAAATTGATAAAATCCATAATATCAAGTACTATGTCTATAGCATTTGAAGGTTTTGAAAATAGAAAAGATATTTGCTGTTAGCTGGTGCAGTTGTTAAGAACGACTTAAATGAAGAAAGATGTTTTATCACCGTGCAACATAACATTGTCCACATACTCACCTTTAACATTACCTATATACTCAAATCAGAAAACATTGATTGTTACAACGGAGAGACAGACCAATTCGGTCGTCAATACAGAGGATATAAGGCTAGGACGGAGAATGGACTTGTCTGCCAGAAGTGGACATCACAAACACCAAATCAACATACCCGAAAAATGTCAAAGTAAGCGATGAACACTTTATTTAACTAAGCAACAACAATGTAAAATTCAGGGTGGATTCTGCTGCATTAATAGCGCCATGTATAACATAACTGTTTGTTTTCCGAACCAAAAAGTTTGCTATCCAGACTACCCACATAATATAACATTCTAATCAGATTCCCTGATGCTGGGTTGGGAGATCACAACTACTGTAGAAACCCAGAATCAGAAGATACTGGACCATGGTGCTACAACTCAGAGGGGACGAAACCTAGATGGAAAGGTTGTGGAATACCCGACTGTGCTACAGGTAACTGCTAAGCTTTCATGCTGATATTTTCTTGTACATACGAAAGATCACAGAAATATGATTTTCTTCGTTGACCCTGAGATTTTGAGTTCGAATCCCTCGGTGTTCCAGTCAGAACTTTATTCGGTTAACTGGTTGGTGAAGTGTCAATAGTTGATAGGCAGGCTATTATCTAGCGTGAGAAGAGTGTGTTTCTACGTTAATAATAATAACAACCGAAACGAACACATGTCTCCTTAATTATCCAATTACAGAGGTCCAAATTCTTTCCGTAGCTTAAATATTTCCTTGTGTTATGGCAACGAGACCAGGCCATTAGGTTATAATTTCAGTATCTCACAGGCAACACCCTGGCTCGTGGACAATTAGGCATCTGCTCAGCTGTAGATTAGACCCCTGGTATTAGATCACTGATATAGATATAAATATGCGCTTTTTGACAGGCTGGAATAGGTCATGTGACAATAAGCTACTAGGTAGGCCAGGAGGCTTGTGTTTAGTGATAGTTTGAGCATTGAAAGTTTGTCGAGAGCCGATAACACTTTAAACGCTCTACTCCGAGGGTTTCAATCAGTTTGTAGTTTTCTTCGCAGAGAGTGAAGCACACTTAGTGTACCTAGCTGCTCGAACTTAGTGGTAGGGTAACAAAGTGAAAGACTTTAAATTTTGGGGTTTTGTAGAAAAGTAAAGATGGTAACGTAAATAAAATGGTAAACTCCAGAACTGATCTCTCTCTCAACTAAACATGTGAGTAATAAATTTAAACGTAGAATTCTGTCTCGTCTAAGGTGGGGTGGAATTTTAAGAGTTTACGGATGAATCGTGACAAAAACTATCAACAAGGTGAACTAAAACGGAAGATCATAAATGGGATGGTGTGTCACGTGATTAACTAAGATAGGCCTGATTGGACGGCTAATTAAGTGAGTGAAGATTATTGGATTAAGTGGCATGCTTTCTACTGTGCTTGATGACAACCTATGAAACTAACTGATGAGAAAATGTAACTTATATGAATTCAGGTGCTGCCGTAGTGACTATTAAACTATTTAATTTGAGGTGTGAGTGAAAAATACTAATTTGCGCACAAACAAAATATCAACCATATAAATATTTCTGACCAGTAACTATTTTAGGAATTATGCCCAGATTATAAAGATAATATAAAACCTACACACTGCACAACTCTCCCTTCTCCCCTTATTAATATATAAAACTTATTAATAATAAACTTAGATACAAAAAATTTTAAAAAACCGTTCCTTATACTTCTTTTTCCGTTCTTTAAAACAATCAACCTTTATATAAGGAACAAATATACACTTAAATAAAATCAACACAAAATACACTATTACAAACAAATTATAAAAACACAGTTCCTTATTCGTATTTTTCAGTTCTTTCAAACAATTAACCTTTATAATACCTTCCGGGAATTATATCCACTAAAACTCGGGGACACCGAGGGCTGATAATTTGCTCATTTTTCCCGCAAGAGAAGCGAGGGTATTATCAGCCCAGACTCAGACTGGCTGGCGGCAAGTTTCAAAACAAATAACACTGGCGTTCTATATATTAGACACTATATTGTATGATGCGCACGTATCGGATTACACCCCTTCTGCAATCGGAACCGGAAGGTATTATAAAATATAATACCTCCGCAACTTCGTGCCCGCAAATTCCCTCCAGCAAGCTGTCGGGAATTATAGCGCGCAGCACTCAGTGGCGGAGGTATTATAGTATTATATAAGGATCAAATATACACTTAAATACTATACATCACCAATTTACTCAAAATATTAAACAAATTTTTCGTCTTTTAGTTTTACAGTCTATTTCAGTCTTCTTCGTCTCCTTCTGCTCCTTCGTCATGATTCTTAAGTTCTTAGATATAGCAAATCGTCATTCATTCTCATGAGGCGCTCCGTTAGCTTGATCAATTGTTCTATTTTCATATCTTTCATGATCTTCGGTAGTGGCCTCCAGTTCTTTGGGTCTGACAGTTCTTTTGTCATGTCCAGGATCGGGCCACAAAATGCCTCGAGATTATAGCGTTGTTTCTCAAGTATCTTGTTCCCGTTATTCTCTATTCGAATTCCGTTTCTTCGTTCCAGGGCCCCGAAGAGCAGGCTTTGCAGCCTCAAGACCCTGTCCCGGATCGTAACGAACTCCCCTGGCTCTTTTTCTGTTTTTCGATCATTCATTTCGCAGATTAAATCACAGGCTACGTTGTTAACGTATTTATATATCTCCGGGTCCAAAATGACAGGACCCGGGAGCCTCACAAATTCTGTAATTTTTGCTCCTTTTGTTGGTCTAGCTGGTCCTATGGCGACAGATGCTGGTTGGAGGGTTGCTGGACTAACTGGTCTAGCTGGTCCTATGGCGACAGATGCTGGTCTGAGGGTTGCTGGACTAACTGGTCTAGCTGGTCCTATGGCGACAGTGGTTCGTTGGAGGGTTGCTGAACTTGCTTCTTTCACTTTTTCTGTAATTCTTCCTCTTCCTCTTCCTAACTTTGTCTTCTTTTCCCCTGCTTTTATCAAAACTTTCTTCATTCGTTCACTGTCTTCATTCACTTTTTCGCTAGTTCTTCCTCTTCCTCTTCCTAGTTTTATCTTCTTTTCCCCTGCTTTTACCAAAACTTTCTTCATTCGTTCAGTGTCTTCATTCACTTTTTCGCTCGTTCTTCCTCTTCCTCTTCCTAGTTTTATCTTCTTTTCCCCTGCTTTTACCAAAACTTTCTTCATTCGTTCACTGTCTTCATTCACTTTTTCGCTCGTTCTTCCTCTTCCTCTTCCTAGTTTTATCTTTATCCCGCCTTCCAACTCTGTCGCTTTCCCTCGTCCTCTGCCCATTATAGCTTTGTTCGAATTTTGTATCTTGATTTGTCCTTTTCCTCTTCCTTCAAGTTCAACTTTCTGTTCTTCAGCATCTGCGAATCTATCTTGATTCGAGACTGGGTCCTTTTCCTTATTCTTTTTTTCCTTCCCCGTCCCCGTAAACGTTGGTGGCTCTGAGTCGTAAATGGCAAATGATTCGTCCATTATCGAAGGTACATCCAGTTCGTCCCAGTCTTCTTGGATTATTATAATCGATTCCGTGTCGCTCATTGGGTAACTGAATGGATTGATGTTGTAAATTCCATATTTCAATTATTCCATATTTCAATTATTCCATTTTTCAATTATTCCATATTTCAATTATTCCATATTTCGTTTGTTCTTTATCAAAAATGGATCCGGAAAATCAAAGGGAAACTTTGAGTTTAAACTGCTTAAGACAAACGACGATAATGAAGAAAAGAAAAATGAAGAGCACAACTACGAGCAATCTTACTTACTTAAATGAAACTTAAAAGACGAAAACGGCAATGATATAACTTTAAATTAAAAAAATGTTAAATATTTACTTATAAAGCGGAGTGAGTATTAATTATGCGACTATATAAAAAATTACAATACGGTTTAACAAATCTAGAGCTTTCTTGTTTCGATAATTCCATTTTTCGTTAGTCAGAGAGAAATGGTCCTACTATTTTAGTAGTCCGAGTTTTGTTGGTTTTGTGTACAGTTTCATTTGACGAAGTGCTTGATATGTCTAATGTACGACAATGTTCACGTTTGGATTGTACACAATATGGATCGTACTGAGTTCCTCTGCTTTTCGTGACTGTGACTGTGGAACGTTCAATATGTGCTCTTAACGGTACTATCTCGGTACAGCTGAATTGTGGATTACCATCGTTCAAATCTGTAACTTGCAGATTGGAAGGTATGACAGGTGTAAGCTCTTGGTGCCTTAACCTTCTGATCTCTCTCTCATGTCTCGCTGTTGCTAATACTGTTTGAAGTAGATTGCTGTTTTTCTTAAGCCTTTTGTAACATATTAAACCTATTAGCACGGCAATTGATGTAACAGTAGCAATGGTAGAAAACAATGACGTCCACTCAAAGAACTTTTTCTTTGAAGCACCAAGACCAAGATAATTCGGTTGGTAATCTTGAAGAGCTATCTGCGTTGTGTTCTCTAATCGCTCACTCAACATAGATATGTTTTGAGCGTGATACTGTATTTCCCTGATCTTCAAGTACTTGTTCAGGTCTAAACTAATTTCACTCCTTTTTTCGGTTAAATTCCTTACAGTGAGTGAGTTGTCTAGGGCGTACATTATGTTCTGTTGACACTGAATCATTCTATATTGCGACCACTCAAAAAAATACGAAGATTTTTCAGGTACACTTGCAACAACTAACTTAGTCGTTTCATTTTTGGGCATTGCTAAGACATCTACTTGACTAAAAACTAATGCTCCGGCTTTTGTAAACACCATTTTAGTTTCACATGAATCTAACGGAATGGTGACACAAGTTGTGATCTCATTGTTAAGACACGGCAGTTCTTTGATGCTGGGAGAAAATCTATCTTCAAATTCCTGGTGACAATAAATTATGTCGTCAGTAATGGTACAGTCCGTAAGATCTACTTCAAAGAATTTCTTATTCTTGTAAATGATCGAATTCGGTGTGCTGACGTGAAAACAGGTTGCAGAGGTCTTACTAGGAGTAATCGGTATTTTGACCGCATTGTACGTTCTGTGTAATGATCCAGGTACTAGTTTAGGTGCTACTAGTAGGAAATGAAACAACAATACATTATTCTCGTGGTGGTCGACTTTGAGCAGGATCAAATCAGCTACCCGGTATAAAACCTCTGGGTTTGTTTTATACAATGTCACTTCTGGTCTTCGACCTCCTGTCACATTTCAACTTCTTCAACCCAATCATACCTTTCATTTTATGCACCCTTACTTACTTATTTATTCTTACTTAATCATTATGTGTAACCAGGCGCAGTCTGAGCTGACCCCATTCCCGCAGTTTAAAGAACTGCCCATTGCTTCCCAAGGTTCACTTTTTAATCCCCTTGATCACAACAGCTACATTCGCTTACTAACTGGACGATCACAAAGACCAAGTCGCTTTTAGCTTATGTAGGCCCGACTGTACATTGAGCAGATCACGCAACCTTTTACATAAAAGGATGTTACGCATATGTGAACCTACCGGCAAGGGACCCAGTCTGTAGCGATGGATGACCAGTAAGTGGGATTGACACTCCTAGGTTCCACCGACGGTCTTATCCATAGAGGACTTAGCTGTCACAACTATGAACTTTGACCGTTTTCTCTTGCCTTGCCTGTTCACTAGATCTTATCTTCCAAATTTTTATTTACTCCCTTTCTGGGTAATTTTCCACCTTTGTGGGGTTCAAAAAGATAAGATACTAGCTAGGTGTGGACTGTCGTCCACGTACCACCGTGTTCCACTTGCCTGGGGACGTATGTCCAGTCCTGGGGGTGACAAGCTCCAGGTACTGAACACCAGGTAGCCCGAAAACACGGCCGACTAGAGGGTACCAAGGCAGTGTGTTAATTCACACTTCGTTAGACACGGGAGCCTTCAGTTTCCTCTCCAGCACTATAGAATTGTTTAACGTGTCCCCGGATCCTTGCGGATCCGCCTCCCCCTGTTCAAGGCTGGGATTATAAGGAGCTCATCCCTCTTCCCAACCTTGGAAATTCGGATTTGAGCGTGTTATCAACTTCAAATCATTCAGCGTCAGGGTTTGTGCTATAGTAGATGAGAGTTTGCCGTGTGCTGTACTAAAAAACATTCGATTGAGTTTTGAATGATGCACTGTTAAACTTTGCTGGTAAACCATCAAGGACGCTAATGAAGTTATATCACACTGAAGACCTGCTATTTGTTCATAAATTGAACCTAATTGCCTGTCTATGATTTGTAACACATCCATATGAAATGTACGAGTGTTTTCAAATCCTTCTACAACTTGATTTGCGAAATCGTAAAAGCGACGTTCTAAACTTCCTAAATGTTCCTTAATTCGTTTATTCTCACTGGGTGCTTTCAACAGCTGATAAAAGTATCCAATTACTGGTACTTCTCCAAGTGGGTCAAATGCTTCCCAAGACAGTCCTCTTTTACGTCTACTAACAATGCGATCACTAGTTACGTTAAGATCATATGAAAATTTGATGTCTCTGAATTTCTGCAGGTGCATATCGACAAGACTGTTTTGTGCTTGCAACATGGACTGTAAAACAGCTTCAAAGAGTGGATTTTCATTCTGACATAGCGCTTTTCTAGTCGTTTGATGCTCTTCAAGTAAACAATCTAATCTAGCGGATATGCTATTGGAATGGTCGTCTATAGCGTTCAGGTTGTACAAGAAAGGTGTCTGAATAAAACACGTACCCGTCGATGAATCAAACTGAGGAGGCCACACAGTGGATTTAATAAACATCTAGCCAAACATCCTCCGGTGAATTCTTGGTCCGATCTCTCAAGAATCGAACTCTTAGCAGGGACCAATTTTTCAATCCAACACGCATGTCTTCTATCAGTCATGGCCGTTACTTTGGTCATGTCAGGAGTGCACGGTAATTGACACACTTTCTCAGGAGGCCTAGGAGCTGCCACTTTCATGAATACCGATTGTAGAATGTTTTCGGTGCTAGTGGCCAGTAATTTATCCGGTATAAGTGCCAAACCCAACTCTTCTTTAGTTATTTGAGCAGTGGTGCTCAAAAACTGGTTTACCTGTGTAAACCCTTTTTCCAACCCAGCTGTGATCTCACAACACAACATGAAACCAATGAGTACAGTTCCATATTTCATAGCTTCAAATCTGTAAAATATATCATATTCACTTATCGTTTAATTATTCGTATACAGGTAAGAATCTTAGATTATGGTGTTACAAAGAGAAAATATAAGGGTAACATTCCTCTTTTCTCTTTCATAACCCAGATATTCCTACCGGCCATTTTCGAGCTCTCATACGGTATAATTAATCGAATTATTGCCGACCTGCAATAAACTTTCTCCATTATCCGTGAATTCTGCGCCTATTACTCATACAAAACTTGTTCACACTTCAAAACTCTTAATTCCATCTGTAAATCATTCTCGTTAATACATTTCTCTTCACAAAACTCTTTTCACTATGAAATCAAATACATCGTACTTTCTATGTCAACTGCTGTTGTGAGGTCTCATCTTCACTGCATACTGTACTTTAAGTGACTGGGTAACTGAACTAATGTTGAGGTAATTTGATTGCTTCAAATTACTGTACTTATAGCTGAATTCTACCGTATTATAGCTGTACCTCAATTCGCAATTCTAACGTATTCTAGCCACTCCATCAGATCAACTGTACCGAAATGTTTTCTACGAATTCCACTATGAGTAACGTATTTGTTGCAGCTGTTTGACTTACAGTATACAACCATATGATACAATGTTTAAACTATATTGTGATCGAATCACAGCTCATGCCGTGATACCAAATACTATAATGTACACATATTGATTATCTTCGTAATAATGCGTTCTAATATTCAGTCTACCTGGAGTTCAGTCTAATCTGCTCTCCTTGTCGTGGACCGCAAAAAGTAACCGTGCCTTGTTTGAGCAGCATCATTAAGATCATCCTCGTTTATATTAGGTGGTCTTTCATCATCATCCAATACTGTCGGTTTGATGCAAGTTCCAAACATAGTTTGATAAAGATCTGAATCTACAGCTTTTTCGATAACAGGTTCCTCAGAGTCAACTTCTAATTGTTTAAAGTTCACATTCTCTTTCCTCAAATTAGGTGGTACAAATTTTATTATGTTCACGACCAGCTACTCGGGTTCAACTCTCTCTAACTTACTTCGTTATTTCTATAGTTCGAATAAACTAAATACGATCAAAAATAATCACAAGGAATGCTAAGGTTTGAACTTAATATTAAATTCGAGGAATTAAATAAAAGTGTTTTTTCGAAGTTCAACACGGAATGACGTTTAGCAGCTAACCAGGTCAAACAATAATCCTGGTCGCAGCACCAAAATGTAGCACACTTAGTGTACCTAGCTGCTCGAACTTAGTGGTAGGGTAACAAAGTGAAAGACTTTAAATTTTGGGGTTTTGTAGAAAAGTAAAGATGGTAACGTAAATAAAATGGTAAACTCCAGAACTGATCTCTCTCTCAACTAAACATGTGAGTAATAAATTTAAACGTAGAATTCTGTCTCGTCTAAGGTGGGGTGGAATTTTAAGAGTTTACGGATGAATCGTGACAAAAACTATCAACAAGGTGAACTAAAACGGAAGATCATAAATGGGATGGTGTGTCACGTGATTAACTAAGATAGGCCTGATTGGACGGCTAATTAAGTGAGTGAAGATTATTGGATTAAGTGGCATGCTTTCTACTGTGCTTGATGACAACCTATGAAACTAACTGATGAGAAAATGTAACTTATATGAATTCAGGTGCTGCCGTAGTGACTATTAAACTATTTAATTTGAGGTGTGAGTGAAAAATACTAATTTGCGCACAAACAAAATATCAACCATATAAATATTTCTGACCAGTAACTATTTTAGGAATTATGCCCAGATTATAAAGATAATATAAAACCTACACACTGCACAAGAGTTCCCTATCATAGGAGGTTAATCTTGAAGGTAGTGCTGATTAACCCCAACGCAGTAACCAGGGTGATACCAATGCTTATCTATGTTATCCTGTCATTAATACCTCCCTCACTAAGTGCACTAAGAGCTAGACTTGATAGAGAGCTAGTACCTGTAACAGCCTCGCATTCTAAAACCTACGATAATGATGGGGGATACGCTGCTAAGTACGCTATAGACCAGGATCTGGGGACCCGGTCTTGGCAAGAAGCTGGTTTTGATGGAACCTCTTGGTTAGAGATACATCTTAACCAGGTGCACTGTGTTGATAAAGTTATTTGGTATGACAGTGAAGGTAAACCTGTCCAGACCTGGACCTGTAAGCAGAGTGACTGTGATACTTGTGAAGGTAGTTACTGTGACAGAGTCAAACTCATAGTGTATACTCAGGGAACACCGTCAGATACTTCACCTGACTGTAAATATGGAGACAGGGTAAAACTGCATGTGCCACTGGGTCTTTGGTTTAGTGTATCCGAGATAGCAATAACTGGTCAACAAGGTGAGAGCCATGTTTCAAGCTTTCTAGGAATGGAAAATGGGAATATGAAAATTGCACGATTCAGTCACCTTATTTGGCCCACTAAATGTGAAAGCTTTGTATTTTTGCGATTGCCACGCTTTGGAATCAAGGAAGCATGACGTTTAATGCTAGATATCATATTCCGTTTATTCATTTAAGACAGTATTCCACCATTTTTCAAAGAAATATGAAGCTTAAATCAAACAAGAAGCGATGAGAGGTCGCAGCTGTTTTGTTGCAGCCAATCTCCAAAATTCATTCCAGCCCTTTTCATTTGCGTCTTAAGAACAACAACAGCCAATAAAACCATCTTCCGTTAGTCGGTAAAATACATCGTATCAGTATGCACTATTTCCTTTACATTTCAGGTGTTCTGTACAAGATAACCTACTCAGTGCCGGACAAAAATAACGCCAAAACAGAAAATCCACAGTATGTTAAAATCACCGGATCAGCAGGAGAAACAGAGGAACGCCTGTGCGATTCTAACTTTGACGTGACAAATCAAGATGTGGAGTGCGTATTTTGGAGTAATATTAAAATCGGAGAATACAAATGTGTATCTTTGAGGACTGGTGGAGATAATGGACTGGATTTCACGCAGGTAAAGCATTTAGACTAGCTGTCTTGAATAAGTAGAGAAAAAAAATGTAAATTTAAAGCCTTAAAATAAGCTTTTTAGTGATACATGTTCCGTTAAATCCTTATGCGATGACAAATGTTTTAAACCGACTAGGTGAAAGTGAAGGTGGATGGGAAAACAGTTCACACAATTGTAACTCCCAGCGGTGAGGACTACATAGAGTTGGACGATTACGCAACAAAAGTGTTCTGTAAAGTTAAACAAGGTTATATTTCTGATTTATTATATTGCTCTGAATAATATCATGATCAGATACTTAGGACCGTGAATGGTATCTCAAGTGTTACATGTTTTTCCAGCGATTGTTTTTTAATCATGAGCTTTACCAAAATTGAATTCTGAATTTACGTATTTTTCTTTTGGTACGTTAGAATTCCGCTACTCTACGCAGCCCGAACATGATACATTTTCAGCTGATTGTAAGACTGCTGACTCTGAGTCAGAGGAAACCCCGTTTTGCTCTAAATATCCGGGTAGGTTAATTGTAATTCATTTGGGAACAATTTCAACGCACTTTGATTTTGACGGAACAGACAGACTCACTTGACGTAAACGGACAGAATTTATTTGAACGGACATTAAAATAAACGCTAGGGCCTCCAGCGTCAAATTAATGTCCGTTTAAATAAAGTCCGATAAGGTAACAATCTGCTATAAGTTAGGGTAAAAATATAGGAACATGTTCTTCCTGTCCTATCAAGGGACATGGTCAGGTAAGAAAAGTTCTTACAAACATGGAAAATTAATGATTTAGTAATCTATCATATTCTGTCTGTAACTGTGCTATTGGTTATTGGTTAATGGAAAGGACAAGAGGACGAGGTAGGAGAAAGCTGAGAATTGGTCTGGGTGTCAACTCGGAGAAAGGTTGTATACAATTTAGAATGTCGCTTTGCAGTTTACCAAGTTCAATCTATTGAATTTAGTGATCAAATTATCACCATTTGAATTAGTAGTACTATATATAGTAAACAGACTGTAGATTTTTACAGTTACCAGTTCATACTACAGGCTTTATTCTTTTAATATCTATTCGTATTGCTAAATGAAACACACGAATATTAATTATTCCAGGAGAAGTAAACACTCAGAGAATCAATCACACTACAATTAAATTCGGGTCTAGAGAAACGCCGCACTTGGACGAGAACAGGATTAGGACTCTTCTGTCTAATATATACAATATACAATCGCCTTGAAATTATTACGTTGATTCTTATTTCTTTTCTAAAAAATTGCTTAGTTTTCTTGTTGTCGCAACATAGAACTAGTATAATATTCTTTAAATTTAGACAACATTTTTAATACTGATGATCTGTCATAATCCAACAAACTAAGGAATTGATAATTTGAATTAGTGTAAAAATTGTAATGTTATCCTTTACTCGATTTAATTTGTATTTGAGACATGGTTCTACACTCTACATTCGTCAGTATTTTATGATCTGAGAATGAGAATTGCACATTAAATTTTCATTACAATGATATCCTAAAATAATTTTTCTCTATAACTGATTTATATATGCGTTTTAATTCGTATCCAGATATAATCGCCAATCTGAAGTATATCAAACGAATGGTACAGATAACAAAACAAAACACCACAAATTGTAACATACAAACAAATCTTAAAATAACTTACCGGCAATATCCCCAACTTTCACAGAGCAATTCAGCCTGACACTCTTCCAAGCGAGGATAGTAGGGCCGCAGTAATGATAAGCCCTGCCGTTACTATGAAATAGAACAGTCCCGGAAGGGTTTGTCCAGGAGGAGGTTGGGTTGGAGGGTGGAGGGGGTGCGAACCCGAAGGAGACGATGTTACCACCCTGTTCATCAGGTGTGTCACCACTCTGCAGCAGCTGGATCTCGTAGTAGTAGGATGTTGCCTGGGAGATTGTGTTGGTTGGGACTCGGTCAATATATTGTTGTAACACTTTTCATTTAATACAAATTTGGTATCAATTCTAGCTTTCTCCGGTTGTAAACACTACACGACCTCCGGTTGCTACACGACCTCGCGTCAAACATGATTCATTCAGAAAAAGAACAACTAATTACTAATCAACTTGGTTGTTCAAGTTAGATTATCCAATATTTTGTTTGATAGTTCATTAAAAGAGAGGAATTGAGTCGAGGTAAACTCGTTAACACACGCTAATTTGTAACAAACATAATATTACTTATAATGCAATTTCATGGTACTTAACAACCAACAAACCTTATTGAAGAGATTCAGTAATTGATTATATTCGTTTTCTGCAAAGTGCTCAACTAAATTAAAACTGGGACAACTACCGTTAGTTTTACTTTTTAATTGTTATTGTTAACGAGGTTTATCAATCTAATGGTGCTAACTCTAGGTGAAAATGTTGGTCCATCAATAAAATATCATAAGTAAAGTTTGTTAGCACTTTCGAGTTCTCAACTCAGCAGCACCTGTTCCAACTGTTGGAGTATAAAAGCAGTCCAGAACGTTTTGCAATGTACACTACTACCACTACTATCAACGAGTGTTTATTTTCAAACAAGTATTCAGCAGATCACTTGTTTTACCCTCATTGCACTAGGAAGCTCATAGGTCCTCATATAGATTTTACCCTAAAGTTGCATCTCAGTAATCATAGTCTTAACTCTATCTCATCAGCTTCATGATGTAAGACATGGGCTTTGACCCATATTCTGATCGACGGAGCTGTAATAAATAGTAGACCCACTTGAACACTTAAGGGCACTTAGTCGTAAATTATATGGCTCGCTTTTACACCTCTTGCTTTTAATCAAAAAACGCTTATCCTATTTAATCGCTGACCACTGATGTGACTCAGGATAAAATGATATGCAAAGTTGTTCTTGTTGTCCTTCTGGGATGTATGATGCTAGGTGCGGTGGCGGGGGACTGTGTAGACAGTCAGGACACGTGTATACACTGGGCCGGACTGGGGTACTGTGATGGGGGCATCTACAAGGTATGTTGTACTCTTTTCTGTTTTTAATATTGTGGCTGTTATCTTGCATTGGTGGTTTAAACTGTATAAGCTCTGTAGTCCGTTGCTAAGTTCTGCTTTATGCCGTTTTGGATTTTATGCTGGTTTCCAGTGATTTTAAGTCAAAGATCAATCAAGAGTGACATGATATTTACTCAATACCTTCCAGACCTGGATGCTGGAAAACTGCAGGAAGTCCTGTAACCAGTGTACCCCAACACCTGTTGACATCTGCAAAGGACCGGTTGGTCAGGACTGGACTCTGACGAAAGTGGCTTACGACCTGGGCAAACAGGAGTTGAAGAGTGCTCGCCACGACATTGGCTGTGTGACAGTAAGTGATGGCGGGTCCGGCAGTTTCTCTGCCGCTGGATCGAATGTCCAGTCGGCAAAATTCACCTACAAGTCTGGAGTAAAAGTGCTGTACGGAGTTAAATTGAACATGGTTGTGCCAGTGGTTTCTGACGACGGTAAACCCTCCATCTCTACAAAGACACAAAACCTGATTGCCGGACAACCTAACTGGAGTTACAGCAGTTACAGTGGTTCTTGGAACTGTCAGGCGGGTCCTGGCCAATCAAAGACCTGCACGGCTTTTGTGAACAAGTTTGATGTCACCACACCCTACACAGAAACCTGGCAGGCCCCAGGACAAGTCTGCTCAGCTGAGAGCAAAGGGGAGCTCGTTCAGGAACTCTGGGGACAACCCATCGTCCTGAACTAATTCTGGGGGCGATATATTTTGAATATTTTTCGAGTTAAGGGTTGAGATTTCGATTGAAATTGCCTGCTTGTTTTATTCGAACCAATTTGCAAAAATCGAATGTTGATCATGAGATTCCAATCCAGCTCTCGGCACATCTCAACCTGGCGGCTTGACTTAACACCGAATGTTATGTCTTGCTGCTGCCGTTTTATTGAAGCTGCATAATTATTCTTCTAACTCCCTTACAAGCAGGAAACATGACACTGACAGCAGTTCTTCTGGGCTGTATGATGCTAGGTGTGGTGGCGGGGGACTGTGTAGACAGTCAGGACACGTGTATACACTGGGCTGAACTGGGGTACTGTGACGGGGGCGTATACAAGGTATGTACTCTTGTACTCTTGCACTCTCTACAGTTCGTGAGGGAACTGTGTACAGTGTACAGTGTACAGTTACTGTTTGTTAACACTGTGACTGTTTTCTTGCAGTGGTAGTTTACACTGTACAGTTCAGGTTCTGTTTTATGCCGTTTTGGCTTTTATGCTGGTTTTCCAGTGATTTTAAGACAAGGATCAATCTGGATTTACATGAGATTAACTCTATTGTCTTCCAGGCCTGGATGCTGCAAAACTGCAGGAAGTCCTGCCATCAATGTACCCCGACACCTTCTGACGTTTGTAAAGGACCGGTTGGTCCGGACTGGACTCTGACGAAAGTGGCTTACGACCAGGATAAACAGGAACTGAAGATAGCTCGCCACGACATTGGAGGAGTAACAGTAAGTGATGGCGGGTCCGGAAGTTTTTCCGCTTATGGAACCAACGTCCAGTCGGCAAAGTTCACCATCAAATCTGGAGTAAAAGTACAAAACGGAGTTATCTTGAACATGATTGTGCCAGTGGTTTCTGACGACGGTAAACCCTCCATCTCTACAAAAACACAAAACCTGATTGCCGGGCAACCGAACTGGAGTTACAGCAGTTACAGTGGTTCTTGGAACTGTCAGGCGGATCCTGGACAATCAAAGACCTGCACGGCTTTCGTCAACGAGTTCAAGGTCACCACACCCTACACAGAAACTTGGCAGGCCCCAGGGAAAGTCTGCTACGCAGAGAGCACTGGAGTACTTGTTCAGGAGCTCTGGGGACAGCCCATCATCCTGAACTAGCTCTGGGGACGAGGTATTACAACCTTACTTAGTGGCCAACCAACAGCTGACGACTTGCTCGCTACACATATAATATTTAGCTTTGTTCAAACACCTTTGTAGATATAATTTGAGCTTTTGATTGCAATTATCTACTTGTTTTATTTGTACCAACTTGGATTAATCTAGATTCTGACACGTGACAGCAATTAGTTTATAAATTTAGTATTGACTAATCAGTAATCAAATCCCAGAATCGCGATCGCGTCTTAAAACATTGGTCTTAATCCTCGACATACCAAAACTTACGCTCCTTATCAATCCTAATAACGAACAATCACTTCATTACAAGCAGCTCAACTCACAGATGAGGGTATGCGGGAGTTAGCGTAAATAAGAACCCCTTTAGGTTGTCCAGGAGGTGGTGTGACGTCACCCAGGAAGTGGAGACACGTGCCGTACTGTGAGAATATGGTACCCCGTACTATCGGGTAGTCACAGTTACTCTCCCACTTTGTCTGGATCATCTGTGGGGGTGATAAATTCAATATCGGGGACTTTTGGAAAGTATAATGGAGAGGGTTATGAGAAATGTTTAACCTTTTACCATGTGCAAAATATATGCGTCAATTAAATTACATTAACACTAAAGGACAAACCTGGGGCTGTTTCTTGGGAACTGGAGGAGGTGGCGGGTGAGCACAGTCGTGATAGACCATCCTGAGATGTTCACACAAGGCTTCTATCACCGTCAATCTGTTTCCTGTTAAGGGTTTTATTGATACAGGGTCCTAGTAGAAATTAGAAACGCCAGTTGAGAATTTGGACATGCATGAAAATTTTGAATGTCGGATGTAAATTTTCCTATAAAAACAGTTCGGGATTTTGATAGAAAAAAATTACCTGATGTACACAGATGTGCAATAGATGACATGGTTTCTGTGATGTCGTTGTTCAAATTGAGGAATTCGTCAGCAAATGCTGGGTCTCTTACCTCCAGACTCAACACCATGAATGCTCGAGTTTTCAGCTCAGCTAAAATTCTGAAGCAAAATATGATTAATTTATATGATTTAAAATGACTATCCTTGAATAACAGTAACCGTGAACTGATTTGAGGTAAAACTTAATTCTGATACATTGACTAACACACAAGATGATAAAAGAGAAACCTGCAAGCGACGTGTGAAGGGGAGGAGGCGTCGCCAGAGGAAGGTTCAGGAGGGAGTGTTAGTTTGATAAACTTGTGGAGCATGTCTACTAGCTGCGTCGTTATATCCAAACTATCTATCGGTAGAACCTGCAAAAATGGAGGGCAAGCTGATTAACCTTTTTTATTTTGGAAGCTATAATCCTAAGGTCCTAATTGTCAGAGAAAATATAGCGAACTCACTAAATTAATTCAAAATCTAAGAGAACCTCAGAAACAAGTATATCCTTTATAATGACATTTAAATTAACCTCTTTTCTTGGCGGCATTAGTCGGGCCATGGGGCAGCTCATCTCGACTCCTTTATCATCCAGTACACTTGCAACACCTTGTCTTTCGGACAAAGCAGTAACAACACCCTCAGTTATTACTTCTCCTTTTATCTGAGAAGATCGAATTGTTATATAAAATTAAATCAAATATGCCTGAGCTTGCAAGGCATTTCTCTCTTCTACACTGTAATTTATATTGTCGATGTATAAACAAGTTCTCACCTGGACGTGTGATCCAGTGCGAATATATTCCTTGAATCCCCCGAGGGCAGCCAGAACTGCCATGAGACGACGAGCGTTCCTCAGCAGCGAGATGGTAGTGGCGGAGGAACTAGCGGTAGCAGTGTTCTTCAGATCCTTGATAAGATCACTTCCTTTCAACAGAGATGAACCGAGCACCTGGCAGAGGGTAATGGATTATAATCTTACATGAAGCCTTAGAATATAATGTTAATGGAAAACAAAAAATATACATTGCCAGATTGTCGTTAGATCTTAAAGTTAAAGACTGGACTTTACAAAATTCGTAACGTTTTACCTGCTCAATAGCTTTGGTCCAGAGAACAGAGGAGCTGGTCGTCAAGAGAGCGTGGAGAAGAGATATGACCTTGCTAGCCAGCGAGCTGGCAACCTGCCCACTTATAAACGGTCTGACTGGATCAGTTCTCAATATCTCTTTGTTCTTCTCGTAACACAGATGTTCCGTGTTATGGTGTCTCTGTTCGCCCTGACCATCGTCAGCAGCTGGCGGCTCTATCGAGATGATAAACCCACTGGCAGCCCACTTCGCTGCTTTCCTTGCACAAACCCTGAACTCATCAGTCAGGAGTTCAGCCTTGCCAGTTTGACTCATACTTCTGTCCATCTGTATAATCTTCTCCATGTAGGTGGTCTGTGAGAACAACCTCGTGTCCGCACTGATAAGCGGCTGTATAACCTCGTGAGGCTGCTGATTGGGGCGTTTGTGTATGTAGACAGTTACCCGCTGGTTGAAACTGATAACCTTGCTGGGATCCTGAGCACACGGGTCTGTCCTGCTATCGTTGTTAGGACTCGTCAGGATCTGTGTCAGTTTAACTGTCTCCGCTGGAGAACCTGGCACGAGATACTCTCCCAGTTTATCAACTAGTAAGTGTATGATGTTAGTAGCAGCACTGTCCCCCTGAACTGCAGTAGGGAGAGATACGAGGGAGCTCTGGTTTGAGGAGAGGAGAGGGAGTGCTAGACGGAGAAGCTGGAGAACAGTAAGGACTAGTTTCGGGCTCGGTCGGTGGTCCACTAGCAGATAGAGCAGGTGGGAGATACACACTGCTTGGGATATGATAGCTTGTCCCAGTCGAGTCCTGAAAGTGTGTTAATCGTCAGTCATTCATATCAGTTCATGGTCCTAAAGTCACTACTCAACAATGGACAATGGTCTCAAATACCAAGAGGGCGGAACGCGTTATTATATCATATTAGCAGGATCAAGAAATGAACTGACTTAGAAAGTTTGAGTAGCAGCGAAAGAACGTTATGAAGGATGTCGTTTCCAGAAGTATCTTGAACTCCTGCGGTATCAATAGCTCGAGCCAGGTGGTTGGTTAGCACCATAGCTACTTGACTTGCCAGGGCACTGATCTCCCAGGATTGATCTTGACTTTCCCATGATGTACAGCGATGTGCCAACACCTAGAAGATTAATATCGCTAATATTAGATTTTATTTAAATATCGGTGATATCAAATTTTGTTAAAAATTCATAACCATGTTTCAAAACCCATCAGTTCCTGTTCCATGTTCATAACTGTCGATAGCTCATACCTCAGAGTCTTGCTATGTATGGTCAAGGTGGAGTGCTAGATGTGTTTTTTTTCGATCAATTATAAAATTCGATAAAAATTGTCGATCGAATCATATCGCGTCGACGAGATCAGGCCGGCCGGATTCGATCACGGTAAACGCGCGCGTTGTAACGTAACGCGCGCGAATCATATCAAATCCGTGCGCAGCATGGATCAACGAGCATCTACGTCGCGCCTTCCATGCTACTATTTAAGTAGACCCTTTTATTCTTGTTGTGCCACTAAAATAAGGTTATCTCGTATAATAAATTTATCGTTACCGAGGACTATTAAAAAGCATCAAAAATATATTTAGATATGGAGATAGATGCAACTTTGTAAAAGGGAAAGAAATTTGAGCTGTTATACCCTAAATCCAGCCCAAGCGACTGAAGATATCTGTTGTTCTGCTTCGACATCATGGTTGGATCCTTTAGAACCGGCCAATAGTGTATCAATTAGCTTGAGTAACCCACTGGTCAGTAAGCATGCGTCATCTGTCCTGAATAATAGAGTTAATTACATAATTTGTTCACTCTGTATGGTGAACTCCAGGGCTCACCCACCACTCAATGAAATTTGAGATGGGATTATGTAAAAGTGTTAATATCACAACAAGGTTTAATGAATAACGAGGATCGAGGCTGCAGGCAGAACTTGACACTGAGTATTATAATAGATCCTGTACAATAACTACTTGTTACGCACAATAAAAGAAAGCTTGTGATGCAGTGCGAGAGTACAATACACTGCAATCTTCATTTTTCAAGACACACGGAAAAGTGCATTTTAATACACTCGATCAACTCAACTAAGCCCTTTTAAGGATGCTCAAAACTAAAAATGATATTCCCCCACAAACCTAGAGAAAGGTATGATGCAGATAAGGGCGACAGTCTCACTGCATTGTACCAAATGAGACGCAGTTAGTTTCACTAGGAGTTGGAGAGTCGAGCTGAAGTCATCACGTACTTGTTCCGTCATTCCCCCACAATATAGTTCCTCGCAACGTGGTCCACAACGCAACATCATCGCAACTTTAAAGTTAATTTAATTAATTTAATCGTAGCAATAATCCATCAACTCGGTAATATACAAAATCTTGTTAATAATGCTACATCGCAACTTAAAAGAAATGTTTTGGTCAATTATTGATCATTAAATAAATGGGTCGTTAATAGATGTGGATACTGGTGGGGAGGTGAAACACATTTGTTTACTTTAATACTTTCCTTGGCCTTGCCTATTTGACTTTCCCCGGTACACCGTTTGAAAGCTTCACACCTGACCTGTTAGACGCCGACACGGATTATGACCGCACATTCAGTAATAGGAAAGTGGCCTACTATGGGGACGTACCCTACAAGTACGCAGGGGGGTCACACAGTCCACGGGACATCAGCACGAATCCGTATCTCAAACAAATTGTTGAACACTTTAAAACACTTGCCCCCGACCAAACTCATCACTACAACAGTTTTATGGTCACTAAATACGACAAACACACGTCCAGTATTCCCCCACACAGTGATAACGAAGACTCAATAGACCCTGAAAGCCTCATTATGACCATCTCTCTGGGGGCATCCCGCCCAATTACCTTTCGGAGGAAACTAGCCTTCGGTTATGGCAAGGGAGAACTTACACCACACCACGGCTCTCTGTATGCTATGTCACGTGCCAGCCAAGACATGTTTGATCACAGCGTTCCACCCATTCAAGAATCTGATTTTACTGGGCCTAGAATCAGCATCACATGTCGAGTTCTTCTAGATCACTCTGCTAGATCAACCAGGCCGCCACGCAACCCTGCCAGCACTGCGAGCCGACCTAAAAAGGTCCTCATACTATCAGACTCTAAGAATGCGTCCTTTGACTGTTCCTTATTCCGTGAGCCTGTTATCGCATTTAGAGAGAACCTCTTCTTTTTGCGTGATCTCCATGAGCACAGCAAATCCATCGAACAGGCTGACGTGGTTTTGATATCAGCAGGCATAAATGACATGATGAAAGTCTCCGCAGCTAACCCGATAACACTGCACAACCACCTGAAACATTTCGTGCAAAAATACAAAACACAATTCCTCTTTGACTGCATCACAAACCTCTCCATGTCCGCTGATCCTTACAACAACATGAACAGACGCATTAACTATCTCAATGAATTACTTCTCAAACTGTCACTCAGAACCCCAAATTTCAAACTCTTTGAGAACATATGTTTCGGACTTCCTCACCTGTCACGTGACGGCTTACACCTGAACCACGCGGGGAAATCAGCAATGACTGACTGCTGGGTACACTGCATACTGATAGCACTCGGCTTTAGACAAGGACCATTGCCACTACGCCGTCAATTTATTAGTATAGTTGAAGAGTTTTACTGCAAATGAGTGTTGTAACAAGATATTATCATGTACTATGAGATATGAGCTAAATTTTATTCTGAATAACATACCATGAGATATGAGCTAAATTTTATTCTGAACAACATACCACTTTTGGTCCCAGAACTTAATTCTATGCTTGCCACAATCTCGCAACGAAACAAAAGAATTACCAAATCTAAGCAACTAATTCTCATCTTCATTTTGGAAAAATAAACATCGATAAAATCGCTTATCTTATCTTATCTTAGCTCAATTTTTCGTTATATATAGTCCTTGATTAAACTTAAAACCTCGCCACACAGCTGCGTTCTTCTTTATACATTGTACATTACATTACACACTACACATTGTACATTACACAACTGACAGTAGACGACTAACATTAGACTAACATTAGATTAGCGGTCGCCCCACCCTGTACAGTGTTTACATAATTGCGAAGTAAAAGTAAAGTTTTCTCATAGTTAAGAACAGAACAGTTAGAACAGCAGGAGGTAATTAACTGCAGGAGGTATTAAGGTATAGGTACAGGAAACTAGGAAATCACGGGCTGATTTACAAACAGGGCTGAGCAGTCCTCGCTAAACAGTCCTGATAGGATTACGTGCTATATTAATACTATACATCATATCATTTTATTTTTACTTTTACTTTTACTTTTACTTATTGTTCATCTATGAAACCATGTGCGAGTTATGTAGACCAGATCAGGCCAAACCACTGTGACAAATGTGAAAAACGGATCCCAAAGAACCACCCTCATCTTTACTGTGCACTGTGCGAACGATTGAAACATTACAAATGTGAAAAGTTAACTAAATTAGAAGCCGATGAACTAGCTAAAACTTATTGGACCTGCTACGAATGCCTTAGTAGTATTTTGCCAATAAGAGCCTGCGATGAATGTATCTTAGATCCGCACAATACTTCAAAAAAATACAAGCAGCAATGTCACAGTTGTCTGGGCTGGTCTTACTCTTCAAGAAATGTGAGAGAGTGTGATTGGTGTGAACTAGCAGTCCACAAGAAGTGTTATAGATATGAGCTAGGATGCGTCAAATGCTGCGTAGAAAACATACCTGGTTACAGCACTAGCAGTATAGATCTAAATGATGATTATAACTCCTCCTCAATCCGGCACACTTACAACCCTTACAATAAATCCAGCCTCATAAATTCAATTGGTAACCAAATAGAGGAACTTGAGCACGACTCCATGTATTGGAAAGATCTTAGTGAAATGCTAACAAGATGTGAGTACATTCAACAAGTCCATGTCTCACCATCAAAAACCAATGAACTAAAAGTATTTTCATTAAACGTACGATCTTTACACAAAAACATAACTCATTTCCGAGAAGAAATTCACACGTATCTAAATTACGATATACTGAGTTTCAATGAAACAAACTGCGCTCTAAGTAAGCTACCTAACGGTATTAATGACATACTTCTAGAGGGATTTCATGAGCCGATAATACAGGAACCAGCACGTACATCTGGCCGTGGGGGTGGACTGGTGTTATACGTAAATAGACAGGTATGTACAGAGGAGCAAATAGAACAGTACAGGCCAAACTTCAGCTGTGAGGAAGAAACAAGTGGTGAATTCCAATTTATAAAAATCCACAACTGCAAAGGTTTTAACAAGACCAAGCTACTGATCAATGTTTACCGCTCACCATCGCGTAATGTTGATAAGTTCATGAAACTGCTAGATAATGTACTTAGAAGCCTAGACAGGCACTCACGTAAACACATTTTATTCACGGGTGACTTCAATATTGATCTAATAAAATACGATAAGGACGTGCACAGTCAGAACCTTGTTGCAACTTTTGAAAACTACGGTTTCGTTCAAATGATTTCAAGGCCCACCAGAATTACAGACCACAGTGCAACACTCATAGACCACGTGTATTCTAATGACATCAAGAACACGGCAAGTTGTCAGGTGCTTACTCTACACGTATCAGACCACCTAGCCACCCTTACTACGCTTCTACTTGGGGACAGAGAGGGGCCATGCGGGAGGGTTACAAGTAAAAAACCAAGTATCAAACAGGCACGGAGATTTGGCGAAGCTAACAATGCTAAATTTCAAAGTTTGATCGAAAGTGAGGACTGGAGTGAAGTGAGTTTACACGAAAATTGTGAAGTACAGTACGAAAAATTTTGTGAAATTTACACCAAACATTATGTTGAGGCATACCCCTTGAACAAATCCAGGCCGCGGCGTAAAAATGAACGAAGAGATCCAAAACCTTGGATTCTTCCCTGGCTAGAGGATGCGTGTGCGCGAAGGCATAAGCTCCACCACCTAAAAATCACAACTTCAACCAAGGCCAATGATGAAGCGTATGAAAAAATTGATAAATTCTGCAACAAGCACATTGACTTAGCTAAAGCAAAATATTATAAGAAATTTTTTGACGAGCATTGTGAGAACTCTAAAAAGCAATGGCAAATGATTAACACGCTGTTGAACAGGAAGTTGAAAGAAAAAAATTCTATAAAACTGAAAGGCGACGACGGATCTATTATCAGCAATGGCACCGATGTTGCAGCAAAATTTAACAACTACTTCTCAAATATAGCTTCAAACATTAAAGCACAGATCAGTGCTAGACAAACTTTTGATCCTGGGGGTTTTAGTAGATATCTTAGGAACCCAACATCGAATTCGATGTATCTTAGGCCGGTAACACCAACTGAGGTGAGTGAGGTGATTCTAAAATTTAAGAATAAGTCAACACTGGATACCAAAATTGGGCCGATGAAAGTCGCAAACCATGATAGCAAGTTCACCGGTGTGATTTCTACTATCATAAACTCATCATTTACACAGGGCATATTTCCAACTGCTCTTAAAACTGCACGCGTAATCCCTATCCACAAGGGAGGTAGTAAGACAGATGTCACTAACTATAGACCCATATCTCTTCTTAGCTCATTCTCAAAAATTTACGAAAAGTTAATGCACACTAGAGTCCTTGAATTTCTTGATAAAAACGGCTCTCTGTTCGAAAGCCAATACGGCTTTAGACCGGGGATGTCATGCGAGCATGCTCTTCTTAATGCACAGAACTCTATCCTTCATTACCTTGGCAGGAAACAAATTGCGGTGCTCCTACTGTTAGACTACTCCAAAGCTTTCGACCTACTTGAACACAAAATTTTGCTTAAAAAACTGGAACACTACGGAATTAGAGGTATAGCACTAAGCTGGTTCGACTCCTATCTTCACGATCGTCATCAGTTCGTCACAGTCAACGGGGTTGATTCCAGTCCCAAGACGATCAATTATGGTATTCCTCAAGGCTCTATGGGCCCCCTACTCTTCGTCATCTATATAAACGACCTCCCCGGAATCTCAGACCTGGCCAAGTTCATACTTTACGCCGATGATGCAAATATTATAGTCACGGGCCATAACGAGGAAGAAATTCAAAGTAAGCTCTCCATGATTGCAACACTTCTAGTGAATTGGGTAAGTAGCAACGGGCTTTCTTTAAACCTGAAGAAGACCCACTATATGGTCTTCAGTAACCGTAAAGTAGATTATTCCAAAATAAGTCTCAACATATCTGGAACAAACATTGAACGGGTTACTGAGGCACGGTTTCTGGGTGTTATAATTGATGAGAAACTAACATGGTGTAAACATATCACAGCGGTAAGATTAAAAATGAGTAGGTACATAGGCATCATGTTCAAATTAAAACGACATCTGCCCCTAAAAGTGCGACTACAACTCTACCATAGTTTTATTGAGGCACATGTTAACTACTGCTCGTTAGCCTGGGGATTCGCGGCAAAATGTCACATTGAGACATTATTCCGTAGACAAAAGCAAGGAATGCGGATGGTTGTGCCAGGATATGTAAATTACTTTTACAAAGACGGCAAATTGCCAGCTCACACCAGAGAAGCATTCTGCAAATTTGAGATTTTGACAATACACGGCATCATCGTAAAGAATGCGCTTACATTAATGCACCGCATGAAGCACTTTCCTAACACAGTACCTGTATCAATTAGAAATTTGTTTCCAGATAACATACCCACGCATGGTTCAAATCATGAGAACAGTAGCGAATGGCTAGATACGTACAATAACCGATGTTTCAAAGCATCCATCTTTTTTAAAGGACCTTTACTAGCTCTAACAGACACCAACAAGAACATCACGTCCCTACCTAGCTTATTTTCAATAAATATTTACAAATCGAACGCAAAACGCGTGCTTCTTGAGCAACAGTCAACACTAGCTAACTCAGAGGACAGCTGGCCAGCATTTCTGCTACACAACGTACCTGGTTTGAGGAAGTCCAATAGATGAGGGATGATTGAGTAATACAGCGACCAATAATCGCTAAATCATGACATCATATCATAACATAACATAACATAGGACGACAGCAAACACACAATAAACGAGCAGTAATAAACAACGTTCGCTTAATGGACTGACATATTTCAGCATATTTTTCACTGCCAAAGCGCTGATAACAGCAAGCCTTACCCCACTCCGCGCGGCTTTTTAATGCACCAAATCTTAAAGATAATTCTCGCGATAAAATTTTCATCGTCACGCTTGAAAATTTCTAGAAATTAGAATAGCCGTATATTATTACAAACTATAGCAAGCAGAATTAAAAGATAAAAGGTTCTGGGACTTGAGTGGTACAAATAAAATGAAAGGCATGCTAATCATGCTCACGTACTGTAATGTGTCGAGAGTTTTTTTAATTTTTACTATTTGACAAAATAATTGATCTTTTTAGTGTGAGTGTGATTTCAACTTTGAGTTTGAAAATATTTTGAAACGACTTTCGATATTATTGATTATTATATTTAATAAACTGTCTCAAAGCCCTTAGAGGTGGCTCTATACGGGTCTTTACAACAACAAAGTGAGCACATGTTCGGCGGGTTGAGGAGGTGAAACACATTTGTTTACATTTTTAGGGTAAGCACATGTTCGGCGGGTTGAAGAGGTGATACACATTTTGTATTATAGAAGGCTTGTAACACTTGTAACGCTTTCTTGTTACCCCCCTTTGAAGGCCCCGAATTATTTTCTGAACGAAACCTCAAAATTAACCGAGAAATCGACCTTCTTATTAACTCATTTTGATGACTGTTTCTGACCTAAAATTGCACGAAAAATCGATTTAGCTAGGTTTCAGAACCTATAAACACTTCCTTATCCCTCAAAATTGATGTTTTATAGTTGATACGAGCAACAAGCAACATATGTTTTGATCCTTCGGTTCTACTCATGACCTAGGCAGTTAAGCTGAACCCGACAGATCGAGGCAATCCTCACCTTATAACTGATCAAGCTGGTACTAACACAATTTTCAGATATAAATGTTCTTTGCGATACGTTTATTGCAGCTTTGCAACTTGAGTGAAGACCATGCAGAGTACGAAAACACACAGCAGGTAAGCAACTCACTTTTGGTGACTGTTCCTCACGAACATTCTGATCCTGTAACATATGAACAGGGAGATCGTCTCCTTAACAAATCGTACAGGTACTATCACAATTTCCAGAGCACAGCATGATAACAAAGTCAAAAGAAACACAATGAAGGTAGGTTACGAACACCACAATATAACAATCATACTAACAACTGAATTAAATTTATTCTGACGACGGGCAGCCCTGATGTTCTCCGTGATCCTCAACGAGCGACCACTTGTAATAGAGGTGTTATGTCACGTGACACCGATCCGTCCAATTACAAACAGGAAGAGTGAGCAGATCGATATCGTGTGTTTACTTTCCTTATCTTTATTTGACCCTCTGTTCACATTGTTATATCTACCACATCTCGGCTCGGCAAGGTCCGCGTGCAATATCTACACCGCGGTAAACACGCCATGATAAAGTCATGAACTTGAAATAGTGTGATTGTTGTACTTATATAACCGTGCCCATTGCCCACGTACAATACAACAAACTGTTGGGGGGGGGGGGGGGGGGGTTAAGATAAACAACCGATCTTGATAGTGTGTTGGTCGCTCCTCCAACTGACTGTGATGCTAACCGTTCAATCATGAACGGAACATTAACTTTGTTTAGTTATAGCATGTTTCGGGTTAATTGTTCAATTGCGGAGATTAGTATTATTAAAAACATTTACTCTAATATGAGGTCGCGATTATGAACTGAGTGAGATTCCAAATGATGAACTGTGCTTTAAGTTTACACCAACTGGAAGCAAAGGAATAATGCATATATCCATGAGTGCTCCTTTGCTTAACTTATGAAAGTCACAGCAAATAAGTTGACACAATATTTCGCTTTGAACGTGACCAGTGAATTGGTGTTCTCTACAGCAGTACAATTACGGCGGGTGCGAATTGTGATGTTCAAAATTTAATTTTGTTATTGCAGCTGTAGTAATTGAAAGTTCCTACAATCCACAGGTCCCAATTGAAGCTCCGTCCAACATTGAGTCGGGCGCCAAATGTTACAGCCATTATAAGTGTAAGTTTTGGGAAACAAAGTTGTGGCGAAGATGTTGCCTTATCTGAGCGACATCGCATTCGTGTGTGCCCAACTTCATTGTCAACTTGAACCCTGTTTTTTTAAGGGAGGTTGACAGTGATTTTTTAAAAATGACCAGGTCTACTTAAATATCTAAAAAATTATGTTAATATTCTGTTCATGACTGGACGATAAGTTCCTACAATCCCCCCCCCCCCCCCCCCCCCCAACAGTTTGCATTGTACATGGGCTGTGGTCACGGTTACATTATAACGATCACGGATTACACAATTTCTAGTTCTGCATGACGTAATCATGGCGTGTGTACTGAGGTGCAGATAGGAGCACCTTAAAATTTCCAAGCTGTGGTAGAGAAAACAATGTGAACAAAGGGTCAAATACAGATAAGAAAGGTAAACAGAAGATATAATATCCGTCTGCTGACTCGTCCTGTTTGTAATTGGACGGATCGGTGTCACGTGACATAACACCTCTATTACAAGTGGTCGCTCGTTGAGGATCACGGAGAACATCAGGGCTGCCCGTCGTCAGAATAAATTTAATTCAGTTGTTAGTATGATTGTTATATTGTGGTGTTCGTAACCTACCTTCATTGTGTTTCTTTTGACTTTGTTATCATGCTGTGCTCTGGAAATTGTGATAGTACCTGTACGATTTGTTAAGGAGACGATCTCCCTGTTCATATGTTACAGGATCAGAATGTTCGTGAGGAACAGTCACCAAAAGTGAGTTGCTTACCTGCTGTGTGTTTTCGTACTCTGCATGGTCTTCACTCAAGTTGCAAAGCTGCAATAAACGTATCGCAAAGAACATTTATATCTGAAAATTGTGTTAGTACCAGCTTGATCAGTTATAAGGTGAGGATTGCCTCGATCTGTCGGGTTCAGCTTAACTGCCTAGGTCATGAGTAGAACCGAAGGATCAAAACATATGTTGCTTGTTGCTCGTATCAACTATAAAACATCAATTTTGAGGGATAAGGAAGTGTTTATAGGTTCTGAAACCTAGCTAAATCGATTTTTCGTGCAATTTTAGGTCAGAAACAGTCATCAAAATGAGTTAATAAGAAGGTCGATTTCTCGGTTAATTTTGAGGTTTCGTTCAGAAAATAATTCGGGGCCTTCAAAGGGGGGTAACAAGAAAGCGTTACAAGTGTTACAAGCCTTCTATAATACAAAATGTGTATCACCTCTTCAACCCGCCGAACATGTGCTTACCCTAAAAATGTAAACAAATGTGTTTCACCTCCTCAACCCGCCGAACATGTGCTCACTATTAAAGTAAACAAATGTGTTTCACCTCCCCACCAGTATCCACATCTATTGAATAACTAAATTTGTGTAGGTAAATACTTACTGTCTTGAACAAGATGGGTCACAGATTTAGCTTGGTCAGCTTTAGTGAGAAGTTGGTGCATCAGCCTCAAAGCTTTGCTTCTAGCTTTACCCCGAGCATGTCGCAGCTTTGCAGCAGACAGGAATGTTTCGCAGGATATCTGTAGGGTAAATACTTGTTTAAACAATAATTAGGGGTGGAAAAGTGGAAAACTACATCATTATCATCCGTTTATAGATACCACGTTCACTGTTTCTAGCTATCAACAATTCAATATATTTAAAGCTAATTCTAACTACCGCTTTATTAGGATCACACCCAATGAATTTGAAGAGCTCGTCCACTGGTCCGGTCGATTCCTCGTCAGTTCCGGTTACATTGTACCCAGTATGCCTCTTCTCTTGTTTCTTCTTCCTCAACTTTTGTAAATCTTGTGCTACCGTCCGTGATTCAGGACGTATCAAGCTGAAAGCATCACGAAGTTTGGTACTGATGTTTTTTGTTGTTGGCATAAAGCTTTTGTTATTCAAGTGGTGTGAAGTGCACGATTTCACTTTAAGAGCACTCTCTTTTCTAAAAATATATTTCATGATGTATTTTATATAAAAACTTTTTGACAAGATTAATAATTTTACGAATTGTAACTGATGCAGTTAGCTGCCACCTAATCTTAATGGAATATCATAAAAAGACGATTTTTGTTTTTCGTTAGAACATCTTTTTAATTACTAAGTCTGATTCGTAACAATAAACATATTTTTCCATAGAATCGTCAGTAATTGTGAGTTCAGAATGAACAATAGTGCTTAGCGCCTTAGCTATTGAAAAAAGAAGAAGATAAAAGATGCAAGATAAAAGATAATAATAAATTACACGCAATCCCCACTACTCACATTTCATCATCCTCGTGTTTACCCTCGAGTAAACTGGGAGCGGAGATACTCCTGTTAAACGCCACCTCCGACTCCTGATCCGGGATCACGTGAGCTAGTGATGTGGTTCTATCGAACACGGGGTCCGTGATAACATCCACACTCATCAACACTGACAGTCTCTCACGTAACATTCCCAACAACCACTTCGTCTAATGGAGGGGCGGTAATTTAAGTGGGTGTCTACAAATTACTAAACTTGTTAACATATATGGTAATATAAAGGTTCAATTGGGTAGGTAAGTGGTGGGTGATGATATCTGAAAAACCATTCAAATCACTTAACTCTCGGAGTGAAGTCGTAATAGAAAGCTTCACAATCGGAAAAATCACCAATGAAACTAAATTGATAGTTCAAGTAAAAACCTTGGACATGTCCTCTTTCTCCTTCTCCTGTCCAACCAAGACAATGAGCTCCTTAACACTAAGTTCCGGGTCCTCCTCCTCGAACTTAGCTCCGGTTATAAAACACAACATCTCCAGTTCAGGCAGCTTGTTCTCAGTCAGGTGGTAGTTAACAAAGAACCCCTCACCAGGAGACCGACCTGTGCTGCTGGCCATGTCCTTCTTCTCGTTATCCCACCGCTGTTCTAGCTCCGCTAGGTTTTGTAGTTTTCTCAGCATCGCGTTTAATCGGGTTAATACCTGGTTAATGCCTGGTTAATACGTGGTTATTACCTGGTTAATGCCTGGTTAATACCTGGTTAATACCTGGTTAATACCTGGTCTGGGGGTACTTTAGAACTTAAGACTTTAACTATGGATTCATAGCTGCGACGTGTAAACTGATATCAGCAAATAAAGTAACGCTTGTTTTCTGTTGTTCATGAAGAATGTCTACAGTTTAGAAGCATTAATAACAGTTGTCACGATGTTACGAAAAGTAACATATCCTAATTTGCAGTCAATTAGATATAATTTATTGTAATTAATTTTTGATTCAAACCTTGTTGACTAAGCTTGCAGTATCATTGTCTAACTCCAAATTTTCAGTATTCAGTTCAAATCTGAGATGCTTCATCGCAGCAGCTATAACTGCTATCTCGATCTCTTCGGGCTGCACTATCGTCCTGAAATTAACGGTTAGTTGGAGACTAGGACGATTCTTCGTTATTATCATAATATGTGAGATACTCTTGATGAAGATTACAATTAGCGATTTTCTATTTGCGACACACATTATCAACTTTTCAATGATACAAAGGACAAAAATGTATCTCCATTCTATACTCCTTGAAACTTTTTATAACATTATATTCATTGCAAAAACGTTGGCCCTATTACTCTAGATGACGTAATGATTATCGATGCAATAACGGTGAAATTATATAATATTTCATCCAGTGTTGTAATTTTTGACAGACTTAATGTACATGATCATGAGTCTTGAAATGTAAATGTCATTTATAAATTGGGTGGAGATTGGAGTTCTGAGAACGGTGAGTCTGCAAATGAAACCGTTTAGAAAGATAGCAATCTTTCATTACAATCGATTGCAATGTTTATTTCTGCACGAAAAGTTGTTTGTGCATTCCAAACATATTTCAAACATACTTGAGAGAGGGCCTGAACACTGGACCAGGTTTGCCGCACATTATTCTCAGTTTATCAATGATAACACCAGTAACTCCTGTGTCTCGGATTAAGGAACCCACGTTAGCCTCCTTCCACACACACCTGAAGCGATAATACGTATTGATACGTATTTTTATCGTATGTATACGTATCTATACGTATTTATAACTATGTAACTGTACTATTTAACATTGAAACTATTTATCTAAGCTATACTCAATACTGTCTATCTACACATTATAATGCACTAGTATGTGCATCTTTAGTAGAAGATTTTTAATATTATTATATATGGGTTCAACAATATAAAACTGTATATAAAAACTATTTAACTCTCACAGTCATAGACAACAGATCAAATAGTTGACGGTAATAAAGCTAAAAGTATTGAGTTAGAGTACTTCTAACTCTAAACTAGCTAGAAGTATTGAGCTAGAGTACTTCTAACTCTAAACTAGCTAGAAGTATTGAGTTAGAGTACTTCTAACTCTAAACTAGCTAGAAGTATTGAGTTAGAGTAGTGCTTCTAACTCTAAACTAGCTAGAAGTATTGAGCTAGAGTACTTCTAACTCTAAACTAGCTAGAAGTATTGAGTTAGAGTACTTCTAACTCTAAACTTATTATTATATAACTTTATTCAAATCAAAAATAGAACATAAAGAACATCTTGATGACCTGATAAGTCACCAAGAGAAAAATAACACATAATAAACTAAATCATGCTTAACTCTCTCCATGCTTTTCTATCTGTTGCATAAAGTCTTAAATGGTATAAATCGTCTGTATTTACAAGTCTAAAGTTTCTGTCACTTAAATCGTTCAAAATAGTTTTTAACAAGTTTGACTGGTGTCGTCCGACTCTACCTCTCATCAAACTCTGACTCTCTACAGCAAAATGTAAGGCAAGCTGGGCAGGTGAGTTATTATCACTGCGGAGGATGTGACCGAGCATTCTCCACCGTACACGAGCAACACGCTCACTTAGTGGAACAACTTCGCAGCGTTTGTATAGAGTCACATTTCGTATGACATTAGGGTAGGTCATGCCGATGATCGTACGGAGATGATTCCTGTGGCAGACATCAAGTTTCTGAAGGAGTTGTTTAGATGTTGCCCAACTGTTGCAATTATACATCAGTATTGAAACAACTTGTGCTTCATATATCTTGAGTCGAATCTCCAAGGGTATACGTCTACCTTGTTCCCAGACTTTTTTGTAGTTCTGAAAAGCAATGTTAGCAAGTATACATCGTCTCTTGACATCTTCGATGCTACACAACTTAGAGCCTAAAGAGATAGATGACCTCCAAGGTTCTCTACCTCTGAGTGTCTCTCCTTTGTTATCAACCTCGTTCTTGCCGGCCAGATAGAAGTGGGTGAACTCGGTTTTTGACTCATTGACAAAAAGATTCCACTCTTCCAATATCTCTTTACATATTGGCAACAAAGACTCCAAATTGCTTTTATCCTCATCAGTAAAATCAACATCATCTGCGTACTCCCACTCGAGGGGTAGCAGATTCTCAGCTATGGGAGGGTTAGGTCTTAGATAGGACATAACAGCACGCAGGTGGTAAAGTGCTGCTGCCAGATATAGAGTGAACAAGTTTCCAGACAAACTGTCGCCTTGAAAAGCTCCAATCGTGACAATAAACTCTCCCGATATTGTTGAGTTCACTTTGATCTTCAGTTTAGTATTTGCGAGCAAATACCTTACCAGTCGAATGTCGTCCTCACTACAACCAGCATCAGCTAAAATGTCAAGTAATACCGACCTCTTTATGGTATCAAAAGCAGAGGACATGTCAATGCCCATCTTATGAAGAGACCAGCGTTTTTCCTTGACAACTGACACTAGTATTCGCTAGGTCCAAACAATATTTGCACAACTATGGCCAGGTTTATAGGCATTCTGCCAAGGACCAGTGTACTGAGATACTTGCCTTTGGATGCGCTTTAAGACTATCATGGACAATATCTTTCTAGTACCGTTTAGTAGGCAAAGTGGGCGCAAACTCTTAGGGGGGCCTAGTGGCTTTCCAGGTTTTTGGAGCGGAGTAAGGTATCCCTCTGTGAAAGAAGGTACATGTTCATGGAGCTCAAAGGATCGATTAGTAAGTTGTGCAAATGTGGAAAAAAAGATTTCAGGAGAGTGTTTAAGAAATTCGTTTGGGATCCCATCTGGTCCAACAGCTTTACCGTTCTTGAGTTTCTTGGCCGCAAGCTCAACTTCAAACGCTGTAATGGGGTTTTGAAGGGGCCTAGGGTTACCTGTGAACGGTTCTAGTGGTGGTTCACTGTCAGGTCCAGTGTAGTGTTCTTCGAAGTACTGGCGAATGATTTCAGCCTTGTCTCGTTCATTATCTACCAGTTGGTTGTCAGTGTTGTAAACAGACACAGAGCCTGCACCCGTTTTCTGTTTGCCTGATAGTTGACGAGCAGCTTCAAAAATTCTCCGTCCTTCGTCTATGGTGGCTATAGAGTCAGCTAGGCTGTTTGCTAACTCAACTCTCAATGTTTTCAACCGTTTAGTAATGTCGTTTGAGAGCCTGTTAATTTTAGCTCTGAGAGCTGTCCTGTCTCTGTATTCGTTGTTGTTCAGTTGTTGTAAAAGTTGTTTCCTTTCTTCAGACATGCTAACAACTTGACTGTCAGAGGAATGATTCCTCTTTCGCTGTGGCTCGCGAAAACCCACAGTGGAAACAGCAGCTTCTTTAACTTCACCAAAAAGCATATCAAATTGCTGTTCCGTGTTGTTGGAGGTAAAGTCAGGATCTGATACAGTTTGCTCAAGTTTCTGACGAAGTTCTTGCTGATATTGTTGTTGAGCTTGTTTGCTTCCAATCAAGGTTGTTGTGTTATAAGTCTTTTGAAATGCACTGCTCTCCTTGTACAACTTGAAGCGCTGCGAAAAATCTGCCTTGGCAACAACAAGTTTGTGGTCACTGCGGTGCTTTGTACCTGCATATGACCTGGCATCAGTTAGCAGTGCCTTGCTTCTGGACTTGCAGAGTATGAAGTCAATCTGTTGGAAATAAGGTTTACTTTTCCTGGTTGCTTGATCCCGAATCCAACCAGTCCGTGTGGTAATGTGTCTGCTGTTATGGGAGAATGAAGTGTTGGCAGCAAACAGGCCATTAGCAGTGAGAAAGTGTAGCAACCTTTCACCGTTTTCATTCCTCCTCCCAACACCATGTCTACCAATATTCACATGTAAACCATTTTCTACATCAACAGGGCTTCTTTTGCCAAGTTTGGCATTAAAGTCGCCTAACATCCATACTTCAAATCTAGCAGGAACACTGATAGCCTCGAGTAGCTCATCGTAAAATTGGGTTGCTAATCGGGGATTCTGAACTGACTTGGGATTCGTAGGGCTGTAACAATTAACAATTCTGATATGACAAGGTGGTTGATCCACCCTTTTAGCACTTAATTTAAAGTCCATATAAACAACTCTGTCACTGATCTGATGATGCGATACTATACATTCCAAAAAACGCTTGTTAACAATAAACCCAAGTCCACCGTGTCTATCGTGTCTCTGATCAAACAAAAACAATCGATGATGTCCAGGGAGTGTTGTTTCCAAGTATTCACGTGTCTTGGTCTCCTGAAGTGCTAAAATGTCTAAGTTATATCTGTCAATGTCCTCTGCAACAAAGTGTTGCCTGTATGTGGTCGATAGACCGCAAACATTCCATGTCCCAAAATTGAGTGTCGTAGCCATGATGAAAAGAGTAGCGTAGACTAGGAATCCTGCGATCTTCCTCCAGGCGTTAAACGTACTGACTTTAGCAGTCATGCGGACCCGTTACAGTCACACACCATCCTAAAAAAACTCCTCTTAACTAGCTAAAAGTATCGAGCTAGAGTACTTCTAACTCTGAACTAGCTAGAAGTATTGAGTTAGAGTACTTCTAACTCTAAACTAGCTAGAAGTATTGAGTTAGAGTACTTCTAACTCTAAACTAGTTAGAAGTATTGAGTTAGAGTACTTCTAACTCTAAACTAGCTAGAAGTATTGAGTTAGAGTACTTCTAACTCTAAACTAGCTAAAAGTATCGAGCTAGAGTACTTCTAACTCTGATGTAACTCTAAATCCTAACCTCTGAAGGAGTCGACTTTCCATCAGGTCTTTGCAAAGTATCTCCTCATCACTGGCAATGGGACCCTCGTAAAGCACGCGCAGCGCATGACACGACAGAGTGCTGAGACCGAGGGCAGTGTCCGCTAACACAGGCATTCCCAACATGTCTTCTTCTGCTGTACCGGGAGTGAACGATTATTAGCTTGATTGTCAGTAAACTTCAAATAAATAATTCCATTTATGGTTAAAATATTGGTTTATTTTCTATATCATATTATATTATACAGTATATTGTGATACTGTACGGATGACCCCTATTTCGTAAAAACGAAGGCGTTACATCAGGTATGAGGTGAAAAGTCAAGGGAGCTTAAGTAATGTGTTCACTATGGTCTCTGGCTCATAAAGTGTGCGTGGTCCATTTAATTGCAATATTGCAATATGTCAAGAAGTGGTCCCATAAAAAAGGTGGTCACATATTCGAGGGGGGGGGGGGGGGGGGGGGGGTATCATGCACTTAGTCCTGTACTTGACGTTGGGGTGGTGGGTCATATTTTCTTCCAAAACACAGTTAGTACTTTTGTACTAGGTGGTGGGTCTGCTGCTCATTTCGAAGAAAAACAACATGGTACTAAGGGGGGTGTCCGACCCAAAAAAACCCATTTTACCTTAAATTTCAATTTTGGGAATGGGTTTTTTGAGTTTGGAGGTTTTTTCCCTTTTTTTTGGTTCTTTTGAATTTTTTTCCTTTTTTTGTAACTTTTTATCTAATTCGACTACATTGAAAACAAAACCCCTACTAAATAGTGGGTATAATTTGCCCATTTCCCAATGTTTGATAAGCTGTTTAAAGCAATTTATAGGTGGGTATCTTATTTTATATATACCAAGACACAGTTAGTACCGCAAAAGCCAGCAAAAGGGGGTGGGTGTCTTAATTATTATCCGAAAAAAAAAACAGTTAGTACCGCGAAGGGGTGGGTGAGTCTTTTGAAAAATTCCAAAATTACACACCCCCCCTCCCCCCCCCCCCCCCCCGGCCCCCCGTACTTTTATTCAAATGGGGAAATCATTAGAGAGTTGAAACTCGAAAGATTGAATTATTTGATAGTATTCGGCACGAATTTTCAGAGCAATTATTTGATTAATTTACTTTGCTCGACATTTGATAGGAATTTTCACTATTTTAATGACAGATATCTAAAACTTTCTTTGGTAAGTTAAGTCAGAACTGCTTTAATAAATCACCCAAATTTTCACGAATATTTACCTCCACGTTCAACTCTGTATATAATCAAACTATACATTGCTGCTACTAAGTTACTGAGACAGGAGCTATGCTAAACGTGGCTGTTTGGCACATCGTGCAAGCAGGTATATTTAGATATGTATACAAATAAACGTGTATACAGTAGACAAACAGGTTTACACCAAGATTCAGGAAGGAGTCGCACAGTTTACATGTACACTGTCAAACATTCCAATGTTGCTTTAAAATGTACAATATTATTCTGAATCTCGCAACATACACCACACATATACAAACACTCAAAAACACGTACAGACACACATTATACAATATACACTCTTATTCAAATATACAGAGGGAGTATTAAGGTTCATTGAGCGCTCTTTATTAGTATTACATAACACATTAGACATTTTATGTAAATAAATACTCCTGAATCCTCCTCTCAATAGTGTAGCTGGTACATCTGGATCCTAACAGAGAGTGGCGATTTAGTGGCGGTCTTTCGTTTCTATTCTAGTGCCTACTTGACGATATGCTAATATAATAGAATGACCACGATATAAGATCAGCAAGCATGAGCACTGTAGAAAGTCTTTTCTGAGAAATATTGGAAAGGGGAGGGAAGTGAAAGTACCAATGTAAGTCAATGTTAGGGGCATCGCGTGTGATAATCTAGATTCTTCTAAAAGACGAAAATCGAAATAGAACACAATCTGATAAACTCTGAATAAGCTAGAACTAGGATTAAGGAATGAATGATTATTAGAGTAAAGAGTTAGACACTCCTTGAAAGTTCATTGCTATCCTGATAGCATCACTAGACAGTACAAAACACTGAAGCAGAAGAACATGCTATTATTTCCGCTCCATTCCTTACGGACTTGCTCCAGTTCCTATAATTACTTGGGATGATTTCAAATCGTCTAGATTAGATGTGACATTTGATAAATGGATCTTTGATGAAGTCAAGTAGATTAAGACAAATCACTTCTTTTAATGACGGTACACTTTTGATTTAAAGAGCTACCACATTTAATAAGATACACTTCTCTGAAGTTAATTAAAATAGCTCCAGTAGTTCAGTTAAACGATTTCTGTCTTTGAAATTATGCTTTTGGACCCGGCACGGATAGCTAGGGGGTGATGCAACGTCAATTAATGTCAATTAATGTCAATTAATGTCAATTAATGTCAATTAATGTCAATTAATGTCAATGTCAGTTTTGCAAAATTTTGGAATACTGACATTAATTGACACGATATTTTTCGACCAGAGATTATGTAGTTCTACCATATTTTTAGCACTTTAGAACGTTTATATCATCAATTTATTCACTATTATCACATATGGAAATGTGAAAAGTGAAAAAAATTCAGGTCATTAAACAATAAAACTAAAATAATACGGTTTTCCGAAATTTAATTTTCTTAAATGGGCGTGGCCATCCAAGGGCGTGGTTCTCAACATCATCAGAACTTAAAACCCACATTAAACGAAATGCCTTCATGACATTTATATTTGAATAACGAATTTCTTCAAAATAAAGACCGAAATTTACTCTACAAAAATGCTAATGAGGTATTATCAAAGATTCACGACTATTGCTGCTTAAATAGGTTAATTATTAATTTTGAAAAATGCTGTTTTATGGAATTCGGAAGTAGTAAAGTTCCTAAGAATCAAAAGTTTGTTGGAATACTTAACAACCAGTTTAATCAAGTGAATAAGTGTAAATTTTTGGGAGTCATTATTAATTCTAATTTAACGTGGAATGATCATATTACCAATGTAATAACGCAAGTTTCAAAATCTTGCGGATCACTCTACTCCATAAGTTCTATAGTACCAGCCAAAGTGTTAAGACAAGTATATATTTCACTTGTTCAACCATATTTAATGTATTGTATACCACTGTGGGGTGCTGTTTTTCACCATCCTTTGCTGCAAAAACTGTTTGTGTTGCAGAAAAAATGTATTCGTATTGTGAGTAGAAAAACAATAAAGATTGATCACAAGTTTCAACATACGAAACCAATGTTCTTTCGTTTGAAATTATTAACCTTGTTTAACTTATTTACATACTTTACTGGATGTATTGCAATGAGGCTACTTAAAGAACAAATTCCTGTTGATGTTTATCGCCGGTTTAGCAAGTCAAGTAGATCATGCAGACTTCTATATCCTAAATTCTCAATGTCTAAGACCAAGAATAGTAATTTTGTTTTTAATGCATCCAAAATTTTAAATTATCTCCTTGATCATGATGTACCGTATCATATTTTGTCAATTTCACTATTTAAAAAGAGATTTAAGAACCATTTGCTTCATATACAAAACCTAGGGCTAAATGGGGATCATGGATGGCTACCATGTAATCACGATATCTTCTTGAATGTATCAATTTCATAAAATAAGTTAATTTCAACTAGGGAAATATAAATTGAAGTTAATGTTTTGGGGACGTTTGTGTGTTTTTTGTGTGTATTTTATTGTGAGTATTTAAAACAAGATGGGGACTATAATTGTAACGGTTTAAGTGTATACGTCTTTATTAATGTTGCCTCCGATTTCACTACACTGACAACATTCACTTTTTATTTTTTGTGTTATTTTTTACTTGAGATCTCATATCATAAAATTTTACCATCGCGATACGGGTATTAATTTACCTCCCAGCGGTGAGACACCGCTTCCCTCCATCGCCATGTTTGAAGCTCTCCCATCATCTGTTCTACTTCAGAGGGAAGTGATTTATTTTATATTTTAAAATTGTTATTATTCCAGTATAACAAATACATTTTCTAATCGTGTAAAATCGTGTAAAATCGTGAATCTTAAACAGCTAACATAACTCCTTCATACTAAAAAAGCCGATTCTAGATATTTTAGCTGTATAAGAAACCAATAAAATATGGGCGTGGCCGGTGGGGACCGAAGATGGAAAAGTTGGAAGCTGAAATTTTTTTGGTGGTCTTTGAACCTAAGGATCAACAAATAAGAACATACTCATAATTATTCAAGGACATTTTGTTTTTTTGAACCGGTCTAACTTACATAAACGTGAATATCTTGAATATTTATCGAATAATGATAATCTCAAATTTCAAGACAAATTAATGTCAATTAATGTCAATTAATGTCAATTAATGTCAATTAATGTCAATTAATGTCAATTAATGTCAATGTCAGTTTGGGGTTTTTATGGAATACTGACATTAATTGACGTTGCATTCCCCCCGATAGCTATGAGAGTAACTTTTACAATCATGATATAATATACTAATATATATACAATGTATGATATATAATATTCTTTTTATCCAAAAATAGCTTTATCAATTGAAATGATAGTGGCCAGTTTGTATTGTGTATATAGTATTTTCCGATTAACCTACTACAAGAACTACTCTTCGCCACATATCCCAAACGTTATGACATGGTATTTTTATATCTTTATACGTCAAGATGTCATTACCTATTAATTCAACTCTAGATAGAAGATGACAACCACCAAGCATCGTGTCGGTTCATTATACATCAAAACAATAACAAAATACAACTTATAGTATAGCTTATTTAGTTTCAGAATCATTAAAATTCGATTAAATATCATAATGGCGTATCAATGAAATCAAAGGAAACATTTGAAATGATAAAAACCGGACTGCACTGTAATAAACACCTCTTAAAGCTCGCTGAGTACCTGACTCCTGTGCCCTGACCGAGCAAGCGAAGCCCCAGATAGCTCTATCAGGTGTGTTGTGTTCTCTACCACTTCTCATCTCGAAGGAGAATGTAACCGTGTCTCCTTCAACCTTGATCTGGTCGGTTGGCCAACCTGATCCCAAGACACTCCGACTACCAAACCCGTACGTGTTTCCTCCGTACTCTGAGACTTTGCGAGAGCTTGTGCTTGCCCCCGCATAGATTATCACCTAGGGTAGTATATCAAGGGGTATTTGAAGAATTTAATTTAATGCTGGGGTAGGAATCTGTCAAGAAAAGAAACAGGACATGAGTTCACTGATAAAATTGAAAATAGTCTCGCACAACTGAGATGAAACTTTAATTATCAATTAACATTTTCCTTTCCACGTTTTTTACCTTATCATAGTCGTACTGTGTAGCACACCTAGGATCAAATCTCAGATACAAGCTTCTAGCACCTGGTATAGTAACGGTGTCTTTAAACTTGTAGTTATCTCGTACAGGGTGTATGGTCTCGACAGTTCGGCCAGCAGCCCACGGAGCTGGTACGGACAGGGAGGACAGATACTCCTGGAACTGCTCCGATCTTTCTCCTCCTTCTTCTGTAATGATAAGGGAATTAGAGCTGGATTTTAAGATGAAGTTTGATAAAATAATCATTATAGAGGTATTGGTACTAGTGATCCAGTAAATGAGGACTGACAACTGCCATACACATCTCTCTATAACTTTCTGCTTGCCGCGTTATAATCACTTCTTTTCTTACCGATAATCATTGAGTCAGAGGAGAGGAGCTTCATCTTGTCGTGAACTGCTGTAGCGGCTTTACAGGCTACAACGCTTACATCACTGAACATCTGAAGTTATTGTTAGATTAAGACTATAATAATAAGAACACACTGTAGATATTATATTATAATGGATAATATTTAACAATAGATTATAAATTATACGTAAATATGTAATAAATAACGTTCAATGGCTGCACAGTGCACTGCCTTGTTGGGGTTTTGCCGGTTATTATTACCAACTAATGGCAGTGTAATACTGCTAAAATTATCAAAGAACCGTTTCTACCAATCAATAATTCCACGACAACGATAACATCAAACATGGCAGTCAATAACACAACTTTATAATTTAACCCCAATTTTACAACTTGACACAAAAACTCCCCCACAAACCTGCAGGAGGTTCTCACTGAATCCCAGAGTGTGAAGCTTCCTATCACAGAGGAGACAGAGCATTGGAGGCAGGATGAGACCGAGGATGCTGCTCTTGATGAGACGCTCAAACATGTTGAGACGTGTCTCCACATGGACTGTCTCCAGCTCGTCCAGTCCGGTGCAGACTGATAGTACTGTGTCGTATACCTGGGAGGGAGAAATTCATGCTGCTTTAGGTTGCAGATATTTGTAGTACCGCTACCGGCAGATGTTTAGGATACAATATAGCTAAATAGGTAAACCTATTACTATTAAGTTGTTGTAAATATTAGACGAAAGATCCATTAAATCCACCCCATACTAAATAGAGCTAAATAATTTTGGTGCCGGAATCTGTTTTGCATTCTGTAGGTGGTATTGTTATATAACTTTTGGTAAAAGTTGAAAATCAAATTATAGTCTGGATGATTTAACCACGCATTACAAAATAATTTAAAGCAGCAATGAACGGGAACAACTCGGTAAAAGGTTAAATAGAACCCACTTTCGTTACAGAAGCTTGAGATCCACTCATTTTCGAGACTCAATATTAAATACAGAAAGTAGGTAGGATCGGTGGTATCTTACCTTGCGGCAGTGCTGCAGTGAGAACTTTACATAGTTAAATAGATCAGCAGTTGTTTCTTTGTTGTCCAGATGAGAGAGCGAGTAACGGAACAAGTGAGATTGTATGCTGCCCAGCAGTGAGATGCAGGGACTTCTTTGCTGTGAAATGATGGGGGTTCAGATTGTAGGGTTTAGATTGTGCACTATTAAAATGTCAGAACCTCCGCGTATCCTGACACACAGGACTATAAAAAAAGTCGGGAATTGGTAATTTGTTAGGATATGCCCCTCAGTGTGCCTTATATAACATAATGATATTATTGATAATGAGCAGGTGAAATATTTGAAGGTTTAAAACCAACTGACCGGCATATGGGAGACAAGAGATTGGAATGCATCGTTACCCAGCGTCACCACATTTCCAATCAAGGTGCAACTTTCAGCAGTCGCAGCGCTGAACACCGTATCAACTATTTCCTGCGCGCACCACGCAGAGCGCTCCTGCGCTAAACTAGAATCGAGCTGCGCACGAATGTGGCTGAACACGCTTGTCTGCAGTATTTGGCAACCCACGTGCTGTGAAGCTTTGATAAGTTCTACTACCATGACATGTTGGGACTCCTCGCTGCTGTAAAACAGTTCGAAACTGTTGCTGAGGATCTTGCTGGCTGCTTTCAGGATAGCTTCACTGTAGTTACTTGACAGTATCTTCCACACCTGATAGCGTTTCTGTGTCACTATATTTTATAAACAAGTTTTGTATCGACTTAAGGTGAACTTGGTATCAGATAAACTGAAACATTGACAGTAAGCACTAAGCAATTAGATGCATTTACACACGGTGCACGATGTGAATTGTGCAAGTGTACGTACCTGTTCTCTGAGAATAGTAATACTGTCAACCAGCTCGGCAGTCACGCAATCTAGACTCTGCATGCTGAGGTTAAGGAGGACCAGGACACAGTGTAGCTGCTGTTCGTTCCTCGTCACACTGCTCAGAATGTCAGACAGCTGCTCCAGGTAGCGGGGTGTCATGTCCGGGACTAACTTCTGGTCCGTGTTTATCTGGTGACAGCACGTGCTTCCTAGATGGGTGATATGGATTCAGGAACACGACAATTATAATAGTCCTCCCAGTTTTGAGAGATCAAATACTAGCAGATATCAACATATACTAGCAAATACTACAATGTAATTTCTTGTCTCTTGAGAAAGCCGTGAACTTGACAAATTGAACCATCTGAAATTTGGTTATAAGTAAATCTCAGTACCTAGATGATGGAGAAGGATTGTGACAACATCGTTCATACTGATAAGAGAATCAGGGGAGGGGATGGGGACGATACCCAGTCTGCGTGCTATGTGGTGGGGGGCCATGTTACCAGGGTTACCCCACTCTTCAACCCACTCGTCACTACACGTCCAGATTGTGTTGTTTTCTACATCATAACAAGCTCCTGTTGCGATTTGTATTTCATTACATTTATAACAGGATAGCCCATGCTCAGATATTTATAGATTTTAATTTGGGAGTACGGTTTAATGTCAGAACTTTCAAGTTTCAACCTTGGATAAAATTTGAAACTTTATGAGAGACCAAGATAGCAGACAATATTTTCTTGATTGCTAATAAAGATGATTTAATATCATATTATATAATATATATACTGCAGAATGTATTTTATCCATGACTTACCCATGCTGCACAAGGAAGAACCCTTAGCAAGAGCGCACCCAGGAGCATCTGACAGATCAACACGCTGATCCAACTGTCCATCAGTAAGGGAGAAACACAGACTCGTAGCTATTCCTGGAGTGTCTAATTTAATTTAGATTAGGTAGTTCATGAGATTTTGGTGAAAGTTAAAACTTATGTTTCTGGCAAGGAATCCAGGTTTGATTCCAAACAAGTATCAATTTTAAATCACCCATCTAGAATCTAGATACCCTACCTTTAGAGGGACCAGCTACCGACAGCGCAGGTACAAAGAGAGCAGAGGGTTGCCCAGAACGGGAGTTACTGGAAGTAGGTATCACCATCACCAGGTGATTTCCACACGTGTACATGGGTGTTTTCCTCAGTACCTTCAGTGTCAGCCCACAACTTGTCTGAGCTGATTGGATTGGAGTCACAATTAACGTTATTTCGTGTGACTGAATGATGACTTTTCAGTGAAAACAAATTGTAACTGAAACATAATCGTGTTTTCAGCCTTGAGTAAAACGTTTCAAAATTTAAGTTACCATTATCATCTTTAGCAGTAGCTGCTAGAAGCTGGATAGCTTCAAGTGCCATGTTAGCACTGCTTGATCGAACTGGTCTAAGTTTTTCAATCAGAGCCTCCGTCAGCGTTTTACTAGCCTGCAAGAGAAACAGTTATTAACATTTCAATAGCATTATAATATTGTTTTGTCTTATTCAGCCAACTGTTCAACATGGAATATGAATCATATTATGGTTAGCAAGTACACAATTCATTTCAAACCTACAATAGAAACCGTAAATTTGACCACAATTTGTACAGCACATTTCAGTTTTGTGATTTTTAAAAAGACGTAAAACTAGTATTTATTAGATTATAAAATAAAAGAGAGCGCCCTTAGTCACCTCAATATCCTTTCTCTGAATAGTAATCCTATCCCTGACAGGAACCAGCTCCAGTGCCCCAGCTTCATTTCTCTCAAAATTCAGCACATCTACAAAGATAGTGAGAGACTTGTTTGATTTGCTAGGACCCGACCGTACCACCACAGACGAACAGGTAATCCAGTAAATGTAGAGACCGTCGCTGCATAGTGCTAGAGTAGTTGTGCTGTTGTTACAGTTACTGATAGCAGGGGACATTCCATTGAGTTGTACATCACATTCAACCTGGGGGAACCGGATTTTAAAATTAGAATAGGATATAATTATTATTTTTGCTATTTCATATCATAAATTACGGAGAAAATAGCAATAATAATAATAACGGCCATGGAAATACTGCTAACAATACGGATCTAAAGTTTCAGAAAACCTAATCGGAATCATCAATGTAATTTGTACTGTAAAATATGACCATTTTTTGCATCTACAGCTACAGAATGTTAAATAATACATTACATGAAATATAAAATATTAATGATGAAAACTTATGAGCACAACCTCAGACACATAGAATCACTCATAACCCCTCAATATTTTCAGAAACTAGGACACCTCAACACCAAAAAATCCTCATACACCCACAGAAAACAACTCCTTACTCACCAAAAGAAGTTCGCGGTACTACTCTCAGAATACGACACCCCGTTCCTCTCACCCTACGACACTCTTAAAACGCTCGACATACCCTCTCCCACATTTCATGGTCCCCTCCTCAAGACCTCACCTACCCCCAAGAAAGACACCACAGCCAAAACAGTGATCAACCTCTCTGGACAGACCCTCTCCACAGCTGAAACTGACGTCCTCTCCCTTGGACTGAAGTTCGTCCCGACACCCACCTCAGATCCTACCCCCGACCTGGCTCCCCTCATACAGAACATCACTAAACAACTAGGAGAAGGCATGGAAGCCTCAGCCACATATCAGGTCACCTCTGTATTATCTAAATTTGACAATAAACGTGACATGACCACCGACAATTTGACTCCACAACAACGTACCGCTCTTAAATCTTTAAAATCTAAGAAATCTGAATTGAAATTTCTTCCTGCTGACAAGGGCAACGCCACTGTTGTACTGACTCACGATCAATACATAACCAAAGTTACCGACCACTTATCCTCAGGTAGTTACACCCTCTTAACGAAAGACCCCACTCAATCCGTTACCACTAAACTACAGAAAGTCCTCAAGAAACTACACACCGACAAGAAGATCACGACCGACCTATACCACAAGATGCGCAACCTACATCCTAGATGGCCTCAACTTTACGGACAACCTAAGATACACAAACCCGGCGCACCTATCCGTCCCGTAGTCAGCTTCTACAACACCCCCCTCCAAGCCCTCCACAAAGTCCTCGCATCTTTCCTCAAACCCCTAGCCCAGAACCCCTTACGCCTCAAAGACTCTTCCGACTTCAAACATCGCTTCGACTCCTCTCTCAACCCCTCCTTCCACTACCACGCCTCCTTAGACGTCCAATCCTTGTACACCTCCTGTGACATGCGCCTAGCCCTCAAAACTGTCATCTCCTCCTTTGAACAGAACCCCTCTCGTCTTCCCTCCAATGTCACCACCACCACCATAGGCTCCCTTATCAACTTTTGCCTTGACAACTCATACCTTGAATTCAACGGCTCCTTCTACTCCCAAGACGAAGGTGGTACAATGGGATCCCCCCTCATTGTTGAACTAGCTGAAATCCGCCTTGCTGAAATCGAGACCTTAGCTTTATCCTCATGTCCTGACCCTCCGAACACTTACTCCCATTTCGTTGACGACGGCCTTGGATCTTTCAGAGACAGAAACCACGCAGAATCCTTCCTTACATTCCTTAACTCCCTTACTGAAGACCTCAACTTTACCCAAGAACATCCCTCTACAGACGGAACTATACCCTTCCTTGACGTTCTCATCCACCCTGACAAATCCACATCAGTCTACAGAAAACCCACCCACACCAACCTCTACACCAAGTACTCCTCCTGCACCACCAACTCATCTAAGAACGCAGTCATCCGATCACTGACCAGAAGAGCCCACAACATCTGCTCACCCCAACACCTTGACGACGAACTCCAGACAGTACGACACGTTTGCCTCCAGAACGGCTTCCCTCCTCACCGCATCACCACCATCATGGACGAAGTACAACGGAAATTCACCAACCCCTCTCGCCACCAATCCCTAGCCTCATTCAACCGACAGACCCGTGAACATGCCCTTAGTGTTTCTCTTCCTTTCCATCCCTCCCTATCCAAACCCATCTCCAAGATACTCGGACAACACGACATCAAAGTCACCCACTCCTCTGCTACCTCCCTCCGCAACCTCCTCACCAAAACGAAGACCACACCCCCTACTCACCTCACTCCCAACACCATCTACGAAATTTCCTGCTCACAGTGCCCCTCCAAATACGCCGGACAGACCTACAGACCCTTGGTCCACCGCATGAAAGAACACGAACGATGTTACAGACTCAACAACGCCATCGACGAATCCACAGACAGAATCAAATCAGCCCCTGCACATCATGCCCTGACCACCGGCCACACCATCTCCTGGAACAACATCGAAGTCCTCAAATCCCTCACCTCACGCTCCCAACTTGACCTCACAGAACACGCAGCTATACAAATACGACAACCAGCTATGAACAGAACAGACCGCGCACCCAAATGTAGTTCCCTCTGGGACCCCATTCTTCCTAAAATTGCCAAATCCTTAAAGTCCAGACCATCTGGCATTTCCTTCTCAACCTCAACAGAAGACTAAATTTTTATTGACATTGTACTGTAATTTTCACTTTCCCACCCACACCTCCCCCACCCTCCATCCCTGACACCACTCAATCACATATAAGCATTGTCCACCACATCACATTCAGCTGACGACGATTAACACATGTTTATTGAAAGCTTCTACAAGTTAAATCATCGTATCTCTTATATGTTTTTAACCCAACTCCACTCAGTAAAATATTAATATTCGTAAAACAGGTTACTTGAAGTGTCGAGGGGTTGAGAAGCTGGCAAAAAGGGGAGCTTTTAGTGTCAGCACTTGCAGTTCTATAGACGAGGTTCCCATCAGCATATGTGACCCAACCCTGGTCAATATGAAGATTACGAGCATACACTACCCCACGCAGGGTTCCCGCTCTGCCGGTCCCAATACGTGCAAGTCCAGCTCCAGTGCAACCCGTCATGTAGAGATACTTTCCATCAGTCCCAAGAGTTCTTGGTACTTCTTTATCTGCAAGTTTTAAAATTTTCTTATATGAGGGATTTTTACTCCAATAAAACTTTCCTAAATTCCCAAAAATTAATTTTATGTGCTCTAAGAAAATGTTTTACCCTAATTAAACAATACTAATTAAAATAAGAAACAAACTTTTGTTATTTTCTTTAGAAGAGTTGATATCAGCCGGCACTGATATGACATCACTATGATCCCAGCAAAGGTGATGTAGGCTCCCATTTAGCGAGGTTGGGACCCCCGGCCCACCACTCGTCTCTAAAAGCTCTCTTAACATTCTGCTGACATCAAGATCTGGACAGTTTAATTTCTGAACAGTATGCAGTGTAGATAGCATCATTCTTATCGAACCCCTGAAAAAAAGTTGAAATGAGGAATCCATGATGAGTATAAGGGATGTATTTAAAATATTAGTTCAATAAGAAAGTAAAATAATTTTCAAATTTTTATAGTATTAATAATTTCAAGGTTAAACACAATAGATTACCTTGCACATGCTAAAATGACTAATGTTGATGCTAAGCAGGCCTTCTCTTGGTCTGCTCTTACAAACTTTCCGTCATTAATCCATTTGCAGAGCAAATTTTCTAAGCCATCAAGGCAATCTTGTGGTTCATTAGCCAATGAGAGTGGCTTACAGTCTTTCAGACAATCAATCAATAGTTTGGATGTTGATTTACATAACTCAGGATTGGTTGCACTCTGAACCTCAAGTAATGGAAAAATCAAAAGTAATGACACTCTTGATGTAAAAGGTAGGGGAGAAGTATTTTGAGCTTTCAGGGCTATTGATGTAGAAGAAACAGTTGGTTCCAGTTCTTGCTCGGATTTTAAAGATTCCCAAAATCCTTTAAGCGCACAGAGTCTGTAGTCTTGAAATCTTTGATATGAACTCGATTTATAGCAATACATTTTTTCTATTTGCTTGGCAAGCTGATGGGAAGACAGCTCAATCGATGTCTCAACATCCCAAGTTATGTTAGATGCTGAATCTGCTGAGCATATTTCAGGGGGAATGGTTATCAAGTCTGCCACACGCAACAACCCATCATTTAGAAAGAGACTGTCCTCAGTCACCCCATCCCATTGATGGCAATCTGGAGGCTTCATCCTGATAAACATGGTGTTAGAATGAAGCAAATTGTATTGAAAAATGTAGCAAAATATTGACAAAAATTCACAATGAGCTGACCAGCTGTCAGCTGACTTATAATTGGTGATTTACCTCGTGAATTTAAATTGTACATCACCGTTAGTTGTGTATCTTTGGTGACACTGTCAAAGGTTTGTCTTATGAGTCTTACAAAAAAGTAGCTTACTCAGAATTAACTAAGACTTATGCCTGTGCAGACACTTTACACTCAGTAATATGATGTTAGGAAAGCCTTTTGTGAATTCTGCTTAGGTCACTTACTGCACCCCATAGTCAGAAACCATTGCAGATTGGCAGATAATCTGCAAGGAAATTTTCGATTTCGGAGGGAATTTTTGGTGCCCAAGAGGAAATTTTAAAAGTTTACGATCTCAATTTGAAAAATTTTTATACGAAGTTTTTTGTCGGTGAAGAGGAAATTTTCTAAAAATAATTTAAAATTGTTGACAAATGAAAGAGGAAAAAACTAACAGTTCTTTGGATCATTTTTGAAGTTCTGTGTTTGAAAATGATCTCTAAATTGCCAAATTGCTTCTAGGCCTTCCGTGTGAGAATTTTTGCCTGCGGCAAACATATCTTCAATTCCTGTCTGTGTGTAAGTTTAAGTTGTATGCACTCTACATTTTTCAGGATATGGTTGCCTCTACTCTTCAAGGCACATATAATAATTTGTGATAACTACTACAGACGGTGCAAGCTGGCCATGTCTTACTTGTGGGTTGTAGGAGAAAGCCATTTTGTAACACACTTTTTTGAAGGGCTTCAGATATTTTGTTATTGTAGATTTTAATGTGGCCGAGCAAAAACACAAAAAATTTTCTGGGGCCTAGCTCCAAATGCTTAAGAACTGTCCTGCTTCACTCGCCGACATTGCGCAAGTGGAAAATTCGCGAGCGACCACAGAAAACAGAAAATTTGTATCTGCGAGGAAATTTGTAACTTTCTGGATGTGGGTATTTCACTCTAACAATCCGTTGTTCTTCCCCATAATAATTACTAAATAAGACAATTACCTTAAACATATCAAGGTATCAACATTAGGTGGCTGCACTTTGTTTTGATTTTATTAGGTCCTAGTATTTATCCCTATTGTCTTAAATTTTTAAGAGAACTCTCATTAAATTATTTTGATGTAGTCACTCAGATAAGTTTTATACCAGGACACTTCAACAAAGACACATAATCTGCCCACACAATAAGGGGCCATAAATGTTTCAATTATGTAACTGTATAGAATTATTGTTATTATTATCAACATTGGGGAAATATGAATGTGTAATCTAGCTCTGCAAAAGCTAGGAAAACTAGGTGAATTGCTAGATATAAAATTATTCAAACAATATACACATAATATAGCAATGACCCTATATAAAAACAAACCTTTAAGAATATAAAAAACTAGGTGAATACACTTGGTTCTCTAATCTCCTGCTCATTTCTCTGACACAAAAGAAAAGTAGATATCCTAATAACCACATTGAATGGGATATATTAAAATAGCAACATGAAGCAGATAGAATTTTTCTTGGACCCTAGCTACACGACAAACCGCATTACTATTAGGTTATCAATTATGTAACACATTCTCTGTCTAGACGATACTTTTAAAGTACTTAAAGCCGTCGTCGTTTTAACACATCACACAAGTCATAATAGTACACAATATCAGAATTATTCCATCTTGTAGGTGTGGACACTCAGTCAGGTGTGGACACTCAGTCAGAACTCAAGGTGGTAACTGTAAGACATGCAACATTGTGTACGGCGCGACATGCAAACTTTGTACTGTTAATAACGTATACGTGGGAAAAACAGTCACCAGCCTCAGCCAACGTGTGAATGGTCATCGCAGTAAATATTATGAGATTTTAGAGGCGAGTAGTAAGGGGAATGTTGAGAGCCACAGAGATTTTGATGACGAGAATGTTTTAGGGGCACATCTTTTTTCAGTTCATAATTTGAGGGAGAGATCTGTTTTCAATGAAAGTTTCCATTTTGATATTTTGTGTTCTACATCCCCAGATAATATTAGAAAGTCAGAACAGTTTTATATTAACAAATTGAAGACACTTTATCCGTTTGGCCTGAACAATGTGAATTCCGTTTCTGGAAGCTAATTTTTCATGGTGTCCCGAATTTTATTTTTAAATCGTCCATTTTTTGTTTATATATGCAGTCTATCAATTTTTGAATTGCGTCTTTTTGATTTAATGAAGTACTGCAGACTCCACATTATTATAGTATATGCGATTAATTTTGTTCCGATTTTAAACTATTCCATTTTTACGAGATGCTTAATTAATTTTTTGAGACTTTACTACATTTTTGATGAGAATTTTTGACATTTTCAAACTAACCATTGATATTCTCAGATTATGTGACTGATTAAATGCTGAAGATAAAAGAAATATATTCATTTTGCTAAGATTATGTTTGCGTTTCATTGCTCAACAGCTGTTCGAAGGATCAAATATAAGATTATCTTGTAGGTGTCGTGTAAGAATGAAAATTGAACCGTTTTTCTACGGTCCCTATAACATGCTTGTTATAAAGCCCATCACATTGCACATGATAAATTTGGAAAAGTGTGCATTTATGTTAGGTCACTGGATCACGAATCTCTCTTGACTTGTGATGGCAAAACGTACCACCTGACAGGTCAAATAATTAATGATCATCGACATGACTGTATAGCCAACACGTTGAATTTTCAACATGCCTCTTAAAGTAAAAGATAACACCAGCATTTTCAAAAGATCACGGATCTTGTAGAAGCAAGAAAACAACAATTTCAAGAAAACAACAATTTTATTTAATATCAATTCAAGCAGACAAAAACATATTTCATGTATATAACTAGAACGAACTTTAAATCAGATATCCTAGGGCCTAGGGGACTTGGAGTAGCAAGAGATTGACTAGAAGGTATATACCTTTTACAAAGATACGTCGAAAAGAATCCAGGGTAGTTCAGGATCGGAGAGTGCAGAACATAAAGTTTATGCACCCACCTTTGACGGATGTTACTCGTCTAAATTTCTTCGAAGTAGCGCGCGCCGCTTTCTTCTCGAAATGACGGCACGAGCTATGAAGTAGCGCGCGCCGGGCCAGATCATTAACAATGGTCAAACCCACCTTTGCCTCCTGAATTCTTGGTTGGACATAGAAATTAATGCAAACTTGGTCGTTTATACTCCAAGTCCCTTTGTTAAAAAGTAATATTATTTATGTTTAGAGTTAGTTGTAGCGCGATGCGTTACTGTGCCGCGCCGCGCACTTAATAAGGCTTCTCACTTCAGCAATATAATATCAAATATATACGTTATCATGGCCTGACCTCCCCCCTTGACTTTTTCCCCTAGAAAACACTTTTCTCTACGTTTCATGCTACCCTGATCATGCTATCATAATGGGCCGAAATCATTGTTATGATATCCGGCCAATACAAGCACCTTCAACCTCCTAAACTACTTATACTTACTATAATAGCCGGATATTCGATCAATTTCTAAATTTTATCACAATCAGAGTAAATTGTTATTATTCTAGAGGGTAAAAAAGAAAATTTTGGTTACGAAATCAACGACCAAACCACCACCCCCCCCCCCCCCCCCCCCGTAATCAACCGTAAGCATTTGGAAACTGTTAAATTGGTAATGGTATATCGGGAAATTTATGATATTCAGTCAAAATGTTGATATGATGCAACTCTAATAATAGGATAGTGCAGTACACAGTAGTTAACAAATTCTCACGCTATTATATTGGTCACCTCTCGCGTAATTACCCGGATAACCACGGCTTCTTCCTCTTAAATGTACGATGTAGTACTTTTGAATCAGAATGGCGATTCGGGAACTTATTAACTACAAAACAGGGAAAATACAGATAAATCTTTCTGTTGAACAAAGAAAACAGCTTTTAATGGAAACTATTACTTTCCTAAAATTTAACAGTTATAAAGTTTTAGATTTAAGACAGAATATTTACATTCGATGTTTATTATTAGTCTGTAACTGCTCAGATGCTAAATCACTCCATTACATCGCATCGCCTGATCAGAAACCGACTTGCATCACGCGTCAGCAAAATTGCATAATATTACAGCTTTAAATTTGTAGCTGGGTTGGCAGAAGAGGTACATGCGAATCCTTACATTGTGCAATGTTTAATTTATTCAGCGGAAAAATTGTGGAAGTAAATATTTAAAGAAATTGCAACTAATTTTCTGTAGCTGTGCAAATGCTTTCATACTGCAGACTGCCTATCTTTGGGAAGTCTGTGTTCAAGACTACTACGAGATAAATATGAAAACTTAATCTTTGAAGGTGAAAGATCATGGAGTGATTAAATTCTGATATAGCAGAAAAAGAAATTCGGAGGGAAGTATCATTACTAAGAAGTGATGACACTATTCAAGTCAAAGCATGCTATTCTTCTCCAGAAACACATTTCGGTATGTTGTTTTGATCAAGTTGGAACGGAGTAGTGCACAACCAATTTCCACAACTGACAACTGTGAGGCTGTTTTTATTCAATCAACATGATCGAATTTCAACATAATTACACAAGGACTTATACAAACAAGTTAAACCTGCTGCAAAGCTTTATAAAATGCCCAAATCCTGATTTTAACGTTTTTCTCGCAAACAGTGGTTTTTCACACTTTTGAAATTCAGTTTTTGTCCACAAATGTCGAAATAACCATTCGAATGTGTTCCTGGTATAGGTCAAATATTCCTAGCCCTAATCAAGGATAACGAATACCTTTACATCACAGAGAAAAAGTCGCTTAAATTGTAGTGGGTCAAGGGGTTAATATTGGGGACAGAGCATTTAAAAAATTGCATACCTTTCATTCGAGCTAATATGCGCAAACATTCATTTAAGATCAACATACCTAACCTCATATCAATCACTTGTCCTTACATTAAGACACTCTTATAAAATATATAAAAATAACTCATATCAAGTTACTGATGGAAATTGTGGGCACTATCTTTTATCACTTTCTTTATAATATTTTGTAGGGTACTCTGAGTGGCCAACCGATGGTTTTAACCGTTTTGTGTCTCTCGAATACATTTCTTCTGAATATTGTCCTGGAAACTGATGATACTGTTTTACTGTTGAGCCGTTGGGATCATACATAGTAAGGTTAGTTTTTAACGAAGAAACATTCAAGTTCCTTGATGGCATTAGTCCTGGATTACTTTGAGATAGGATTTCTTTAATTTTTGAAAATGTGTCGTGGGAGAGGGCATGCGAGGGGGATTCGTAAGAATGGGGAGCCCCGTTGACGGGCTTTTCAGTTGAATCGCTACTTTGAACTTCACTGCTAACTTTGTCAGAGGGCGAGCTAGAATAATCGATCTTTCTGATCTTACTTGGATGACTTGATTCGTCTGATAGAGTTTCTGACAAACTGGGACGAGAGAATTCTTCTAAAAGGGAGCTCTGAGGAGAGGCCGCACTTTCAGGAGGCACGGGGCTGATGGGTTCGAAAACAGGGCGAGGTTTTGGAGAAACTGGTTCTATCTTACATTCGGTTTCGCTTGGAGTGGAGGGTGTTTTGCTGGAACGAGATTGGAGTCTTTTTCGATAGTCTGCTAGAGAAACACGCTTCTTTTTCTCCATAGTTACAGTGTTAGCAACAGAATTTGATTCGATAGTACTCAGATTGGCAGGACAAGACTCAGAAGAAACCAAAGATGTGTGTGCGGACGATTCGAACTCAATCGTAGAAGGCATACTGGGAGGAGGAATAGTAACATCCATTTGATCCGTAGGGGTCGTATCAATAGAAGGTAACGTATCGTCCGATAGATTCAGGGTGCGCGTGGCCGCTTCCAGGCCCTCAGTATCTTTCAGCGCCACCTGTAATGAGTAAGGGGTGACTGACGAATATAAGTGTTCAAATAATCAAGTTCAGTGATTATTAAAACCGTTTATACGAAAGTTAGAGAACGTGGGCGTCAACTTCTGATAAATATAACAAAAACTTTCGCAATGTTTCCTTAATCCACTAATATTCTTACACTTCCATATATGGACCTGAAATGTGTTGGAAGCTGCGTTGTCTGTACAATAAACATCATGTCGCGCGCGCTCAACACAACATCGCGCGCACGCGGCAGAACATTCCAGACGCGTTACATGCCGCCCCACACGTCCACAATTGGCCGAGCTCCAGCAAAATGTGAACATTCAAGCAAATACATTTAAAATGTATCTGTATTAACTTTTCATCATACAGTATTCCAGAAGGAGCAACAAAAAGGCGGTTTAAAAGTTGTCACTATTACTCGATATATCCAGATCTCTGGACAAAACACAGAATAGGCGGCAAGCAGTAACGTTAGCATATGATATAATCTAATAGAACTCAACAAAGCCATCATTAAAAAAGGTGCCCCAAACATTTAAAATGGATCGACTGATTGATATCTTCATTTCAATTCATATCCAGTGCCTTCAGACTGTAGCTGATAACCGAACAAACCTGTGATGCCGGCGAACTCATCTCTTTTTCAGGAGTGATGTTTTCACGAGTTGGAGAATACAAATGTCTCGGAGAAACAGCTGGACTCATACACTTGCTACCACCCTCTTGTATGAAGGTCTCTAACCAACGTTTCTTCGACGTTTTGTAAACAGCGATGTTGTTTTTTGGTTTACAGTTGATCAGAGATCCATGAATTGGCACTATAAACCCATCTCTTTGTACTGAAAACAATGAAAAGTTTAAAGAATTTATTTCAGGCTGCATTGACCTTGGCCTGGGAAAACTTTGTGACAAACATCTTAACAATTCTATAATCGGTATAATTTTTCAACCGATTGAAGACATTTACGACAAACAGAGCAAAAATAAAACTTCAATTTAATCCACAAAACATAGGAGAATAGAGATCATCAAGATTATAATTCGTACCTTTGATGGGAGTGATGTGCGATGTGCTGTTCTTGAGCTGAAAGTTGTGCCTAGTTCTGGAGGTTGGTGCTGTACTAATAGGACGGAGTTGTATGTCAGCCTCATACCCGTTACAACGTACGTGATGCTGTGTTAATATCGGCTCCTGAAGTTTTTAAAAAGGTACAGTTTAAACCCTAGTTAACTGAGCCCCAATATATCGGTAACCCCGGCTCAGGGGAGGTTTTCAGATACCCCAAAAATTGTTCATTTACCACTTAACAGTGTTTAGTACAAATCAAAACCCCAATTTACTTGTATTGGGTGTATTTTTGATTTAACGGGAAAATAAGTGTTCCAACTAGAATCCCGGATATAGATATTCGCGGTTCTGCTATACATAAACGGGCTAGGCATGCTTTTTCATATTATTTTTATGTTATGAATCGCATTTACGTTTTCATCTAAGGAAGAATTTAAAAATTTGCAAATTTGTATGCGATAGACAGCTAAAGATAGGTGACAAGCTAATTTGCCAAAATACGGATAAAATATTATCTTGTGTTTATTCTGAATATCCGGAAAGAGAAATGCTGGGGCTAAATCTACCTTTTTAAAAATATGATAAGTCTCGGATGAAGGCTCAAACTTCAAATATGCAGGTTTGACAGTTGCAGACGAAAATAAATTGTCTATTGAAATACTGGGCTTGTTTTATCCTAGCTAGCGAAGTAAAATGCACGTGTAAATACGAAGGTCTTCAGGCAAAATCAGTACAGTTCTAGTCTGTGACTCACAGTAATAGTGTAAGCAGGAATGGTAGGCTTAGGAACTCTGGGGCTGTTGGCAGGGCTACTATTACAACTCTTCACCGCCCCGTCTTGTTCGAAGGTAAAGTGTTCGGGTGCAATGGTTGTGGCGATGGCGATGGTCGTGCTTGCGTTATTCCCTGCGGCGCTGCTACCTGATGCTCTACGCCCCTTTTTACCGCTTCCCTTTCTACGCCTGCTAATCAAACCGGGTCATTTCTTATATTAAACAAGTATTATATTTTGTTCCTTACTTCACACTATTTCCTAACCGAATTAAAAACTCAAAGGAAGCGATAAAAATAACTTAGGAAGTTTGAAGCAGGAGATTACCTCTTGTTTCCTCTGGAAGGAGTGCCAGACTCTTCAGTTGGGTCGGCAGGTTCACGAGTTGGGGATTTAAGATTCTCACTCAGCACTCTCTTCCTCTCCTCGTCTCGCTCTATCTTCTCTATAACCTGTAGGGTACCGTTATGTTGGGAGCTCTTAACGTTGCAATATTTATTATTAACAGCAAATATCAAACGTTTAACACTCGGTGTAATCACGTGACACTGACGCAGTTACAACCAGTTTCTCGTTTACTGCGATACTACTCAGTACTCAAGCTTGACTTGACTTATAAATTTCACATATATTATTTCCTCACTATTTCCTTAAACAGTTAGGAAACTCAGTTGAAATTACTCATGTACTTGACATTGACAGCTTAATCAAATACCAAACACGCTGGTCGCTGATACGATTTTACTTGTTAAAAATAGTGACAAGTGAATTTATTGAAATATTTTCGAGCGATTATAAAGAGCTTGCAGTATTAACCTTTACCTGGATATAACTTTGCATCTTAACTTCTTCCCGACTCTGAAAAATTTGCAGTTATAATAAGGAAAGATCCTAGTTTCTGAAAATATAATAACAAGTACAACTGTTCCTTTCATCTTTAGTTGGAGCCCTTACCTAGCCAATCTAAAGACGGTCGCGTCTGCTGTTTGTCTTAGACTAAATTTTACTACTTTTGAACCGTTTTTTAAATAGTTAAATATTCTCCAAGTCTAGCCCCGTAATTTAAAGCACTTTCCTCGTAAATAGGGTAGATTATGTATACTTTGCGATAATTCGAGTTTTCCGGTCACATACGAACTGTATCTATTTAATGCTTAATTCATTAATCTTAATTATGAGGAAGTTAGTTGTGGTATGATAAACAATTCTCTGCTCGCCTCTTCAGCAAGGCTGCAAACATAATTCCTGTACAAGGTTAAGACAGGTTGCATAATATTAATTTAATAATACATATATATCTCATAAACGTTATATCTATACAACTTCGGATCAAAGTCACATTTGATCAAATTAGCTGAAGCCCAGTTTAATATGCCGTATCGCTTGATTTCAAATAGACTACGTAATCAGGGAATTTCATTTCATTTAACCCAGCCCTGGCCCTCTCAGACGTAATTAATTTGACATATATAGCTCAAGAAATCAAAAGGAGAGAGAGAGTAGAGAGCCAGAGATACGATACATTATATGTGATAAGATATTGTCACTGAGGATATTGCAGATTAAATATAGATTAACTAGCTTATGGTCACGCACACCACGGCACACCTGCTCAAGTCTAAACACTCCGAATCAAATGTGACGTAATTTGCTGTTTTTTAAAAGCCATGTGGGCGGATACAAACCGAGAAAACATGAACACAGACTCCTTAGAATACACCTACAGTATCCAGTATCCACTAGGAGCACACAAAAAGTTGCTGTAAAGCTCACAAAACTTACGATACTAACCAGCCTGTGTTTCTTATGCTCTGCTTCCTCACTGTGGGTACTGTCCATACTGTTGGTCCTGCTGAAGGGTTTCTTAGTAGCTTGCACTGTCAGACTCTCGTTATTCTTTGTAACCAGACAGCTGGAGCTGGAACAGGAACATGTCTGAGTGTACTGACTGGGGGGGAGAGGGAGGTTATTTAACAGAACGGCAGATCATCCACATATTTGTTATCAATATCAAGCAAGAAACATAGTTGGTACTGGTGTCCAGAGCACTTTATCTTGGGCGGTAGTTATATTATATACTCAGCGCAGTAAACTGGTATTTACCATAATTAGGATTAAAATCATTGCATTGGCTGCAACTGCAAAACCATTTAGCAAAAATTGGACAATTCGTTTAAATGATATGAGATATCAAATCTATCGGACTGAATATTGGTTGGATTTTGGTATGGGACACATAACTTAAGTGGGTAAGCCGCGCCGGTAAGTAGTTATAGTATTGTATCCGATTTGATTTGAAACTTTTACAAAATAGCAAATATACAAATGTACAGCAAATCGAACAAACACATAAAATGGGCCGAAATGTATAAATGCTATAAAGCGTGGGTCAGTGAAACAAGTACACCCCTATCAAGATTCTAAAAAAAGTGCGATGAGATTGGATTTTGAGACTAAAAGTGCGATTTTCACGTGTCACGTGCAGTGGCGAAATGTACTCCCCCACCCCCCCCCCCCCCCCTACCCAGCCTGCAAGATTTCTTGCCCCACAAATTATTCTCTATTTAAAAAGATTTCAGATTTCGCGAGTCCCTTTGTGAGCGAAATTGTAAGTATGTCGCTTTATGTCGCTCGAAAATTTACGTGCGTATTTTTATGAAGTATATACAGTTACATATTGAAAATCTGATATGCCCATTGTAGCACAATGGTTTAGAGCGCGATCGCTTAGCAGTTGACTCCGGTTCGAACCTCGTCGACGGTCATTTTTTTGGCAATTATTAATTATTTTACTAAAATTATCATCAGAGCACCTTGTAATATACTTTATCCGATAAATTATACTGTTCGTACTTCAGCTAGAGAAGACTGGCATTTAAGGATTTGTCCGGGGAAGGCCTCGTTCGCACTAGAACATGTCAATTGTCAAATTATGGTAAACGGATTTATCTGGTAATGTTTGTTTTGTTTTAAGGCTAGAATTTAGAATGGAATCAATGTGATGAGGATCCAGAGTTAATTACCTGTTAGGATTAATAAGTCAGTTCTACAGTTGAAAAGACCCTTTTTCAAACTTTTAATGAAGAAATATTCACTATGCCTAATAGGCATTGCCTATGGCAGTATTAAGAATACTCTGAGAAAGATTGAGTCGACTTTAGCCAGGAACAGTACCTTGAGATTTCGACCATTACCAGACCTCCTTTAATGGTAACCATGGTAACTATAGTAACCACTGTTAATCTTGATCTTATAAACCGATTAATATCGACAACAACTAGTATCCTTTAAGACTTAGACAGTACAGAAAAGTAAGCCGTCAGAGTAACACAACCAGTAATAATTCAAAACAATCAATACCAAAAGTACAATGACCATAAAAAGTCGGCTTGATGATAAAGACGAAGGGACCAGCAAGATGAGGAATATTATTATGAAAATGTAAGCGCGCGACCGGATATGTAGTGCTGAAAGAGGGTGCCGAAATCTCGTGGTTAAACTCGCGATATTGGGGTGAGATTTATACTAAACTCGTCAAAATCTCGCACTAATTGCGCGCGGCAAAGTTGTTATACTTTAACCACGTGATCTCACACCGCACTAAGTTCCGAATTTACAAAGTCTCAAGCAAATTTTTGTGTCGCTTAAATCTTTTAAATTACATTTTTCTATTTTCTCACACATTCTTTTGTTAATTTTTTTCTATGTTTATTTTAAGATTTTGTGCGATGAGCCTGTCTCGCAATCTCACATGAATCTTGACCTGGGCAAGTACAGAGGACAACTTTTAAAACACGAGGTTTATGGCCGCCCAAAGTCTCAATAACGTCACCTCCACCTAGTAATAAAATTATGAAATATGAAGTGTGAAACAAATTATGAAATATGAAGTGTGAAACAAATTATGAAATATGAAGTGTGAAACAATCAAGAAATAGCTCGTATATAAATTAGAAAATTGTCTCTCAAATACAGATAATTACGTCCGAAAACTATTAAGATACACAATACTCATTCAAATACTGATCAGTGTCCGAGAGACATGAATTGCTTCATGGTGGTTTCTTATCACGGCTACAGACTTTCCCGTACCGGATATAGTGGTCGAGATGAGTCTGTTCAGCCCTGGCCTCTTCTTCTTCAGGTCGGTAACCAGATGTTTCCTCGTTGCTCGTTCTTCGCTAGATCTATCTGGACAGATCCATACATTTTTGTGGGTCTCAACTAGCCTCAGTCTTCCTGTTTTCATCAGAATCTGTTGAACCGCTGTTGAGCTTGGGACAGTGATCTTTACTGGTCGGATAGTCGTACTACCTGGCCTCTTCCTGCCGACTCTAGTCGCTTCGAAGTGAGGTTTCTCCCCAATCTCCTCCAGAACTGCGGTTACTAGCGCTGGAAGCTGTTCTCCCTCTTCTTCTTTCAACCCAAACACAATCAGGTTCTTGCTCCTGTCCTCCTCTGCAGCCACACTCTTCATCACCTTCTTCAGGATGTGACTGTTGCAGACCGTACCACTTGCACTGTTCTGTTGTACAGCTGCACTGTAGCTCTTAATCCCTGACTCCACCGTTGTTTGCACTGTCTCCTTAACCGACGTCTTAAACAACTGTAGTTCTTTGTCCTTCTGCACAAGCAGCTGGCCCTGCAGCCTGATCAACTTATCCTTGTCTTCTAACGCTTCCGTCTTCAAGAAATATATGATCTCCTCCATTTTACCCATCTGGCATTCATGCCGTTGAACGAGGTCTATTGCTTCCACAAGCCGAAGTGCCAGATGCTTTTTATAGACAGTTGGAGCCATAAATATTTCTCTGTCCATATCTCCACAAATATCTCTGTCGTCTATTTTCAGTTCTTTTCCCAGCGCAATGAACCACTTAGTAACACTGTCCTTCAATTTTGTCTGTTCATCATACTCGAATCCTTGAATTTGGTCCAGAGATTGGGTCACCTTACGATCATCCTCCATAATGTACTTGTATATGAATGTACAAGTACACACGCAAAGGCTAACTACGCGGTAGCAGCAAACTGAACTTATCGCAATTTACAAAAGATAACAGAGCTCGATAATTGCAACGTAAGCTACACTGACTACACTGAATCCAATAAATTGTAGACTTAAATTTCCAACTTACTAATGATCCACAGGGAAGTTGAACCCAATAGTGATCTCCGAGTTTGGAGCTATGAGCTCCTGAGCATAGATTCCAATGTGCAGCTTGCCTTCTTGTAGATATGATTTAGCGTGGGCGTTTGGATGACACGATCGTCGCATAAAGCGGGCTATGTTACCATACTCCCTGAAAACAGACGAAAAAATGTTAGAAATGTGTTGTATCGATGTTGATGGTGATGGAGTGATGGAGCTCTGTGTTTTTCTCACATATAAAAAGGATAATCTAACTGAAATTAGTTAATCACATTTCCTCAAAAAAAGGTTTATAAATGACGTAAGTGGTTTAATTTGAATTTATCTACAAATTTGCTGAAGTAAAAGTTTCCAACTCGGCCAACTTTTGAAATTTGAGATGATTTAATCTTTTGATGACCCGATTAGAGAAAACGTCTTGTCTTCAGAATGTTTCACAAAATCTACAGTTAAAATTAAAAGTGAAATTCTTCTCACCTGGTGTCGACACAAATATCAAGTAGAGGGTAGTGGAGCACATAGTTCATGGGTCGCTTGTAGAGGGTGGATTTGCCTCCTACCTCTTCGAAATATTCAGAAAGCTGTTTGAAGTGGCCCTGAGAATATGGCATTTTGTACGTGTGTTTTGTGTAGAGAACCGAACAAACCTACATAATAAAACGTGTATTGTAACTTGTTAGTGGTACCTGCCACTAAATACGATAAATAAATTCAATATTGACAGCGAAGTTACCTCACTTTGGTAAACTGTGGAAGCTTAGCTAGCTTACACTCCTTGCATTAACAAGTTGTTCTAATGGGTCTACTGTTTCAAGGAAAGAATTTAAGATATGCACAATAAAAGTGACGGAAACAAACCATGAAATCAGATATGAAGGCTCCAAGTTTAAGAGTGTGTTTAGTAACAACTATTTTAGAAGGACCATGGTTAAGGAGGTGAAGAGGGGCGGGGTACTGTATCCGAGGGGAGGTGTAGCCTGCTGCTTGGGGTTGTACTCTCTGCACCCCTGGGGGGCTACCCCCAAAGGAGGGTAGGCCCTCCGTTCGGGGCTCCAATCTGTGTTTGATGGAGGGAGAGTACATGTTCTCCTTTACTTCCTTGTATGTCCTTCTGCAATCCGACCTGCAATTTAATATGTCTCAAGGTATTTGCAATAACTCGTCAGGTTAACAACACCAGTTGTGACACGTCAGTCAGCTAAGTAAGATGTGAAGTCAACAGCCTTTAAATGCTGTGATATCGATTGAACGATTTGAGTAATTTCACAAAAGGCCGGGCTTAGATAGCATGATAGGAAGGCAAATTCTAGCGACGAAAATGATGAAGCTGTCAAGTGTCAATACTCGACGTTAATCACGAAGAAATTTTAAAGTATCATAAAAGTTTTATTGACCGTAAGTTAACCACAGGACATATTTGGTCTAATTACAATTTAAACGAAATTGAACACTCGTACGAGAGTTGAATCTCAGCTGCCTGGAAACAGCGGCCGAGTTTCCACTGTCCAGGTTTTAACTTCTTTCTGAGAAAATTACGACAAACGATTTTAGCACCGATGCTGACAGTTATTGTTTGGTTTTTGCACGGGCAGCAAGGAAACTTATATTAAGTGGACAGGGCATCCTTTATAAACTCTGACCTGTCATCGATATCAGCACTTGATTCCTCCGATTTGATGGAAGTAGAGGAGGCCTTACGAGAGCGCTTAGGGTTGTTACTCTTCCTCGGAACAGCTGCCTGGGCCCGATCTTCCTCATCATCTGAACTGCTGCTCTCCTCTTGGAGAAGCAACTGAAGCTGGACTGCTGCTTCCTTGTCAAGTGGGCGGGGGTTGCACTTGTCACACTCGTAGATCTTAGGTACTTTGTTGGGGTGCACCCCCATACACCGCATATGCTGCCAGACAAAACATTTGTCACAGCATATTGAGTCACCTATCCCAGGATTGAAATCACTGAAAATATAAAAAATTCAAACTATCAATATCAGATGTTTGTTGATTATGACTTTGTCTATGAATCATAACAAAACAAGAAATTCCAAAAATAATCGAATGATTTGAAGAATTGGCCCATTTGTGAGCCTAACAAACACCTTCAGCATGATCAGTTCGACAGAAAATATCCCCTGATTGTTCTGTAGGTACCAGAACCTAAAGTAACAATTGCCTCAGTTATAGAATTGAAGCAGCTGGTGATTATGTAGTCGCATAGCAAGAACTTTGTGGATATTTTCACTTCATGAAACTACACTAAACGTTGATAAATGAAATGTCGTAATCTGTATTTATGCTGAGTTACAGATTATGACATTTCATTTATCAACGTTTACTGCGGTTAAATGAAGTTCAGAAATTTGTTTTTGGGTTTGTAGGTTAGTAATTTTGATTTCCAACATTAATATTTTGAGTGATTGTTTATCAGGATTCAGGATGAATACGAACGAGTCAGTTTGGAAATTTCTACAGTTAAGTTTTAACCAGAGATAACTGTTTCACTTGTTAGTCGATCAAAAAATGAACATAGTACAAAGTTCAGTGATTGAGTTATGAGTTTATGACCGGTATAGGTAACCCCAAAGTTAAGATTATAATCTAAGAAATATGTTACAGCTTCCCGAATAGAATGTTCTACGTACCATATGCAGCGTACAATATCCTTCTGAGCATTTCTTTTCATCTGAAAGTAGAAGTATAGTATAATGTAACATATATCTATATAAAATATAAATAGATATATTATATAATATCTCCCGAAATTGAAAATGTATCGTCTTAACTTTTTGTACAGTACCTATAACAGCATAACGCAAACGTTGACAGTTGACACATGACAGTGTGTTACACACTTTTAGGCATTAATAATCAAATAAATGAAACCTAGTACCGAACTTAAATTGACCTATTTATAGTTTTTAATCATTTTATTTTAATGTAATGCAAGTTTAAATTTGTCTAATAATCATGAACGATGGCTAGTTTCGGTTACATTAGATAGTCACATCAAGTAACGACAAATTCACGAAGATCAAGGAGAAACGAACATTTAAAAACTGATGACTTACTCCATTAAGGCCTGTATTTCTCATTCAGTAACTAAACATTGTGTACATCATAGCTGAGAGTAAGTGTTGTATTAATAAATGACAGAATGGATTATTAAACTTTTTAAAAAAAGAATAACAAATTTATCAATTTTATGACAATTTTATACGTTAATATTGGAAATCATTACAAAGAAAAGCAAATTAGGCGATAAGAAGTCACATTATAGATTCTACATTTATGTGGAAACTTGTTGGGGTTTTCCCCATCACCATCTTCCAAATCACAGCTTACCATTTTATATCATCTGGTCAAGTGACATAGTCTGGCAGCTGACCAGAGATATTGCTGACTGATGGTCCTGGAGAAAGGAAAATGCCCAAAAACAGCCCACCTTGTATTTATCACTTAACATAATCGTGAAATTAATTTAGAATCAAATTAAGTTATGAATTAAATTTGATTCTAATTTTAATTCTAAGGAACGAATATTTTTCGATTTGACAAATTCCTCAAACCAGTGGTGGTAGTAAGTCAATAGTCATATCTGAAAGAATTACTTCAATTGGTCACTCAGTCACTGAGCTGTTAAGGCCAACGTCTGCACACTGACTTTTGGCCCTCCCTGTATTATTATATAGAGTGGAACAAACATATTATCAATTTAAGCTGATTGCTCTGACACGTATACGTATGGACTATAATGATCCTATTAATTAGATCTCAGATAACTTATTCACTGGACACTGAAAACTATCAGAAGGATTGAAGAGAAAAGGGCAGTTTGATTAAATGCTAAGCTCTGACTTGTAAGATTTTTGGTTAAGATGGGCATGTTGAAACAAATGAGATTTTATCATTGTTTGCCATTTGCTTCTCTTGTAAGCCTTTTGCAAGCACATTTCATGTCCCAGGTCCCTGATATCACAGTCACCCTTAGAGCAGAGATTCTTATCTTTTGTATGGTCCTCTCGATTCAAGCAGAGGGATTAGCCCTGTATTACAATTTATAACCTGTTTATGCTAAATGCTCATAGTTGCAATGTGATCTTTAACAAAGCTTTACCCCATTTCTAAGTCATGAACTCAAATTGAATCATGATCAATCAAAGGTTACTGCTTGGGTGGTGACTGATGACGCATAACCCAGGGTAATATAGCTGATTGATTGCTGATTTCTTGTCAGTAATAAAGAGAAACATTACGATTATCTTTGGTTTCATCCTTAAGTGGCAAAGAAGCTTTACAAAGGAGTGACAGAAACAGTCTTCAAGGATTATAGCTCTGTTGCATTGATCAAATAATAATGAAATGTTCACATCTGTGACTTTTACAGTATATCTGTCAAATTTGACAAAATACTTTAATTTCATCATTTTATTTCAACAGGCCTGACTCAAAATTCTAAATTGGCAGAAAGTTTCTAATTTATGCATAATTTATATTTACTGAGTTTCAGAGTTATTTCATAAGATTTTAACTACTTTTTCAACTACAAATAAGTGTTACATCTCCTTGGTCGACTCAGCCAATGATCAGAAAACTGTGATTGAGTGTTAAATGGCACCCTGCAAAAAGATCAAAAATGTTGTTAGTGTACCCTTTCAGTTTATCTACATTGTAGTGTACACTGTGCAGTAAAAATAGTACTATACTACACTTACTAACTAATCTATAAACTCATTTAATATGAATGTAATGGGATTGGAATATTTTAACCTTTGTCAGTTCAAACCCTGGCTACATATCATCATGTAAGGCTTTGTCTCATTTGTTAATGAAAAACACTAATATCTCTGGAGGAAATATAATCTCAACTGATCAAAAAAGACAGCTGTGAGCTCCTAAATTGGAGTACATAATATGACATGTATTACTGCCATGAATTGTTACTGTAATGCAAGGGAGAGTGCCAACCTCATTAAATCAAACAGGTGGGCATTTCTTCCATGACTTACCTGACATTTTAGTCTTTTTTGGTGTATTAAGGCGGCCGGGGCCGGTGGGTCTTAATCAAAATTCTCTCGAAATTGACTTTATAGTTGTTTCTGATGGAGGGGAGTGATATCTATCAGCTGCTTTTAGTCTCATGGAAAAATATTGTTCCTAGCCGAAATTATCACCAGTCAAAAGTCAGCGCTTATGTGTAATTGTATTGCGCAAGCGATTTTCATTCGCGCTTTCTGAAAATCGAGTCTAAAAATCTATGATCTTCTCCTACATTTTTTGAGCAATCACCCTCAAACTTTCAGGATTTGTTCTAGGGATCATTTAGAAGATTTGACTCAAGCCGAATTTTGAGATATGCTTCTTTAAATTTTTTATTCGATTTTGAAAATCTTGGACCTCAAAAATCGTCAAATTTTTTAAAAATAAAGGCCTATCTCAAAATTCGTCAAATCTTCTAAATGGTCCCTAGAACATAACCTCATAGTTATCTCAAATTTTGATAGAAATCAATGGGTTTGCATTTCATTGAAGTAAACCCTGTACTGTAAACAATGTAAAAAAGCATACATCAATATCTCAACACACATAGAACAAGTTAATTAAATATTTAGAATTATCAAATAGATGAATTAATTTTAAAACTTTATACATTTAATCCTAGGTTTTCAGATCTTAAATTTTTAAACAGTGCCAAATCTTTAATTGTGACTGCAATTTTGGTAGATGAACAGACTTAATAAGCAGTCTTATACAATTTGTAACCCCAATTTTTATCCTTCATGGAAATGGAAACATAAATTTGTGGGTGTGGCCTATGTGACATGTAACATAATATAAATCACACTGTTCTCTTTTAATAACATAGTTGACTGAGCTGCACTCATAATAGTTAGTAGTTAATAGTACTATGTTTACAGTATGCACTGAAGCAGTGGCGTAACGAAAGGCCCTGCTGACCCCGCTGTGCAGGGGGGCGCCGTCTTAGGGGGGCGCCAAATCGTCGTTTGAATGTGGGACAATTTCGAAAACTTAACTAAAGTACTAGCAAAACTGCGCGTTTTGCTCTAGATACACACTTTTTTAGAGATTTTACCGGCGTATTCTCTAAAATCACCTAATTTGTTCAATTTTAGGGAGGGGCACCAAAAGGGGAGGGGGCGCCAACAGGGGGGCGCTTTTTTCGGCAGGGGGGCGCCAACAGGCAACGTTACGCCACTGCACTGAAGGGTATCCTAGGAAATTTCTTGAACTTTTAACAGGTACCCCTCCTCATTTAACCCTCAATTAGGTTTCCTATCATTCATAATTAAGAATACCAGAAAGCTTTCATCAAGATATATGTAAATACAACAATAGCAAATATAAATGTTTAATTGAATATGACCATGTCCATAAGAACTTCAACCTAAAACTCAATTTGTAGATAAATTTAGTGACTTACATGACTGTATCATTTTTGTAGAAACCCAATTGATACCAACGTTTTAGTACATGGGAGACTTTGTTTATTGATATTCAAGACGAAAAACTTAATCAAAGTGATCATACGACCATATTCAGAATTTTTAGAAGACCTAAGTGACACATGCACATTGGGAACCCCCTTTTATTTTCATAAGTATACATTGTTAAATTTCGCATGCTCATGCTGGTCATTATTGATCCAGAGAGATAGGTTTGACAGGTATATAGAAATATAGCTTTCTAAAGGTTGTAGTAAAACTTTTTATCCTTTTTTGTGACCTATGTGACAAGTTTCTGACAAGAGTTTTTTGAAAAATTGGATCAAGACACGATCAAGCTCACGGTTTTTCACAAGTTTGGTCATTTGTACCAATAACCACTTGGATAACACATCAGAGCTATTCGAAAAAGAAGAAGTAAACATTTAAAGACGTAAATGTTTTTAAGCATTTCAATTCATCTCTGCAAATATGAAAATTTGTATGACAAGAAGTAAAAAACGGGAATAAAAATACCATCCCATTTCAGAAAACAATGCAATAAAATTAATACTTTTAGGCATAATGAGCGGCTTTTAAAACTTTCAATGCACATAGTATTAACTCTTACTATAATAATACTTATAGCTAAAATTGAATTGGAATAAATCAGTAAAAAATAGAGCACTGAGAGGAGGTAGATTAGAGAAGTTAGGCAGGATTATACCAAACATGGATCCACAGAGCGTAAGTACTCCAGAATAAGGCTTTCGTGTGTTACAACTAGATTCCACAGCCGCATTGTCTCAAAGGCAGGAATGTGATTACTAGCAAATAAATGTATAGAAGGGGAAGGAGAAAACCCTCAGGCCTCACATATTCAAGACAAGACTTACGTTATCTGTCAAGACCTAATATAAGCTATCTATTTAATTTATCTGTCTTAATCCTGGGATGACGCAATGCCATGCTTGATTAGTGAAAAGTACCCTAAAAAGATTGGAAGAGCTGTATCTTGGGCTTGAATTAAGATGTATCTTGATACATGTACAGATGCATCTTGAGTTTCAACTTTTTAGATTTGTCTGAATATAAAGGAATAACATTATGAGATATAAGAGTGTAATAAATAATATCTATAGAACAAAAATATCTATAGAACAATAATAAGGCCCTACTTGAGTAGTATTGAGACCGGTTGTTGTCTCCACCTGCCTGGAAATTGGTGTACTTGAGTAGTATTGAGACCAGTTGTTGTCTCCACCTGCCTGGAAATTGGTGTACTTTCATCGAACTGGAAAAGATTACAATATTCTTAAACAGTCGGGTAAAAGGAAATGTAATTAAAGCCTATAAATTGGAGTTTGAAAAAGATATTTTTAATTTAATTAGAGTTATGTTTTAGAATTTTTATTTTGCCTTTACTTAGCACTTTACTTTGCTTTGCAATATTGATAAAACTGTTAGAATGCTGCCATGCCAAATAAATTTTTATCAAAACCGAAAACGCGTTATCAGCTTTTTGAACACGCTGCAACCTTATGTTTAAAATTTACAGTCGGTTATTGTCATGTTATGGACTTAAAAATTGATGTTGGAGAATTTAAAAAGAACAATATTTTATATAATTAGACACAAGCTTAAATTTTGAAAAATTTTAAGTGTAGCTACAGTCATAAGAAAAATGAAAAGAGGGAGTAAATTGTATATTTCTTAAACAGCAGATTAAATATTTAATTAAAAACGCAACTATCCTTTCAAACTGTAGTTTTGCACCAATATTTGCAAAGATTTGCAACGATCACTTCAATGCAAAGCAAGCCTGATAATGCGCGCGGCTCGTTGACTTGCAGTGCCGACGTCCTTCAATTAGTTAAATATTTGCACAACAACATTTTAAAACTAAACTAACGATATCAATCCTTTCCATTTTCACTTTTCAGCTTGGCGCCGCCCATAAGTTTGACGGATGTTACTCGTCTAAATTTCTTCGAAGTAGCGCGCGCCGCTTTCTTCTCGAAGAGCTACGAAGTAGCGCGCGCCGGGCCAGATCATTAACAATGGTGCAACCCATAAGTGCATCGCGCCGATCTAAGTAACAAACAAAAACATTATTTGATGCGCAGCCAGACCCAGTAGTGCATTTTAATTTTGCTACAAATAAAAAGTGGTCCTTAAATCATTAAAATATACAATATAGTTGCTCTAACCAGAGCCCTCTCGCTTGCAGTAGCGCGCGACCGCCGTAGGCGGCAAAAGAGGGCTCTATAGATGGCCACAAACTGGCACCACAAATCGTGGTGCCAGATTTCCTCCCATAATTTTGATGCCGCGCGCGACGTGTTAGTCATGTCTAGTTACTGCAACTGTTAGACTCGTACATTGCATTTGCACATATATAATCAGTGCAATATTTTCTCGTTGGATAAGAGTTTTTGGAGGGAATTAATTTAATCTCTTTGTTCAATCATTTCATTTTACAACTGTTTCCTGTTTCTTTGTTCGTTGCCATCATTCGGCAGCTGATCAGATCATTCGGCGGATGTTTCTTTGTTCGTTGCTTTTATTCGGCAGCTGATCAGAGCATTCGGCGGATGATTCAAAGGGAGACAACTTTTAAGGTGTTTGAAGGTCAGCTGAAGGTCAGCTGAAGACGATTTACACAAATATTTTGAAAGCTCCTGCTAATTAAATCCTTGCGTATCACTTTTATGTTTTTAATATCCCCTCTAGGTTTAAAGGTTTCTGTTAAATTGTCAGTAATCAGCAGACTTTGCTACACTTTTGTCATTTGCAATTGGACTTAAAATATGTTAAAGCTTGTCATTGTCTATAATTTCGAAATAGAGTTTTGTAGGGAACTAATTAAGTCTCTTTGGTCAAGCAACCCGAAACCCCATGAATAGTGAATACTGTTATTATCATCTCCGAGTTCACAACAGGTATGGGTTTTATTCATAATATATTGAGGCACTTATAGTATAGTTCAGTCATTTCATTTTACAACTGTTTCCTGTTTCTTTGTTCGTTGCCATCATTCGGCAGCTGATCAGATCATTCGGCGGATGTTTCTTTGTTCGTTGCTTTTATTCGGCAGCTGATCAGATCATTCGGCGGATGTTTCTTTGTTCGTTGCTTTTATTCGGCAGCTGATCAGATCATTCGGCGGATGATTCAAAGGGAGACAACTTTAAAGGTGTTTGAAGGTCAGCTGAAGGTCAGCTGAAGACGATTTACACAAATATTTTGAAAGCTCCTGCTAATTAATTCCTTGCGTATCACTTATATGTTTTTAATATCCCCTCTAGGTTTAAAGGTTTCTGTTAAATTGTCAGTAATCAGCAGACTTTGCTACATTTTTGTCATTTGCAATTGGACTTAAAATATGTTAAAGCTTGTCATTGTCTATAATTTCGAAATAGAGTTTTGTAGGGAACTAATTAAGTCTCTTTGGTCAAGCAACCCGGAACCCCATGAATAGTGAATACTGTTATTATCATCTCCGAGTTCACAACAGGTATGGGTTTTATTCATAATATATTGAGGCACTTATAGTATAGTTCAGTCATTTCATTTTACAACCGTTTCCTGTTTCTTTGTTCCAACCATAGTATATTAAAGTATATCCCGGGTCAAAATCGGAAAAAATCCTACATTTTAATATACTTTAATATACCTACAATAAGTAGATTAGAAGATAAGCCAGTTGCTAGTCCCCTGAACTCATACTTCATATATTTTGGCTCATAAATTGGTCAAGTATCAATATCTTTGAACAAGACTAACTTTACATGAAAGGTAAATCTAATCTATACATGAAATAAAACAATATTTTTCACATATATTTTTATAATATAAGTATATTAAACATGTTAAAGTATATTAAAGTATATCCCGGGTCAAATTTGAAAAAAACCTACATTTTAATATACTTTAATATGGTTCAAAATTTTAATGGAGATAATATAGGTATATTAAAGTACATTAAAGTATATTAAAGTATATTAAAGTATATTAAAGTATATCCCCGGGTCAAAGTTGAGGCACTTATAGTATTAGTTACAGCCAATATATAAAGTTCTCAACTAGATTATCAAGTTTTTAATCTTTGATCGCATAGAATTGAGAAACAAGAATGACCATCGATTTTAAAACCATTTTAATAAATTAACGGGGTTTTCATCACACCATATCAAAACAATTCAAATAATCCGCTCCTACTAAATCGCTCGTCTCAATAAAATATTGTGTGAACTAAAAAGGTATGAAAGTAACCTGAACCGCGGTGTATTTTTGGACGCTGATTCCAAATCACCCGGTCGATGACGTAGTAAAAATGCTTCCCTATTCCCTAAAGAATTAGGGACAAAAACTGTTTCGGTCCGGTCTGAGGCTACTGTTATGATTGCGGTTAAGGTTCGACCGTGATCCCGGCTTAATCCCGATGTCGGTCAAAAATCTTCCAATTATTCGTCCCCAATTAATTCGTTATTAATTAATCAATGAAACACTGTCAGAGTTATAAGTGCCAGTTTGTTAGGTGAGATGTGCTTGTGCTTGTAATCAATAAAGGATACCATGGGGTTGTTATAGTGTCAGAGTTGGTTAAGCTGGTTTGTTGGGTAAGCTTATGCTGTGTTTGTGCTTGTACATATACTATGAGAAAATACTACAATATAATCAAGGTACGATGTTGGATACCTGAGTTCTATATCTTTCGATAGCAACTCCATCTATGTATCTGCTTAGCTTCCATCACTGATCCTGGTACTTGAGATTCCAGGTGTGGCTTTAAACAATGTTTTAAGGGCCCAACACTCAGCTCACTCAGTTGATGGTAGAACAGTGGGTCTTTGTGCGATGTTGTAGCAGGGACTCCACTTCTTGTTTTCTCTTGCTAACCAGATTGCATAGGAACATCTGAGAGCAACCAAAGCCGCCTCTTGGAACACTGCTTTCTTTACTCTCTTTGTAACACCAAAGTAGTTTAGTAGGGCTGGTAAGGTATGATGCCAGAAGCCTCTACACCCAACCTCTACCGTAAAAAGCTGAGCTTTCCACCCACTGCCATGCAGCCCAGGAATAAGCTCTCTGTTGTAACGTGCTTGTTTACGTTCTACTTGGTCACTAAAGTTACTCTCGTCACCAACTGTCAACTCTACTAATATGACCACCTTTCCTTTATCAGACCAGACTACAATATCGGGACGTTCTGCAGTTCCGTAGATGTGCTGGGGGAACTGTGCTGGGAGGTCATCTTCGTCCCAGATAATCTGCCAATCTTGGTCTTTCTCAAAAGGGCTCTCTCTTTTCATCTTCGTCTTCGGTTTTTGGTAACAGCTGCTAGATGACTTGAAGCCTGTCCAGTCCTGAACTTCAAGTTTAAAATCTTTGTTGTTGAACTTCTCGATTTGATCCAGTAGGGATTTCGCAATGACCCGCAGCACGTTGTCATGCCTCCAATTGTATCGTTTGTTGTTCAGCGAGAAGTTGCAAGCTACCAAAATGTGCTTAATGTTGCAGTGTCTCCATCCGCAAAGTGGACAGTGTCCTGTGTCAGCATAGTTCCACAGGCTCATGTTTGCTGGAGTATTTGCAACGTCATGGGTTGCATTGAGGTGGAACTTAAGAAGAGCAGGGCTCATCTTGTAGTTGTAAATAAGGTTGTTCCAACCTAGGTCTAGCTGCATGGTGTTTTCCCATGTTAAGAATTGTCCTTGAACTCCCTTGTCTACCAGTGTCAACAGGATATCCTGCTCTGAGATGTGGGATACCAGTTCTTTCAGTTTTTCCTTTTCACTGGCTACACTCCTCTTGGATCCCAAGCCCATCCTGCCTTGCACTGTTACCCCTACTAACTCTCTGAAGTAGAGATCTCTTTCTCTAGCACTCAGCTCATTAGTGTAACCCCACCGACTGCTCCCTTCTTGTTTCTTGGCCCTGTGCTCGTAGACCTCCTTAACTTTAGGATCCTTGCTGTTCTTTAGAGAGTAACCTTTGGACACCTGAAGGAACTTGTATAAGTCCGATAGTCTTTTAAGATTCAATCCAAAGCAATCCTTATTTCTGTAAAGCACACTGACAGTAATTGTCTTTGTTACACCTAGCCATTTCTTCAGATACTTCGTACATATTGCTTCAAGATCTTTGACAAAACTAACCGGGAGATTGTAGATCATCAGGTCCCAGGAGAGCTTGCTGGTTAGGAGGTTGTTGTAAATCCAGCATTTCATCACTCCATTAAGGCCTGATCCGTCCACTGCCTGAAACAGTGTAATCAGTTTGTCTTCTATCAGCTTCTTGGTATCTTTGAGGCCCAGATCCACATATATCCAATGGCCAAGAAACTTCACCGGTGTATTTCCAATAAACTGGATTTGAGCTCCATCTATGAAAATTTCAGGGTCATAGGACACATACCTTCCATCTATAACCTTCATCCCCAGGGATACGCATTTACTCGGCTTGGCTTTCATTTTCCTTGACCAAGTAAGAAATCTTTCCATCACATCTATTAGCTTCTTCATCTTTTCCAGCCTGGGAGACATCAGAGTTAGGTCGTCAGCAAAAGCACGACTTGACGTGCTGCTAGAACTAAAAGACGGCTTGTAACCCAAGTCGCTTTGATTTTTCAGGAGATCCAATAGTAGGTTGAAAACTATTAAGAACAGTACAACCGATAGAGGGTCGCCCTGAAAAAGACCTAAAATATAAAAGAACCAGTTTGTTTTCCAGTCCTTTGTCACCACTCTCACAATCAGCTCATCATAGTACTTAAACATATATTCTATGAGCCAGTTTGGGAACTTATAATGTCTTAGAGCATATATTATCAAGTTGTGGGGAACCCGGCCGTAGGCGTTCATTAGGTCCACCCAAACTGCAAAGATCTGTCGTCTATTAGATTTGGCATCCTTCAACTCTTCCATCAGAGCCTGAGTATGCTCGAGGCAACCTGGTGTCTTACGCAGGAATCCTTTCTGGATAGACGTGTCTATGTAGCTATTGCTGACCATATACTCTAGCATTCTGTCCGCTAGTAATCCCATCTGCAACTTCCCACTAGTGTTTGTTTTAGTGATGTTTCTGAACTTACTAGGGTCATCTAAATCCTCAGTTTTTGCTATCAGAATGGCTTCACCTACTCGCCATTGCAGCGGGATTCTCTGGCTTTCCCATAGAGAATCCAGCAATTTGAATACTGCTTTCGCCATTCTGGGACATCTCTTATATACCAGATATGGGACTCCATTCGGACCAGGTGATGATTTATTTCTACGGCTTTTCAGCTTCGTTTGAAACTCATCCCAGTCCAATCTCTCCATCTCAAATGCAGTCTTTGGTACTGGGGCATCGGGCAGTCCTTTAAGCTTTACATATAGAGCACTTCTCTCCTTATCACAGTACTCATTCTTAAAGAATCTGTCAGCCACTTCCTTGGAGAAATTAGGGGGTTTGTTCTTCTTATCCCCGTCCAGCAGTTTCCTTCCAAATTGAAATGGGTTTTGTTTAAACTGTGACTGTTCCTTTTTGCTCTCCTTATTCTTCTTCTTCCTGAGCTCATTACGACGGCTTTTGTTGTGTAAGCGCACGAGTCTCAGGTACTCAGTCTTAGCTTGAGCCAACATATTCTGATCATTGCTTCTCCTAGCATCTTTCTTGTTTCTCTTAGCCTCTCTCTTGGCCAAGCGAATAACTTTTGTCTCCTTGTTCTCCTTTTCCTTCTGGGGAACACGAGGTTTCTTCGCTTCCTCTTTACCGAATCTGCTTTCCAGATAGCTGTATACCAGCTTTTCTACCTTCTCCAGTCGGGACTCCACGTCCTCTGCTGCTACATTGTTCACCAAAACAATCAGGTCTTCATCAATTCCCTTCCATACTCCCTTCTCTGCTGCTGTTGGTAGTTTAAGTTTCTTTGTGACCTCCATCACTATGGCAGGCGGTTCTAAGTCTTTAAAGTGGAACTGTATATCAGAGCTTGCAGGTCCCGTTTCTGCGCTGTGGTTGTAAACCTGGCTTGTTCCCTGCTCCGACAAATTATTACGGATGTCATCTCCCCTCACCTGAGGCTCGGTTATGAGCTCCGCCGGTCTCATCTTACATCTCCACAGATGTTTTGCGACTTGTTTGAACTCGCGCTTGCACCATTGACAAATATTGTCGTCCTTTCTCAAAGGTCCTTCATCAGTTAATCCGGGTTGACCTTTGATGCTCCCCACCTGATCGGAGGTCTTGAGGCATTTATCTGTATATTGTTTTGTAGTGATTGCTTTCTGTAAAGCGGGGGCCTACTAAGCCTATTGCTAAACTCTGCACTTTCGCAGGGGTCATCAGTCTTTCCAGATGAATTATAACATAGGTATTGTAATACCTATAAAGTAGCGGATACCAGGTTTTAGCTGCAGTTTTTAATTATGGTGAGACGGCTTGTAATCAGTACAGCTATAAAAGGATACAAAAGTTGTTGTGTCAGAATCTGTAAATTAACACATGCTAGTATGCTACCCTACGCAATGTCCTCATCACCTGATCCGTCAGTATAAATCTAACTGGCTCTTCATTTGACTCCGTAACCATACTCTCGTCGTACGAGTCGTCTTTGTTCATATTGTTCGGGGTAATGTAATATAAACAATAAACAATCAGGAGGGAACTTGAACTGATATAATATTTCGTAGTTTCTGGCTCTTCAGTCGTAGTTGATCATCAAGTTGATTTCTAAGTTTTCCGGCAGGATGCTCAGTCAACGTTTTTCGTCACCTTGAAAGCCGGCCCCCTTTCACTCGCGACTGAGAAAGGAGGTGGACACAGATAGATTCAGACAAGCTGGTTCAGATGTACAGAGTGTGATTTTTCCGACAGACCTCCATGAGATTTCGTCTCTGGGGCTCCAGCTTGTCTTTCAAATATCTTGTAACCTTGTCCCTTACCAACAGTACCACAGTATTAGATATGCCCTGCCTACTAGTTTAGCTTTATCTCTTTATCTGGTACCCTGCTATACAGTATACATGTTTACATATTAATTGCGTTTAAAACCCTCCAACATCTCCCCCCCCCCCCCAACATCTCTCCCCCCCCCCCCCCCTCACCACCCCCTTCTCCTGAGCGAGTGATTACTAAACATGTGGATGACCCCTTATTATACAAAGGACCATAGATCGTCAGAAATAGCATACATTGATTATTGATGTACACGCTATATAATACACATTACAGTGTAAAGTTACACTGATCTACAGTTCATCTCATTAATGGATTATTCCAGAATTGCGCGCGCACACGTGTTATGATCAAACAGATCGTTTCATAATCATGGCATGTATAATACCGTCGTTATATACACGCTCTCGTTGTGTGTACGTTTTGATCTTTAATATTTGATTTGATGCAACACATCACTACAGCTACAATTGTACATTTAGACTTTACTTTGCTCCCAATTATAGTCCCAAACTTTCTAGTAGTTCTGAAAAAGCAAGATTTTCTATGATACAGCGACTTTTTATATCGCTGCAATATAATTTAGACTTTAGAGCCAAGTTACTTTTAGATAGCTGATCTTCAGGGCTCTTTCCCCTCAAATGATTGTAAAGCCCGCTCATGTTTGACAATATTTACACTGACAGAAATTGGTCATCTAATTTTATCTTGTTCTCTCACAAACCTGAGTATTAACCAGTGTAACTTTTCTAGGAGCTGCCATTTATGACTGGCATCACACACTATACACCTTGGGTTCTTGGACTATTCAAAGACAGGAAACCTATAATGCTCCAGCTCTACAAATCTATGGTATTAAGATCCAGCGAGTGGAGTACTGCTGCTCTGGAATCCAAAAAAGATCTATAATATCCAGTCAGTCGAGAGCATACAACGCCAGTTAATTGTAGACAGATTCTAGGGCTCAAAAACACCGACTATTGGAATAGACCGAAGGAACTGAAACTTATATCCCTGCTGGCTGCTAAGATGCTGAGAAGGCTAGACTCCATCATACATCTGTGGAAAGTTCTCCAGGGATATGTCCAAATTACCTATAGATGATCGATGTACAGTTCAGAGAGAATGCCAGACTGAGAGTTAAAGTAATACTCTCTTCTAATTCTCTCACCAAAAAAATCAGCTTCTTCACGCTCCATGCCTACGACTACTCATTTGCAGTGAAAGATGGAAGACTTGGAATTTTCTCCCCTAAATTGACAATAGTGACAATATCAAAAGACTTTGGCAAGCTTCAAGACATTTCTCGGAAACGGGAAACCGCAGATTGCGTGATAACCGTGAACTTACCTATTTCTACTCTTCTATATAAGTTCAATAGGTTGGACCAAGAAGTTCTTGGGTAACATTGTTTTCTATCCTATATGTGACCTCTGCTGAGTTTCGCCAAGACTTGACGGGCCATCACATCTTCTGACCACCCCACCAGTATCGCTTGTTGCGCCAGCACAGCAGAGAGTTCGTGAGGAGGGCCTGTTTCCCTAATCGGCGGCTTATTGTTGTCGCTATAATTGCAATTGTCCAAACAACCTGTTGTAAGTAGAGCTGTGTTTATTCAAATTGACTGATGTTCAATATAATATTATAACCTCGACAAATAGAATAGTATGTTGTTGGTTTATATATATATATATTAATTGATGCACAATCAATACGCTGAACTTATTAGATTTATTTTATTGGTCAATAATTTTATTGGTCAATAAACAATAAACTCACTATATCGCAGTTAATATCATTTCTTCTGTCAGTGAGTTGGTGCCAGTTAATAAAGCAAAAGTTCAACGGAGGTATTACACACACTACACAGTACTATGGTAGACAGAGAGCACGGTACGTTTTATTTTAATAACTTCTCAGTAGTGAGAATATCACTTTTACTAACTTCTTGTCTCCCTTTAGTTTATCCCGCAATAAGTGACTTTTACCAATGTGGTAATTTAGCCCTCCCATGGTTGTTGTAGTGAACTGGAACTTGGGGCATTTCTGTTTAAGCCTTCGTTATAGATAAGATTATCGTAGTCACCGACATATTGTGTAATGCTTAATAACAAAATTTCTGAATTAAATGTAACCTTGTATTGGGCTGAAATACTAATAATAATTATAATGATAGGATTATGGGCTATGGCCACATTATACATAGCCATTTAGACAAAACTTGAAACCCACGAACTGCACTCTTCGCTATTGCAGTTCACACAATATTTTCAAAAAGAAAAATGTTCCTATCCGGAAAATGTTATGATTAATTATTTTTAGTGTTATGATTAATTATTTTTAGAACATGTAGTTCTGAATTTAACAACCAAAAAACATTGATTCCTCGGTATTTAGCAATCAATGGCTTATTAGACATGAAATATGCATATGAATCATGCTCACATGTATTTATTTTTGACATCAAGGTTTCGTTAAGATCCTAGAAGTGAGCCTTTGACGATGCTGCACTCGCTATCAGTCGAGCTTTGAATGCGTCTACTGAACTGGCTTCTTTAACCGAACTTGGTACTTTGTTCCAGTAATTGTTAACA